TCATTTTAATAGATAACAGTACATCACACGGTGTTAGAAACCATGCAAAGAAGTCTATTACAGATTCTCAACACAGTTTGAGACAAGAAGTGATGATTAGCCATGCAGTTTGCACAATGCTTGTTAACGGAATTTCAGCTTCCATTTCTTGTTAGCTACATTAGCCCTGTACCACCAACACAAAACTAAAGAAACTTCAGACTCCAAACATGTCTTAGCTGATTGACTACATTTGAAGTCAATGCATGAAGAAAGATGCATGAATGTGCGTAAATTTGATTTGTTGACGAATTATTGCTTTAAATAGATAGCAAGCAGTGTATAAACTAAATAGCTTTGTTTGCAGCAGAGCATGACATAGCTAAGAGGTGGTGAGGTGGCTGGTGGTGTTTGAGTGTGTGTGTGTGTGTGTGTGTGTGTGTGTGAGTGTGGGCATTAAAGGGGTTGAAAGTAAAGGTGAGTTCATCTCTGTGTCCCCCTGTCTGCTGCAGAGGCAGTTTTTAACCGGCGCAGAGGGAGCGGGTGGTCCCTGCAGGATTGTGATACGTTTAACTTTGAGCTGTGTCACCAGTGCTTTGGCTAAATCAGATTTGATCAGCGAGGCACATCTGGCTCAAAGAGGAGCTCCTAATCCTATAAAACAACACACGCCAGGAATATATCCATCTCAAAGAGCTCGCCAACACCCTTCTCAAGGCCTCTGTGTGTGTGTGCGTATGTGTGTAAGTGTGGGTCACACATGCGGCCTCCTCAAACACAAAGACATGATTGATTTATTGGGTGTTTATAGTGAGGGGTAATGAAGGTTTAATAGTCTTGGTTATGTAAAATTCCATTTTAGGTACTATTTGGGTGGTGGATCATTCTCAGCACTGCAGTGACACTGACGTGGGGGTGGTGTGTTAGTGTGTGTTGTGCTGGTCTGAGTGGATCAGACACAGCAGTGCTGCTGGAGTTTTTAAACACCTCAGTGTCACTGCTGGACTGAGAATAGTCCACCAAATAAAAATATCCAGCCAACAGCGTCCTGTGGGCGGTGTCCTGTGACCACTGATGAAGGACTAGAGGATGACCAACACAAACTGTGCAGCAGCAGATGAGCTATCGTCTCTGACTTTACATCTACAAGGTGGACTGACAAGGTAGGAGTGTCTAATAGAGTGGACAGTGAGTGGACACAGTGTTTAAAAAAAGAGACAAGGAAACATGGAGAGAAAATAAAACTTTCAGAATGAGAGAGAGAGATTGTGTGCTGATCAATAGTTTATCAATAGTGAATTTTGCTTGTGTAACTAACACAGTCTGACAAACAGTTAATATTAAAAATCTCTCGTGGCAGGACTGCACCGCTGCAGAATAGCACGAGTGCCAATCTGCCGCTATTAATTCATAATTACCACTTCATGGCTTAAAATGAAAACTTCACATGTCCCATTTACCTTTTCCACACAAATTAACTAAACCAACCTAGGCTATTAAATAGAGTGCACTACAGTTCTTCTCTTTAACGGATTAAACACTCTTTCACTTCACATTTTCAGTACAAAAGAAAATCCACAAATCCAGACGACTTTCCAATAAACAAATCTGATAAATGGTCATCATGCAAATGTTACTTAACACTTTAACTATTTAAAGTAATCCAGTGTAAGACCTAGTTGGTCTATTCTATTTGTTTCGTCTGGTCAACTCCTAAAGCTACGGTCGACACAGACACTGTCGTTGACTTTGTTCTCATAAATATGACCCAAAAAGTATGCATGCATAAGCATAAGCAAAGGTATGTTTAAAAAAGTGAATTTAATAGGACAACAGGTATTCATATCTCACAAATAAATAACATTAGCACAAAGGCGAAGCCGCTGTGGTCAATTACAGCTTTGAGACGTCTGCAGTAAGAAGCAATTATCTTTTTGCAGCATCGTGTTTCAGTTTTGACCCTTTCCTTTTGGCAAACCATTTTAAGTTCTCAAGGTTATGAGGTTCCCACTGCTGGATGTGCTATTGCAAAATCATCTGTTCTTTTCCATTATGAGGAAATTCTACATGAGCACCTTCATCTTTTTCAGAAACCAGTGCTGTTTGCAAAGAAGCAGCCCCATGTGATGATGCTCCCACCTTCATGCTTTACTGTGGGTGTGGTGTTCTTGGGCTCATATGTGCAGCCCGTCTTTCTCCAAACATTTTCGATTTTTCTTTTGTCTGACCAGAGTACATTGTTCCAGAAGAGTTCTGATTTATTGAAATGCATGTGTGCAAATTTTAGACATCTTTGACATTTAGATGTCTGGGCTTCTTTCTTGTGGAGTTGTGTGAAGGACATGAGATGATTTCAGAGCAGTTTATTGCTAAGTGTTATCCATAGATCTGATGTTGCTGCTGCTTTCAGGTCATCCTCCAACTCTTTTCAGGTGACTGCAGGCTTCTCTCTTACCTTCCTGGTCATCAGTCTGAGAGCATGGAGCACCTGTCCTGGGATAATTAGTCATGGTTCCATGAACTTTCCACTTGCATATTATCGAACCAGTTGTACTGACAGGGCGACAGGGATTTTTAAGGTCCCAGCTGTGGATCTGTCTTTTTTTTGCCATTTAATAATGTTCTTCATGAGAATTTTAACAATCTATCTTAAATTTTTACCATTTAATAATGTTCTTCATGAGAACTTTAATCATCTATCTATCTTTAATTTTTTTGCCATTTAATAATGTTCTTCCTGAGAACTTTAGGAAGCTCCTTAACCTTTAGCATGATTGCTACTTGTTGTGTGAATTCTTCCCTAACATTGGCAATATTTTTTATAATGACACCAGTTGCTACTTGCACTAGACCTTTTTTTCATTACATTTTTTATTTACTTTTTATCTAGTACCTTGATTAATGGTTATGAACACATTTTTTTGTTCATATTCATAAGCATGAAGTCAAGACATTAGGAGTGTACATAATTCATCTGTGAGATTCAAAGTGGTTCTTTGTGGAGAAACCTACTGAACTCCGATTTCTTTGCAGTGGTGGTGATAAGAACCAGGAGTCCTGATGTCTACAATGCAAATATAGCTATTTTATTTATATAAAATGACCAGTGAACGTATACATATCTTCTGAGTTTTTCATAAGTAATGTTGATGATGGTGAAATAGTGGTAAATTTGAAAAAAAGAAAGAAAAAGTTTTCTTTGGGTATCATATTGCCTTACAACATTGTACAACACTGTGTACATATTAACTGTGAAAGTACATTTTAAGCCAAAAACTGATTACAAAATTATCATAAAACAGTGCCTCATGCATCAGAAGGCATATCTATCTATCTATCTATCTATCTATCTATCTATCTATCTATCTATCAATCAGTCTGTCTGTCTGTCTGTCTGTCTGTCTGTCTATCTATCAATCTGTCTGTTTAAATCTGTCTGTCTGTCAATCAATCAATCTATCTATCTATCTATCTATCTATCTATCAATCAGTCTGTCTGTCTGTCTGTCTGTCTGTCTATCTATCAATCTGTCTGTTTAAATCTGTCTGTCAATCAAGCAATCTATCTATCTATCTATCTATCTATTTATCTAAATATCTATCTATCAGTCAATCAGTCTGTCTGTCTGTCTGTCAGTCTATCTGTCTGTCTGTCTGTCTGTCTATCTATCTATCTATCTATCCATCCTGTAGATCTGCTCCATGCTCGCGGCTCCGCTGCCGCGCTCTACTTCACCCCCTCCAGCCCACTTCACATTGCTAAGGACCTTCGAGGGTTAGTTGTCATGGCAGCCAGCAAGCGGCGCGTGAGCGTTCATCAGAGCTCGAGTTCGCTGCTTAGCGATGGACGGGCATCTTGACTCGCTTAACTGATTCGATTCGTTCGATTCTTTCTTTCGAAACTACTTAGTTCCGATTCGAAAGGTTCAACAGGTCCTAAGTCAAAGTCGTCAATGGATTTATAATGAATAAAAATAAGTAAGTACAAAGAAGTAAAAACAGCTCCCAAAAGCCAAACGTCAGTAAAGTGCCAGGTCCAAAAAATCCTCAAGTACTAATCCAAGGGATTAAAGGGAAATTCACCGGTTTTTCAAATTTTTTGCATAATTCCATTGTTACGATTAAAACCAAAAAATTCAGAGTTGTCTGGTGTAAAATGTACAGAAGTTACCAACTCAGATTTATCTACAGTGATATTGATAGGAACCGGGGGGTTGTCATGTCTACACCACAAATTATAGCCATTTTATTTATTATCCAAAACCACCAGCGAACCTATATGTGCCTTGTAAGTTTTATATGTAATATTTATTAAAATAGTGGAAAATCTGAAAAAAAAAAAGTTTTTTGATACTATTTTGCTTCCCCAACCCCCTGCATGTACCCCTCTGCATAAATGAATTAAAATAAATAGATTAACATTTTAAGCCACTTTATCACAAAAGTATCATAAAACATTGTCTCATTGTGACATTAGGCAGTGTATTTATAACCATTACATGTAATAACTGTCTGTGAGGGACCTTTTAGCGACGTTAGACTCTTCAGACGTCTGGTTCCTATCAACACCACTGTGAACAATTCTGACTCAGTGTGTATCTGTAACGGAGTAACGGAGTACTTTACACCAAACCACTCTGATTACTTTCTTAACCATTTAATTATGTAGACTTTTTGAAAAATTGGTGGAGCTCCCCTTTAAGCCAAAGGACGCGAGATGTGATTCATTTGATTCGCCACCCAAAGTGGTTGATGTACCCACAGCCCAAACAAACCGGAATCAAAATTGTGCTTTTGCGCGTACATTGAAAAAATAGTTCATGATTCAAGTGGCTGCACACAAATAAACGTAATCTCATTCTTTAAGTTTAGTTGTTTGGCAATAAATGTGTTTCTTATGATACATATTATATTCATTTGCACCTGCTTGACTCGTTTGGGGCCAATTTTTCACAGTGGAAGCAGTTACGATTCATTCACTTTCGTGAATCGATTCGCTCGGCTCATATGAACGATTCGTTCGACAATTCCTGACAGTATTCCGTTAAACGGGAGCAGCGGGGACGGTCCCGTAACGAGATAACACACGGGACCAAAATTGGATCACAAGTAAGTTATCCTTTAAGACATTAACGTTAAGTCTGAACCCTTTAAGGTGGGCTTTCGTTATTTTCGAAGCTCAGGCTGAGTTTTTTCAGTCACTTTGTTGTAAAAACCCGGCTCGGCGGGTAGGAGATGTAGGTTAGCTTAGCTACAGCTAACGTAAACGCACAGAGGGCTGGGACGGAGTAATGGCTTATCTTTCTGCGGTTATAAAAACTATTCACCAAACTACCACACAGTTTTAGTTGCTTTTGACACCATTTCAGCCGTTGTTTGGGCTTCTTTCGAGGCGTGTTTATGGTCTTAGGTTGTTGAAAGTCTCGGCTGAATCGCCTGTTGCTTCCCCAGCAGGAGAGCTCAGGAAAGCGGATTGATGGCAGTCCTGCTGCTCGACTGCGGCGAGGGGAAAAACACAGACTCGGTTTAACTAAAACAGTAATCTTGCCCGAGTTGGTTATTTAAAGATAAATGTTATCACACTGTATTTCGAACAATTACCAGATAATAAACGACTTTCTGAGGTAAAAAGGATGCTTAAAGCGACAGCATCCGAATAACAGGCTAGCCCGCAGCTAGGCTGCAGGTCCTTGTGATGAAGCTACCCAGATCAGACAATGATAGATTAGCAATCACACCGTTCAGCCTGTAACCGCTGTTATTTGTATTATTTTACATCTATATCAAGGTGGTTATTTTTAAACGTGTACAGAACATGCATTTCAGGTAGGTGTGGTTGGCTCCAGTACGAACTTTTCTGCACAGTTTTGTGCTGTTACTTTTCTTTTTCCAGACATATAAAGGCTTTAATAATGGCTCAAACTAGACTCTGCGTTTTCATGGACATACGATGCAAGCTACGTACTGTTAATCTGGTGTGTTATGTGGTGTGAAGTTAGCAGAGATGACTAGTTACTTCAGTAAAATTGTGATTAAATAATATTGTTTCGAATAATATGCTGAAAAGTTTTTTTTTGCAGACGGTAATGCTTTTGCCTGCTGAGATTTGTGAGGAAACAAATGTTTAATTTTCAGTCCCTCACCTTGTGTTCTTAAAGGGTAATTCCACCAATTCTTCAAAATTAGGATACTTCAGTCCCTGAGATGTAAAAAAGTAATTCAGAGTGGTTTGATGTGAAGTGGCTCATTGTAGAGCAACCTACAGATTTCTTTACAGTGGTAGTGATAAGAACCAGGGGTCACAATGTATACATCACAATGTGTACAACACAGCCATTTAACTTACTATTCAAAACTACTAGTGAACCTACATATGCTTTCTGTGTTTTAATATGTAATGTTGATGATGTTGTAATAGTCAGTAATCTGAAAAATATGTTTTCTCTGGGTACTATTATGCCTCGTAATGCCCTTCCTGTACCCCTCCGCCATGAATTAATTTAAAAAAAATGGATTAAAATAGTTTTTTTTTATCACAAAACTATCATAAAACAATGTGTCAGACATCAGGCAGCATATATCTAACAGTTACCTGTATTATGTTTCTGTGAGGGAGCTTTTAGAGGCGTTAAATTCTTCAGATGTCTGGTTCCTATCACCACCATTGTGAACAATTCTGACTCAGTACGTTTCTCTAGAACGGAGCGTTTCACACCAAACCACTCTGAATGACTCATCCATTTCATTATGTACAATTTTTTTATTAGTGGAGTTCCCCTTTAATCCCTTTTCAATTCTGTTTCATGTCATTCTGTTGTGTGTGACTCTGACCAGTACTTGAGGAGTTTTTGGACCTGATACTTTACTTATGTTTGGCTTTTGGGAGCTGTTTGTACTTATTTGTACTCATTATTCCATTAAAGACTTTTACTTGGCTATGGTTTTAGGGTATTCAAGCCACCCCTCTAGGAATTTGACGAAGTCTTCTGTTTTTTTTTGGTATCTTACGCTCTAATTAACTGCAGTGTTAATTGCTAGTTATTGAGTGTTCAGTAATAACTCCACAATGACCGCTTTTGATTGTTGCAGGATATTTGGCACAGCTTTTAAAAGCTAGAAGCTTCTAGACACTGCAGAAAAGCCCAGTGTTGTTTGTAATTAGGGGTTACGTGACTTTGTTATTAAGGCTAGCCAGAAGCTGTATTTGATGATTTTTATGCCTGTGCTCAAGCTATGTAGTAACTAGAGAGTTTGTAGCCTAGTTTTCAGTCTAGTTCTACAAATAGACCTGTTCCTTGACTTGAATGTTAAAATATTTTGTCATTTAATTAATTATTTAATTCTATTTGTGTCACGCCCCTTTGAAGAATCCATGTTAACTGTAAATGTTGACATGACTCTATCACATTATTGTTTTTAAGAAAAGATAGAGCAACATTCCACAAGTACATCTATATTACATTGACACAGTGTTGCCTTTCAGTTTGCTGACTTTTGGCGTACAGTCGTGTGCAAGGGTTTTGATGCCCTGGTCAAATTACAAAGAGTTTTTGATTTTTTGAGTAAAAATAAGTTAACACATCCTCTACAGAGAACATGCTCCTGCACATTTTAATGCACAATTACTGTTTATTTGCTGAGAAAATAAAACATAAAATATGGCTTGTGCAAAAGTTATTGCACATTACATATTTTATGTTTTATTTTTTTTCCTATATGTTAAACTCAGCATAAAAAGAGAAATTATGCACTTAAATTTGCAGAACATGCCATATGCAAGTTTATGTTGCTGAGTTTAATATATTGGGAAAAAATGAAACATAAGTATGTGAAATACTAGGCCATAATTATGTTAAATGTGCAGAACTGTGTTCCCTGTAACTTATTTTCACTTAGCAAATCAACAAAATGTAATTTAACAGGGGGTATTCAAACTTTTGCATACAACTGTATGAAACCTTTACTTAACACTTACAGATTCTCATTGAGCTTATATGGAGTTATACTGCAGTAATGGTTTAAAATAAGGCCCTATTCACACCTGGCATTAACGTTCGCTTTAAGGGATGCAGTTAGTGGACAGCACTATGTACAGGTGTAAATGGGGTCCAAAGCAATCACTCAAGCCATTTTCAGAGGTGGTCAGGGATGCTTATGACCACATAACATTTGTAGTGTGAATGCAAGAGCATCTTGACCAGCAATGAAGGACTGCCTAAACAACATTGTCATCACAGCAGAGAAACTGTGAAGCTTCTTTCTATGTTTCCTCTACTGTTTGTTGCGTTAGCAGGCCATGTGGTCTAAACATTTGTAAAAGCTCGTACATTCACACAATGGAGCATTTCTGTCAGAAACCAAATATTCTAAGAAACCAAACATTCTAAGATGGATGTTAATACAAGGTATAAACAAAGCCTAAACCAGATTCTCTGCATCGCAAATATTTTGTTACTTGGCAAAATCATTTCTTTAGGAACTTTACTTGACTATGTTTTTAACTGTTGTGCCCACCTTTATTTATAACTAGAAGAATGCTCTCTCTGTACGCGGAAGTCTGTGTTGTAGATGTGACCGTGCCAGGTGGCAAAGTCAATTATTGTAGTCCAGGCTGACCGTATGCAAATGACAATCCTTTAGTAAGAGCATTAGTCCAATACAAAAGCAACAACAGCCCTCCATTAACTCTTAGAAGTTAAGAGTTATTATTGTCATTGTGCTAAAAATTTAAATGTAATTACATAATTACATGAATAATTACATAGTTATGTCATGAATTTCACTCACGTTTGATTAAGGTTCTGTATTGACAGGTTTGCATCTGCTTTCACAACATCATTTATCTGTTTGTTTTGATGTCAGTAACAAAAATGAGCCACAATTATAAAGAATAGTTTTCTTTCTGCAAAACGAGACTGTATACACAGTAGTGTCTCATCATATTCAAATCATAATACAATATATCTTCTTCTACTTACTGACACAAGTGTGGTATGGGTTAAAAATTCAGAATCTGCTGTTTCTACAGAATTTCTCCACTTGTCTCACTGAACTAAGAGTGAGAAGTTATTTTACTAGGTAGTAATTTATACAGTATCAAACCATACTTTAGTCATTGCAGGCAGTAACTGTGACCTCTAAGGATTAAATTGCCAGTTTAGAGGTTGTACCGCTTTGCTGTTTCTTCCGGAAAGTGATGTGAAAGTAGACATTACCAGACATCAGTGTGAGTGAGATTTTTGACAGGGCTGTCAAACTGTATGCCTGGAGTGCTAAAGCATTGGTTTAATGTTTTGCTTGCTCTTGTCCATCAGCCTTAAGTCAAGAAGTCCTGAATTCACTCAGGTATATGAATAGTGGAACTGGCCAAAAAATTAATAAATGCTTATGAATGAATCATAATCTAATGAAATCTCTTTTAAGTCATGCGAACCAACTACAAAATGTTTGTCAATTGAACATAGTTGGCTTTCAAGTGATTATTTAATTACAGTATTTATTTATGTATTTTTTATAGGGGTCTTTTGTGAGTTAGAAGATCAGCGAAGAGTGAAGACCAGATAAAAGATGATTGAATCAGTTGGTAAGTCTTAAATCATTTATCCTGCCCTGACTTCTGATTTGCTGTGGTTTACAGATTTTTATGTTTGTAAGGGAAACTGTTTAGAATTTTTGCATACAATTACAATACTATACAAAAACAGTACCAGCTCCTATTCATCCTTTGGAGCTTTTAGCTTCGCCCCTTGTTCTCGTATAAGTCAAAGCTAAGTGGCTACAGCTCTCTAAAGTCAGATAGATTAGTGGATTGCTCAGATAACTGGTTAGCTCTGATGTTTAGAGCTTTGCTGGTATTCTGATATCCATGTTTACTGTTGTTAGACAGCTCAGTGATTTGCAGCACTCGTTTTGGGTAACTCTCTAATAATAATCATTTTTTAGCAGAATATGTTTTCTTATGTCGTCCTTATATTCTGTGCTTTGTCATCTTGGTATTTCTTTTTTTACTCAAAGCCTAAGACAGTTTACATGAGCTTCTGGAGTTCATTCCTTGACACTGAAGAAAGATAAGCTCTGACACTTTCCAGATTTCCTAGATTTGGAAGTGTCAGCCACATGCTACTGATGGCTTGGCACCATGCAGAGTCTATGTCAGTCCTTTGACCCATGATTGTCACACAGGCTCGGAATCTGTCTAACAAAGATGAAAATGTAGCAGAAAACTGCCTCATACAGTCAGTGAGGTGGGTTTAAAGTGATAGCATGTTACATTTAGGCCTGTGCAGAAAAGTAAAACAACAACTGTCATTATTGACATAAATTACGTCATGCTTTCCTGAGCACATTGCAGGTCTCGTCAGTATGTCTGTAACAGTAGCTATTTGCATGCTTTATAAAAAAATATTTAGACCAGTTAGGGCAGAATAGGTTTCACACTGTGAAAACTGTTTAGTAAAAAGGAATTGATTGGACGTCATCCCATTATGCCATTATCTTATTTATTACATATTTTTATACATTTTTTTCCTCCTGTAGCTTATGTTGAATAAAATAAAAAACTGTAGTACATACATCATTTTTTAATTATTACTATTTAGTTGTTACTACTATTTTGCTGTGCACTGTGTCTGTTCCAACATCTTAGGAAACAATAGAAAAGATATAATGCTACGTATATCGTGAAAATGTCTTTAAGTATCACAATAAAACATTTTCGCCATATCACCAACTCTTACCAGAAACACTCTTTATTCGTAGCAGCTTGTAAGGGTGGTGATATGCCGAAAATGTGCGTTAGAAGAGAAACACAGTATGAATATATAGCAAGATAGCGGAAACACATTTACACAAGGTCACGAGAAGCTATGAAAATACCATGTAATGTGTTACAAGTGATAGTGAATGTGTGTACCCTACCCAACCACAAGCTCCCTAACTCCAACACCCCATACAATGATTTCTTTAAATTCAAAATGCAATGTAAGAAGGAACAAGAGGAAAAAACAAAGAAATGATAAAAAGAAATGAATAAAACCAAAATGATAATGGGCTGTTATCCAGTCAACTAGTTGTTAATATGCAGATACCATACACAGGTGGTTGTTGTTTTTGTTTTTGTTTACAGGCTGGTCTAAAAACCCATCATTTGTTGATTTATTTCATGCAAATGATAGCAAGACACTAAGACGCACGCATATAAACATAACTGAACTTTTAAACATGCTGGGTTATGTAATATCCTACAATAATATCATATTTATTGCGCCTAATGTAGATGAGATTGCTCTAGAAATGCAGCTGTTGAGCTGCACTGGTTAAACACACTTGGTGTTACAGGCAGATATCATGCCTGTACAAAAAGCCTCTTAAATGGTGCATTGTACATTTTAGTACGTCCTCAGACCATGAAACAAAACAGATTCATCTCACTGTCATGTACAGTGAAGCTAAGCTATGTAGTTACAAACACCACAGCACTGGATTGTGGAGTTCGTCTGAGACTTGCAATTCTGCTCCTAATTACTAGATTAATGACACTTTCATGGCCAAATTAAAGGTGACAGTAACAACAACCACAACTTTTACTGAACTGCGAGTGTTGTTTTGACCCAGCCTGTAACTCACATGCTATCACTTTTTTGCTCCAGCAGGATTCGACAAAGGTAAAGCTTAGGGTACGTCTTAAAATTACTGGAAGAAAAAGTGGTGCTATTATTATTTTTATTGTTATTAGCATTAGTAGTATCTCTGCTCTGAAATATCATGAAGTGTCAGAAAGACATGATTACAAATAATAGCCTATTAAGTTCTGTCTTAATGGCTCAGACAATAAAAAAAAACAAAAAACGTCTTGAGGCCAGACTTGAGTGCTACAACTTTACCAACCATCCCACCTGGACCGCAGTTTAACAGTTTAGTGGTTATTTTCCAAAAGGTTATCCAAATATCAATATCAGTCTGTCTACAGTAACAATAACGTATCGGCATGTTGCCCATCCATAGAAGCATGCATGTGGGCCGTGTTAGCATCCAGCAGGATCTCAACACAGCTTTCGCTTGCATTGCCCAGTCTTAGATCAATGTTTGAGAGTTATTTCTATCAAACAGTGTGACACTCTAATTGTTTACTTGAAACACTTTGTGCAGACAAAAGTAGAGATCACAGAGGACTCCAGGTTTGTTCGAACTGTGCATGTCCTCTGAGACTGCAGAGAGAGTTGTTGTTTGTTATTGGATTTCCTGTCATTGCTTTGTGAAGAGGGACTGTTTGAGATCACTGTTAAAGAGGTGCACACACACACACACACACACACACACACACACACACACACGGTTTGGATTCAGTCACGCTCCATGAGCACAGAACCGACCTCCACTGGTCCAGACTCTCCTGCAGTGCTGCGCTCACAGCATCTGCACATCAGAGTCAAGATTGAGGGGCTTAGCCACACACACAGGTTTGTTTTGTGCTAAAAATACTACTAATAATATATCCTATATATAATCTATATAGGTAAGTGTCTACATGTAATACAAATATATTCCACATGTAATATCTAGTTATATGTATGTATACCTAAATGTAATATATCCAATGTGTATCACATGTGACACTTATGTAACACATGCTATGTTTCTTGTTTAACAAGTGTCATTCAATTCAGTGCATGCATTAGATAGCCCAACTTATGCAAGATAATAATAATAATGGTAATAATATTTGACCTGTAGAAGAAGAGAGTGACAACAGGTCCAGATCAAATTTCGAACCTTTTGTTGCTCCTAAGCAACATTTTTGCTCGGCAGCTGTGACAGAACAACTAAACAAACTGAGAAAAAGTTCAGCAAACAAGATGGGCTGTGAAATGCTTCACAGTCTGACTGCATTCAAGTTATTCTGACAAAAAATGGAAAAAGTTGAGCTGAACCTAGTACTGTGACAGCTTTGTGGCTCTATCCGTATATCTGTAACATAATAATTGGTCCCATAGGATCATTCTGTGTACAGTAGTAAGCAAACATTTGGGTTAACTAGTCAAATGACATATTTTGTTAATATTTGTATGTTGAAATAAGTGGATATACCCTCTTCAGAGTACACACTTCTGAGAACTGTAATGCACAATTAATGCTCACTTACTGGATTTAATGTATTAGGAAAATAAAACATAAAAATTGACCTGGGCAAATGTAATGGTATGTTATATTTATTGATTTGTTTTTTTCAAAACTTTAAACTTAGCTTAGAAATAGAAACTTTGTACTAAAAATTGCAGAAAAAATGGCATATTTTAGTTTGTTCTCTGAGGATGTGCTAACTTATTTTCACCTAGAAAATCAACAAGCATGTTATTTGATATAAACAAAATATAGAGTTGCGTACGACTATATATTGTAGCTGTCGCAACAAATCTTGTATTTCCCATACAGTATCTGAATGTTGTAGAATTCCCTAAGTTTAACCCTGAACCTAATTCTAAGCTTAATCTCAGAAACCAAAAAGAATTAGTTTTGCTCTTTCAGTTCTCTTTCACTCACTCATACACACACACACACACACACACACGCAAACTTCTTTCCACTCATGACTTATCTTCCCTCCATCTTTCTCCTTCACACACACACATTCACACTGTAAAACAGAATTTACATTCTGAGGTCTTTTTCATTTTTCATTTTTTCCTCTCTGCTCAGCCTTAGAGCTCTGCTCTGTGGTATAAGGTGAGCTCCATTGGGCAGTGTTAGAGCTAGCCTAAACCCATGTGCTGCATCTCTCTCTCTCTCTCTCTCTCTCTCCATCAATCATTCACTCCATTCTTAGCTAAAGCGGGGTGGGTCGTGTTACCCAGGAGGCATCTCAGATTCTATTACTCCAGTCTGGAACAGAGCGTTCAGCAGCTACTGCACAAAAAATAAAACAATGACAGGACGCAGTGTTATTGTTCTTTTGCCGTTATTACTGGTGCCGGTGTTTATGTAGACATACAAATATGATCCAGCCAAGCATGTTGTGTTCCGGTACAAAAGAAATTAAACATATTTTTTCATAAGTGATATTGGTAGCTGTTTAAACAGTGTTTACAGCTTTATGAGAATGTATAAAATGAAAAGAGGAACAAGGATATTTCTCAAACCTACTTCAGAGTGTCTGGGCCTTTTTCTTTTCTTTCTTTCTTTCTTTCTTTTTTAACAAACCATATAAAAAGTAAATGTTCTTCGTCTAATAAAGTTTCTTTCATTCTACTGTGAGTAAAGTTAGAGGAGCATGTCAGTGGGTGAAGAAAAAGTAAGTGTATTAAAGCTGTAGTAGCTAATCAGTTGTAGTGTTTGTGTCTGACTAAGATTCTAAGGCAGCTGAGTAGTTTATTTTTTCTTTATTTCTGTATTTACTTGTCCACTAGAAGTTAATTTTAGTTAAAGCTGTATATATTTCTGCAAATGGAAGTTTGGATGACGTAGCTAGGGAGTGTACGTAGAAGTTATGCACTGCTCTGTTTTACTGAACTGATTATTTACATGCAATACTCTGCAGCTACTGAAGAAGCTTTAAAGGGCCCGTATTGTGGAAAAATGACACATTTACTGCTTACTATGCAGCAAAACAGCCAGTTTTTAATTCATTGTTTTTGTGATGAAAACCAACACATTTTCAAATATCCATCTGTTCAGCTTACAGCAGTTTAGGCCTGAAGTTATAAGGAACATTTTCAGTGTACAGTATTATAGGCTAAAGAGAGTAAAGGTTTGATTTATAAATACTGTATTCCTGAAGTGTGTGTCTCTCCTCAGACACCCAGCGCTGTCTGCAGGCAGTGGAGCGACTGCAGGCCCGTCTGAAGGAGAAGGGGGGCGACGTGCCCTCCGATGAGAAGCTGAGCCTGCTCAAGTCTGTTCTGCAGAGCCCTCTGTTCCACCAGATTCTTGCCCTACAGAAATCCGTACAGCACCTGAAGGAACAGGTAGGATAATTACGAGACCCACATTCCATTTCAGATTATGACATCTGTGCAGGTTAGGCAAAACTAAATGACAGGTGTGTAAATACTCTCAAAATGATCCAATTTAGTTATGATTCTATAGGAAATGATTCAATACATCATTAAATGTCAGATTTCACCACAGTTAAATTCAATTAATTTTTTTTTACCTGATTTAGAATTCTTTTTTAAAACACATCAAATACAACAAATCATGCTGCTAAAAAAAAAATGGATTCTGCTGTTTTTCCACACCAGCTGAACTTTACATTGTGTGGACCAAATGAAGCTAGGAAAAAATCTTATTACATTACTGGCATTAACAGTAAAGAAGGTTTTTGCTTTTTCCTGTAAAGTTACCACTTTGGAGATTCTTGTTTTTCTTGGACAGCCATGGAATGTGACCACACTAAAAATGTTGTTTTAAATTTACTGGATTCAATCGAGTACATTGGTTCCACATGAATGAAATATATTGAGTCAAGACAAGACAACCAATGCAACATGCTTGTTATTTTGGCCAAAAAATTGAATATTATTAGAATAATAATTATCAATGCCTCACAATGCGCTAATGCTGAAACACTTTAATAATGAAGTCAGAATTTCAAAGAGAGCAATTTTAATTAAAGCTTACATTATCAACACTGTTGTCTTAACAAGTTTCATATGGAGAAATTTAACCTAATAACACTCAGCTTGTGAAATGCCTGTAGATAAGTTAGACCAATAAGAAGCAACCAAGCAGCCATGTGTTGTGCACTTGACAAGGCAATCACAATCAACTGGCAGTCTGGTGCACTACCTTAAATGTTCAGGAAAAAGCTGATACGCTGGTCTTTTTGTGCTGATGATAGGGCCAGCGCTTAGACGGTTGCACAAAAAACAGCCCTCATTTCATAAAAATAATCTCAATTTAAATCATGATATTGGTTAAAAATATTGCACAAAATCTTTCAGTCTTATGCTCCTCAGTAGTACCATGTTGAGTTTTGCCCTAGTCTTTAAAGCATCTGAAGAAACCGAAAAGACAGCATTACTAATTCGGGCTGTGTTGTTAATAACCTGAATAAAATTGCAATTGAGGCTCTTTTAGTTAAGTGAGTCATTACTCATTAGAGAAAGATAGCAATTAATACATTACATAATAATATGCTCAGTGAATCTGATTCCTGTAACTAATGCAAATTGCTGCAGAAATGTGTACTGAATCATAAATTACAGCTACACAGTCTAGCAGTGACTATAAATCTAGTACTCAGAATGCACTGCAGTGTACTCATGTTCCTTGGCATGACCCACAATTTTTATACCTGGGTGACTTTGGCATGCAAAGTCACTCATTTGCTCAATATGGGGCTTTGAGCCACAGTGTAAAGTGTTCCAGTCTTCTAGTGTTTGGAGAAGCTTGTTATGACTCACTGTTCTGACTTTGTAAAACTTTAATCATCTTTAACCACGTCAGCGGTTCGTTCTTCTGCTAAACCACAGAATGTAAGTCAGAGGTTACATTTGCCAACTCTTACCGTAAGAGTGCAGATTTAGGATCAGTATTTGTGTCTTATGTAATGAATACTGTTACAGAGGGTCCGTAAGTAAGGAGTTTATGGTGTTTTGGCCCTGCGCTCCAGCACATTGAATTTAAAATGAAACAGTCACTATTAGGTTAAAGCCCAGAGTGTCAGCTTTAGTTTTAGTGTATTTACATCTACATTGGCTGAATCATGGGAAAGTAGATTAACTCTTAGAAGTCAAACGTTCTAACTTTTGTTTTGTTATACTATTCAGTTGTAATTATGCATTTACAGTTCTAATTAGAAAGTAAGTTACTTGACAAATTAAATTTACATTCGCGACAGGGTTGAGTTTGCAGTTCTGATCTCATTTGTTTCAAATGTTAAGAAATGACACATGAAGATATTTAAATCATAATGAAATGTCTCTTCTTCGGCTCACAAACACACACGTGGTATGGATTGAAAGTTTGTCTGATATAATACGATATAACAACAGCTAATATATTATTAGTCGATGACCAAAATATCAGTTGTAGCTGATTATCGTTCTGAAATTGGAATTACTGCTGATAATTATTTGGGACAATAGGTAGCATACAAATAAAAACAAAAAACTGTGATTTATAAATCTACTTCGACCTGTATTTAAACATAAACAGTACAAAGACAAGATATGGAATGTTTTACTGTATCTGCTTCATTGTTTTTCAATGTAAATATGCACTTAACACAGAAACTGATGTCTGCAGCATGATTCAAAAATGTTGGGGCAGGGGCAGTTTAAGACTAAGAATGTTGGAAAATGCTCAAAAAAACCATCATAAACAGGTGGTGCAATTATGCTTGGGTATAAAAGGAGCATCCAGCAAAGGCCTAGTCCTTTATGAACAAGATGGGTGAAGACTTACCATCTACCCAAAAAGACATCAGCAAAATCCAACAGTTATTTCACCTTTTACAGCATATAATATAATCAAAGGATACAGGGAATCCAGAGTGTAGCCACAAATCAATGCCCATGACCTTCGAACCCCTCAGATGGCGCTGCTACAAAAATTGGCATGTTTCTGTGATGGATGTCACCACATGGGCTTGGGAATACTTTAAAAAATGTCAATAAACATTGTCCATTGCCTTATCCACAAATGCAAATTAAGCCTGTACTATGCACAGCAGAAGTTATATGTCATCAGCACCCATAAATGATACTGGCTTCTATAGGCTCGAGCTCATCTGAAATGGACTGATGCACAGTGGAAACGTGTGCTGTGGTCTGACGAGTCATCCCTTCAGATTGTTTGTGGAAGTAATGAACGTTGTGTTCTCATGGCCAAAGAAGAAAATGACCATCCCTGACTGCATTTCCACAAAAACATCTTTGAGCAACCACTGTAGTTACTGAATAATAAGCTTTAGTATGTAATAAGCCTGGGATTTTAAGAGGTTAAGAGGGTCTGATCCTGAATCAGCACTATAATATGATGAATGAATATTTGGTGATTTTACCTTATAGTTTTTCTTGAAGTGTTGAACTGGTCACTGCGGTTTTGGTATCTTGGGCGTCTGAGTTCAACCTGAGTGAGTTTGTGGTGAAACTATGTGAGCTATGCCGGGGGAGGCTGGGATAGTGTAGGAATGGAGATTATCAAACGCCTGCATTCTCTCTCTCTCTCTCTCTCTCTCTCTCTCTCACCACCTCTCTTTCTGTCTTTAGTTTTCTTCTCTTGCTCTCTTTCTCCCTTTCCCTCTCTCTCTTGCTTTCACTAATGATTCTCCTCACTAATGAGTCTTCCTTGTTTTTTTCTCCCTCTCTCTCTCTCTCTCTCTCTCTTTCCCTCTCCCTGTCTCTCTCTCTCCTGTCTCCCTCTCCCCTTCTCTCTCTCCTTCTTATTTTCTCTCTCTCCTATTTCATTCTCCATGTCTCTCTCTCCTATCTTCTTCTCCATGTCTCTCCTTCTCCTTGTCTTTCTCTCATATTTCCCTCTCTCTGTCTCTCTCTCTTTGTCTCACTCCCTCTCCCTTTCTCTCTCACCCTCTTTTCTCTCTCCTGTCTCCCTCTCCAGTTTTCTCTCTCCTTTCTCTCTATCTCTCTCCCCTGTCTCTTTACTCTCCTCTATCTTTCTCACTCCCTCTCTTACTCACTCTGTCCTCTCTCTCTGTTTTCATTATTTTTCTTCTTTTACCTTCTTTTTCTCTGTCTCTCTCCCTAATTTTTTTCTCCCCCCTCCCCTCTCACCCCTCCTGCCCAGTTCTGTTCTTATGAGCCTGTAATGTCACTAATGACTCAAAAGGAATGAAGGCTGCTTTATTCAGCCGTGATTTGCCAATCAGTCACTGTGATAAATGCTAAATGGAGCTTTGCCAGCTCATATTTATGAAAGTTACAATTTCAGCTCACAGTCGAAACAGCTAAATTGAGACGTATGAACCTTTATCCTCAGACAGGAAGTGGAGTGAGAGAACACTGAGCCGGTAGTTTTGTCCTGAGGCACTTGGCACTCACACTGCACCTGAACAAAAACATCATCAGGGCCTTTATTTGTTTGTCCCGGAGCCTCCATTGGACCCTGGCTGTTTACAGCAACCAGTGGGCCAGGCTTTGTCTTTGTCCCCATGGTGACCAGACTGCAGAGGTGATGTGGGGCAGAAGCAATTTCTTAAATGTGCAAGAACCAAACTGGAACGCTAATCCTCTTAGCAACGCAAGCTAACGAACAACACGCACACTTGGTGCTAACGTAGCTTAGTGCATTCAGAAAGCTGCTCGCACATGACTGCTCTTCTTCTGAATGGGCTAAGCTCGGGTTAAGCTACATTTACAGCGGAGAGCACTTCATAGGGATTTAACGTGTACTAAACCAAACAAATGACACTGCAGTACGTAATCATTTAATGCAAAGTTACCTTCTAAATGCAACCAGCATTTGCTCCAATTTGACTGTACCCTACAAAAAATGTATATATATATATATATATATATTTGTATGTGTGTGTGTGTGTGTGTGTATATATATTTATATGTAATCATGGATGCAGCGCTGCTGTGTCTGGCCCACTCGTACCAGCACAACACACTCTGACACACCACCACATCAGTGCTGAGAAGGATCCACCACCCAAATAATACCTGCTCTGTAATGGTCCTGTGGAAGAACAGGGTGAAAGGGGGCTAACACACACACACACACACACACACACACACACACACACACACACACACACATGTGTGTGTACATATAAATCTTTGTATAAAGCTAGTTCTGTGTTTAATTTAGTCAAATGTAAAAGTTGGAACAGACCTGGTCTAATTGCATTTTTTGTTGATGTTCTCTGCCACAGAGAAAACTCTTAAACATGGCAATTCTGCAAATTGTAGTTCACATTTTCTGTTTATTTGCTGAGTAATAAAACACACAGTACAATATGTGCTATAACTTTTGCACAGACCACATTTTGTCCTGTTAAATTAAGCGCATAAATAGTACTTGTGCATTCAGTATGCATAAGTGTGTTCTCTGTAGAGGATGTGGTCACTGATTTTCATTTAGAAAATCAACAAAAAGTAATTTGACCAGGGTTGTGGTTGTAGTATATTTGTAATATATTTAATTTGCCAAGTAAACTGTTATTAGTCTAGTAATAAAGCACAGTCTAGTAATAAAGCACAGCCAATGCCAATTTTACCATCTTAGACAGCTTATCTCAGCCTGATATCTTCGTCTTTGAAGCCACTGTGCCTGAGGCAGTTTAAAACAGCCTGTTTAGTTTATATGTGAGAGAAGAGATGTGACCTGAAGCAGATTTTTAGTCTAAAACATGATGCTGTGGTCTGAGGCTGTATTAAAATGTACACTGTACACTGTGTCTTGCTGTGGACATTGAAATATGTTTGCAGCACAGAGTGTGTTCAACCAGCCCAGCTCAACAGCTGTGTTTACAAAACAATCTTGTCTGTGCTAGGTATGATACATTTGATATTAAGTATGTTCCTAGGTGGGAATGTGTTTTGTTATGTTTTGCATGAAAGAGATCAATTAATGTATAGCCTGGTTTTAAATTCTCGCTCAGAAACTGTCACAATGCAGCCAACCTTAAAGGCAGCATGAAGATTCTTTATATAGTGATAAAAACAATAGCACAAAGAAAGCTCAGGTTCCTTGTGCTGATCCATTTACTATGATCAATGTGGAAGTGCATGCATGCCAGCTACTCTGGGGGCAGAGAGGTAAAAGAGGGGACGCACAAACACTCTGAATGCATTGCTGTTCAGTTTGAAAGGGTTGATGAGAACATAATAGTTTCTCTTTGAGAGGATCGTCATGTTTTGCATGTTCCTAGACATTTTTTATGTATTTTCACCCTTGTGAAAATGTCTAGCATTTTCTAGCAAAAAATAATGGCTGACATTATTGTCAATTTGCTAAACATTTTTTTTAATTTATATTATTTTTAAATGTGAGTGCATTATTAATGAAGTAGCACATAATACACATTCAATATACATTCTGTATTGACGAGTTTGAGTGTTTCTTTCGAGTCTTTTAATATTTTTTGTTTGTTTTAATGTCAAGCAATGACAGAAACATGGAAAAACATAGTTGTATCTTTTTCTGCAAAACAGGACTGTACACACAACTGTACATTTTTATTTCCTTTTCTACTTACAAACATGGCATAAAAGCTTAGAATCTGCACTTTCCACCCTGTTTCATCTCTACAACGAGCTACAAGTGAGAAATAATTTATTTAAAATTACACACATACCTTTATCATCAGCAATTGCGACTTCTAAGAGTTAGGTAATCTCACTGAGTGATATCTTTCTCTGCTAGCAGATATTTTCCTTCAGGCATTTATTTCTTAAATCCTTATTTTTTCTTTCTTCTGAGAGGCATTTGAAGCAGTAAATTGCCTTTTCCACAAATTAATGTTTTACAAAACGTGCAGTACATCATGGATAAGAAATATATTTCACAAAACATCTTGAAGAGTCAAGTAATCGAGGTTGTATGTATCACCAGAGGCATCATAAAGTTCAACTGCACAGCTGTTTTCTGAGTCATATTCTGTCTTGATAATTGATGCAAAACATTTTGTACTTTATCAAGATCAGGGCAGGTGGGTAAATATGGAAGTTAATTAGGCAGTTGTGAGGTTTAATGAAGAACACATGTGGCCATATGGACCGAGAGGAGAAATGATCCTGGAATTATTAAAACTAATGTGTTTTTCTCTGCTTCAGAGCGACTGTTTATATTCTCAGATGATGAATAAATAAAAAGACAATTAAAGCCACCCATTGATCAGAGGAGTATTTCATTTTATCTAAACATATTTTCTATCTGTTTCTCACTCCCTCAAACTGTCTCTCTCTCCCTCTTTGTCTCTCTGTCGCTATCTTTTCTCAGGCTCCGTGTGTAAACTCAGATTACAATGGGGGATATGTTGACTTGTCTCAGATTAACGGACAGCCCTCACCGGAAGAACATGAGCGCATCATTCGGGCCATGGCACAGGTGACACACAAACACACACACACACTTGTTTTTCTTTAGTGTCAGGGTGTAAGTTCATACATATGAAACAGTGCTCAGAAGAGTCACATATGTATTATATATGCTAATAAACATTACGACCACCTGCCCAATATGCTGTTGGCCCACTGAATGCCACCAAAACAGCTCCGATCCGCCGAGGCATGGTCTGACCTCTGAAGGTGCCCTGTGATATCTGGCACCCAGATCCAGAGATTATCAGCAGAACATTATCTAGAGTGTTACATTCCCTACGCCAGCTTGTTTTCTTCCCACAGTGCATCTTGGTTCCATCACTTGCCCACTTGGCTAGCCATGCTCCAAAGTCCAGTTCTGACACTTGAATGCACATATATGTGCTTATGTTGGTGGACAGGGTTAGCTTGGGCACTCTGACTGGTCTGACTGGCTACGTAGCCCCAGACACAGCATAACCGCCTTTAAAATTTCTGTGACTTGGGCCACAGTAGCCTTTCTCTCGATGGGATAGCCTTTGTTGTCCTTGTGCATTGATAAGCCTTTGGCGTCCAGTAGCCTGTCCATGGTTCTTGGTTTGTCTCTCATACTCACCACTACTGACTAGGAGCAAGCCTTTTCATTTCAGAGATGCTCTGACCCAGGCGTCTGACCATAATGCTTTGGCCCTTTCAGATTTTCATGTCTGCCCATTTATCCTGCATCCATGATGTTGACTGTGAGAACCAACTGTTTGCTTACTGTCTAAAACATCCCAGACCTTGATATGTGCTGTCGTTATAACATAATCAATGTTTTTTGCATCCTCTATGGCCAGTCCTAATGTTTTATATGTGTATATGTAAAAACCGAACCCTGATCTTAACCTCAGAAATGTAAGAAATGATTTTGTTACATTAAAACAATAAAAACATGGAGCTTTTGTAAAAAATGCACTTTACAAGGCCAGGAGCATTTTGGTTTTTGTCCTGTTTTTCTCTGATTTTCTACAAAGCCAGGACATTTTTATTGTGATAATATAAAATACACACACATACGTGCAAAAATCTGATTTCTTCTGTATATTTTATCTGTCACTTTTAACTTTGCTTAATGAAGATAAACACATTGTGTTCTTTGAAGTGATTTAGCTACAAAGAGTTAAAAAGTGTAAAATCTAATATACTGATGTGATAGTTACACTTACACTTGTCTAATTTGTTTTATTTTTTGTGTTTATTGCTGTGTGTGTGTGTGTGTGTGTGTGTGTGTGTGTGTGTGTGTATGTGGTCTTTTACACAGGGTCGGTACGTCACTCATATTGAGCTGGTAAAGCCAGTATCTGGTGGTTTGGGTTTTAGCGTGGTGGGACTGCGAAATGAGAACCAAGGAGAGCTGGGCATTTTCATACAAGAGATACAGACAGGAAGTGTTGCATACTGGTAATGGAACACACACACGCATATACATATGAACACATACACATATACACCTACAGCATTGCAAAAAACACACCTGCACATACAAAAGCAGAAACTAAAGTGCAGTTCAGGTGTGCATGTACCGGCACAACTTCAGCCTCATTACTAAATGAATAATAGTAGGCTCTTTATAGCTAATTAACCCTGTTGAACCGAGTGTCTTGCTGGTAAAGTCCTCTTTACTTCGGCGCATGCATGTCCACATTGGGGAGAGTGGCACGTCAGTGTGTAACATCAGGCTTTCTGTATGCTATCATGTTTCTAACACTGTATAAAAGATATACAAGTATTCTTTTATGGATGGATGCACCACATTTCTGCAGAGCGAGTGCCCAAACTCATTCAGAGCACAGTCTGAATCAGTAAGAGCTTATTATTGATTTGTTTAATCAGAGTAATGATAAAACGCTGAGGTGTGACACTTTCTTGTTCTGTTCAACCTACTTTGTGACACAAACTGACTAAAAATATACAACATTTCATTTTTGTTAGATCATGTTCGTAAGGGTCTATCCAAATACCCCAAATAAAGTGGGGCCGTTAATTTTATTAAAATCGAATTCAATAAAAAATAATACATGAATTCTTGACCAGACTCTGCAGATATGGTTAATATGGTACCACATGATTCAGCCACCAAAATATCTGTTCGCTTACTTGCAGCCTAGTGATACAACACACACAAATGCCCACATTTAAAGAGGACCATGGATTTCTTGCTTGTCTTAAGAGAATATTTTTATACCTGGCTGCTATACTGAAGAAAGGAGCTCTTTATAGTGAACTGCTGACTGTCCTTAATTCCATAATATTTCTCTACATTTCAACGCTGCTGTTAAGCTGATAGAAAAGCATCAGACATGCAGCGATCGGACTCTGCAGCATTCTGAGTCCATTTTTAAGCTATAATATTTCTTTCACTTGTGTATCAGTGGTGGCTGATAAAGGATCGTGAAGATAAATAGTGACAGTGTATCTAGATTAGGAGATGCAGTGCTTTCTGAGTTCAGTTCTGGTTTCTACTTTCTATTTATGACAATAATGGTGAACAGAAAAAAAAGATATCAGACTTTGTCAGGAAATTACATACTAGTTATATCTTAAATGATCTGAGTTTACTCAGGGTCATGCATGCCTAGACTATATCACTATATCTTTGTCAGTATGTCTAGACTGGAATAACTTTACTTGATTCAAATCTGTACATCATTTTCAACCTGAAGGACACTACAGTTTTGTCTATTGATTTATTGTGTTGATGTAATGTAATATGTATTAAGTTGACTGACTCACTTTTTGCAGTGTAAGATGAAACTCTAACTTTATTAAACAGTCTGTCTTGTTTATCAGTGATGGCAACCTTAAGGAAGGAGATCAGATCCTGGCCATAAATGGACAGCCGCTGGACCAGAATGTCACCCATCAGCAGGCAGTTGCTCTGTTACAGAGAGCATCAGAGCGCGTACAGATCACAGTGGCCAGAGGACCCGTCCCTCAGCTGTCCAGCCCAGTAGTGTCCAGAACGCCCAGCGCTGCCAGCACACTGTCTGCACATTCTAGTGCGGTGAGACAGGACACGCTTACAGTACCATTTAAAAGTTTGGAATCACTGTTTTCACTAATGTGAATTCAGTGTAGTTCCAGATAGATGTTCACTGCTGTTGATCTAGTGATCAAATTGTGAGGTAGAAAAGCTGACTTAAAGTTATTGTAAATAGATAATGGCATTCTAGAATCTGCACTATATAATAACTCAAAATCTTTCAAATGTTGAATAAAACTTAAAGTATCTTTCGCTGTCTGTTTGCCCCAGTGGTCCACTTAAAATGTTGGTGTCGTTTTATGTACCAAAAACTGATTTTTACATGACCATTTTCCAAACTCTGTACTACTGTGCCTTTAAAGTTGATATATGTAAATGACCTGTATTGTACTTCACTCAAAAAGCAGTTTGGGCTGAAACTCTCCTTATAACTTCAGTGTAAATAGGCGGAGCTGAACTGCTCTAGGCTCAATAGCCAGATATATCTAAACTGCGTTGGTTTTTGTGACATCACAAGAACAGTGAATTCATATAAATGGTCTGTACTGAGAGAGTGAATGTCACCTTTTGAAACTTTACACTGTCAGTCTTTAACCCACCTATTTGTTTGTTCATTCATTCATTTATTCACCTCTCCATTTGTTAATGTTTTGTCCTGTGTCTGTCCTGTGCAGACTCACTGGACTCAGGTGGAGACTATAGAGCTGGTAAATGATGGCACTGGTCTGGGTTTTGGCATCGTCGGAGGAAAGACCACTGGAGTTATTGTCAAAACCATCCTGCCTGGTGGCATCGCAGACCAGGTGAGATATGGCTTCAAGTGTTAATTCAGCTTGTTTTAAAACAATAGCATGAAATAGAAGACTATAGCCCAACAATAGACAATACTACTATTACTTTTAGCTATGTGACCTACTCTTGTCGATTTGTTTAGATCACAGTATGTAATACAGTGTTATAAACCACATAAGCAAGTCTGTTTGAGATTACTTGACAACTAGATACGGTGATGATTTGAAAACGCATGATGATTTAGGCCTGCAGTTTGCACATTGCTAATTGGTGTGCATAAGCTGCTTTTAGTTGTTAACTATATTCGCCTCATAGCTCCAGTGAAAAACTAAAGAAGCGGACTTCAGATACCAAACATGTCTTGTCTGATCAACTAAATTTGGGATGGGGGGGAAACCAGATTTTTTTTTCCTGAGCTATTACTTTAATGCTGTCTGTGCTACTTGACATGGCTGAATGAATTGGTCAGCCTGCAGATGCTCTAGCATGAGCCTCATCCTTCATTAGCAGTAGCCCGTTTGCTGAGTGTTTAAACCAGAGAAGTGCTAGCTGCCAGTGTGCACTAGAATCCTCCAGAAGGTCTCTGTGTGTCTGTGTGGCTTTGGAGAGGAAGTGGGAGCTGGTCCTGTGGCTTACTGAGCCATGCAGGATAAAACTTTAATAAGAACATCAAGTCTGACCTGCTCACACTGTTCACAGATTCATGCACACCCACCAGCTAAGCCCTTTTTGAGAAGCATGGGAGATGTGTATGTTGTGATTCTTGCAGTGTTTTTGATAAAATTCAGATCATGTTATTTTACCATACAATTTGAACAGGTGTGAAGTGTGACTATTAGATCTTGGCCTTGATTTCACACATGTTAAATGTTAAAAACCAAAAGAAAAAATCTCTTAATACCAATGCTAATGGCAGTTCACAAAAACATTTTTTTAAATTAAACACAGACTTTTGAAGCGAAGACATTCTGTGTTTTATTTGAAACTTGTACAAGACATATTGACATATATATTTTAACTTTCATGTATATTTTACAGTAAATCTTTCAGTAAAGAGCTTGGACATAGAGCTGCCACCACTGTTTTCCACTTTTTACAACTGACTGAAAAACATTGGTCAAGCTGTCACTTGTATTGATAGTCAGTGATATATCTAGAACAGTTGTGCACAGTCCTGGCCTTGAAGATCTACCACCCCGCAGAGTTTAGCTCCAGCCCTAATCTCGTACACCTGATTCAAGTAACAAAGGCCTTCAGAAACATCTAAATAATAGAGCCAGAAGGGATGGATCTGGACTCTTCAGGGTAGTAGATCTCCAGGACTGAGTAGCCCTGACCTAGGACTTCCAGAAAGCCTAGAGTGCCCACCCATTGGAAATCAAAGTGATTGATTGATTTCACTGTCACTTCGTAACGATATAAGTAGTTAGTGACATGTTAGGCCTTCAGTTCAGCTCCTAAAGGCCTAAGCAATGGGTAAGCTTGCTTGGCTGTGTACCCCTACACGAAGGAAAAAATCTGATTGCAAAATTTTTTTTCTGTCCATTTTTTTAAAGAATTTAATCTTTTTGTTTCCAACCAAACTTAAAACTTAAAATTTAAGTTGCTTTTTATGTAATGAATATTAACATTGTTTACATTCTGTATTGACAGATTTGAGTCTGCATTTCTGATTTTTCCTTTTAGGTTCTGTGTCAAAGTATAATTAACATAAATTAGTACGCTTTTGTTAACTGTGTCTTAGTTCAGGTTAAACATTAAAAAGAAATATTAAACAAAAGATTGAATAGACAGATGAAAGGAATTGTTTCCAGGTCATATATATTAAATTTATTTACACTTGGCATTTTTCTTTTGACCCCTCCTTCTCTCTCTCACTCTCTCTCTCTCTCTCTCTCTCTCTCTCTCTCTCTCTGCAGGACGGTCGCTTGCGAAGTGGTGATCACATCTTGCGTATTGGTGAAACTGACCTGTATGGTTTGGGCAGTGAGCAGGTAGCCCAGGTGCTACGGCAATGTGGCAACAGAGTTAAACTGGTCATCAGCAGAGCAACAGTAGACGACACCCCATCTCTACCTGTAGCCCTACCAACGGTTACTGAGCAGGGTCACGAAGAAGAAGAGCCAGGGGCGTTTGATGTGAGTTTGACAAAAAATGCTCAGGGCCTCGGCATTACCATCGCGGGATACATAGGAGACAAAACTTCTGGTGAGATTTAGAGTTTGTTATTCTAGGTTTGGATGATATTACAGATTTGTATAATATTGCAATAAGCTACAAATATTTAAGAATCATACTGTCACTTTGCATTACAAAAATGGTGAATTTTGTCAGAAAAAATTAAACCCTTGATCCCCAAGAGTGTTACTCAGTTAGTCATTTTAATACTTGTTATTGAGTAACTACATGGAAGCATGGTGCTTTACATTTATATTGTTAAAATGTGTTGTTTGGTTGCTCATAAGTGAAGTAAGCGTAAAAACAGCAGTTGCGTTGATGTAACATATTCTATTTGTGACGCATTTGAGTCATAAAATGTATTTTAATGTGCTAAAACTATTGTGCATGTTATGTAGTTTAGAGTTTCCCCCCAATCCTTGAATGGCCAAATCTACGCTGATGAAATACAGGCATTAGGATGTAACTGACAGGCTAATGTTTGGTTCCCTTCATCTGTTTTTTGTTGTGTCATTTTCGCTGTGTAATAATTTTTTATTTTCTGTAAAAATCTGTTTTTAATGTATGCACTAAATTCAGACACAAGACCGACGCAAATCCGGCCATTGGTATAGCAGTATACTGTTGTGACTGTTGTGCTAAGCAGTTATCCATTACTTGTTATTCCCAACTCTCTATAGGTGATACAGTACAACTTGTTCTCTAGTGTATTTAATAGAATAATATCTTATTACAGTCTTTAACCTGATGATCTTTGCTTAACCTTCACTGTGTTTTGTTTCGTGTTGCAGAGCCTTCTGGGATATTTGTGAAAAGCATAACTACAGGAAGTGCTGTTGAGCAAGATGGCCGTATCCATGTCGGAGATCAGATTATTGCTGTGAGTGATTTACAGAGACTTCTCACTAAAATATCCAAATATGAGAATCAGATAAACACAAGATGGTTTTAATTAACATCAAAGGATGCTGTACTGTACTTAGAATAATTACAAATTATGTTTATAATCCCTTTTTCATTTAACTGTAAATCTTAAGGTACTACAAAATAAACTGTAAAATAATGCATCATGATACAAGCAATAATGTTAAAGCAATACCTAGTACATTAACCTTATGTCTAGTTCTGTTTGGATATGCAGGACTGGAAGTGATACTGAGCACTTCATATAGTTTGTTTCATTGTGTTGGTGAGGGCTTGTGGTGGGCAACGATGTGGTGGATGTGCGTGCATGTTTTGTGTCTGTCTTAGATTATCTGTCTGTAAAGCTGATATAAGCATTCCTCTATATTAACAAGTTCTTGCTGGGTCTACCATAGCATAAAAGAGTTTGTATATATTTGTAGGGCTATTGTGATAACTCATTTACTAAAAAAATAATCAGTTTTAAAAACAATCTCAATGAAGTATTTTAAATGCTTCTACTGCTCTCTTTCAAAGTAAGAAACACTCTTTTTACCACATATATTTTAATATATATTTTCAATAAATTCTTTTAAAAGGCTTTCTAGTATCTTTTTCTGGGAAAGTAATTTGTAATCTTTGACAAACTATGCATGGTTTAGTTAATTCCATTTTTATTGTTTGGCCCATTTTTAAAAACCGTGATTAATTGTAAAAATAATCAGAAATTACCAGATTTCTAATATAATGCAAAAGTAAGTCCTATATGTAACTTAAGTGTTTCTTGCTAATGTCTGCCCCCTGCAGGTAGATGGTATGGACATACAGGGCTTCACCAATCAACAGGCAGTAGAGGTACTACGACACACTGGCCAAACTGTCCATCTAAAACTCGTCCGCCGTGGCTTCAGGCCAGAGGACACACCCCTGCCAATCATGCCTGTCACCACAGAAACGAAACCTGCTCAAAATGTGTCCCAAGACTCAAGACTGGAATGTGTTGCCATAGACACTGCTCACGGTAACCGTGATATTAATAACTGGCAGAAACAGTAACAGTTAATTGTTGGTCAGTTGTTGATGCCGTGATGATTAAGAGCTGTCGGAAGCAATCATAATGTGCCAAGGAGCACAATCAGTAGTAATAATGTCTGTCATTAAGAGGCATTCAAAGGTCTTGGTGGAATTAAAGCTTCGGAGTTGGTCTTAACTCTTCACTGTTGGTTTGTAAAAAGGGATGAGGATGATTTTATTCTCTGAATGTGTGTGTGGTTGCTTGTTTCTGTACATTTTCAGGACAAAATCATCCTTTGGTAAAAAAAATGACAATGTCAAGACTTAAAAAGGCTTTTTGTTATAACTAACAGAGCAACAGCATTTCTTTTTGGTTAAGGTTAGAGTAAGGATTAGGATTAGAATCAGAAAATTCTTATTGCATATATTCATACGAGACATATTACTACATAAAGGTAACATAGATGTTTACTTATATAGTGACATAATTACGTATAGGTACTCATATACATAGGAAAATATGGAAAATATTATTACATGTAGGTACCTACATACACAGTACTATGCAAAAAAATAGAGACCACCCTCTATAGTTAATTTATTAATCAAAAAGGCCATTAAGTAGAAGTTATTAATTTTACAGAATCAGGAAGTATTCAAAAGTATTCAAAATAAATTTGCAGGAAATTTTTTCCTCTCAGTGATGTTGAGGTCTGGACACTTTAGTGACACAGGCAGCTTCTTTGTTTTCTTCTTTTTCAGTCTATTTCTTTTTCTCAGTAAGGGCTTCTTGACATCTACACTCCCCTACAGACCCATAGTGTTGAGCTGTCTTCTCACAGTGGAAGGTTCCTCTTCCTTTTGCCAGTGTATTAGCTTATGTCTAATCTCCTTAGAATCTCTGGAAAAATGGCTGTTTTGTCTAGAAGTTATATAAATGAAGAGCGGTCTCTGATATCCTCACAGTACTGTATATAATACATATGTATGATTACATGTAGGCTTCCATCACAAATGGAACATCTGTATGACCCTAAGTCCTGACATGGTACAAAAACAAGCATGTTTGTGTGTGCGTGTCTTGTTTCCATAATTACAGCACTCGATTTAGACTCGCAGCCAAACCTCTCCGCCCATCCCTGAGAGCACTCGTTCACTCATCCCTTCATCTTCACCTCTCCCTCTATCCCATCATTTTAACCAGCCTGTGATTACTGAGGGACAGGAGGAGAGGAAAAAAAACAACCCCATCACTTTAGATGAGGCAAAGCACAGGGTGTCTTCTTCTGAGAAAGAACGACAAGAAGAGTGAGAGAGGACAGAGACAAAACAGAGACTCTTGTGTGACGTGTATTGAAGGTCACATTTTAAAATGTGTATTTGTACATGTATGTGTGTTCAGAAGAAAGGTTCCATGTGGACGTATCAGAAGCTTCCAGAAGCACAGCTGATGCTGTTTCACCATGCACACCTGAACGAAAGAATGGTAAGTAAAAATCATTGTATTTTACCATTTCTTACAGGGAATTTGTAGTAATTATTTTGTATTATTTATCTAATATGTTTTTTGTGCCAGTTGCCTGTCCATGTATTTTATCTTTCCTTTAAGTTATTTTTAGCATGTTTATCAATTTGTTATGCTTATTAGTGCTAATTGTCACTGCACTATTGCTGTCTTGCAGGCATCAAACTAAGCACAGAGGAGGAAGAGGAGCTGATGAAGAAGTGGCAGAATGCTCTTGGCCCCAGCAATGAAGTCATTGTGAGTTTTTCATACAGTATAATAGATTACAGTGTATATAAAATCACCAGCCATAAAAATCAATAAAACAATTGTGTGTTGCCTAGGATACCTAGGATAATTCTTAGTATAGAATCGAATAGAATTGAATTGAATAGAACAGGAAAAGTGCCCAGGAATTTAGGAAAAACATACAGAGACTACTTTAACCTTGCAGTCATTCATTCAAAAAGGTGTCATTGCTGTATAAAAAGTCAGTGCAACATGTAATAGTGTTGGAATTTTGTTTATGAATGACAAGCTTGTTAATAACGTAAAATGATGGATTTTTTGCTTTGCCCAGTGTAGGCGTGTGAACCCTAGCTACTGTGATTGATATGCTTGTGCAGATAGTAATCTGCTGCAGTAATTATACACAGTACACTCACAGGGCCAGACAGAGCAGATGTGCTGTAAAAGGCTACACCGCAGCAGATGTGATATGATGAATCTCAATATTTTTAGATTTGTTTGTTGCAAATTGTTTAAAAGGCATTTGGTTAACCCCTCAAATACAGGCATGTTATTCAGTTAGTAAATTTTCATTTAGTAATTATTATTCAAATTCAGTCTCTACTAGACATTGTTCAGTAAATAATTTATATTATTCATGAAATTTCAGTAACTACAGTGTTTAAAAACTACAATGAATTATTCATTAACTATTGTGAAATGTTTATAAAGCAATGCAAGTTGTGAGAGTAAAAAAACTGAAGAGTGGACCATTCAAGTTTAAGTGGTTAAAGAATACATTTGCGTGTGTGTGTGTGTGTGTGTGTGTGTGTGTGTGTGAGAGAGTAGGTTGTACAGATAGAGAAGTTCAGTGAAAGTAGTGGATTGGGAATCAGTCTAGAGGCGAGTGCTGGTCACCACTACATACGCTCAGTTTTACCTGAGGGACCTGTTGGACGTTCTGGAAAACTCTACAGTGGAGACGAACTACTGGAGGTGCAGTGTGATCACACATAAACATATACACACGAGTATTGTACAAGTTTGTTTTTATACCTTGTCAGAATGAGATATGTGTCTGCATATGTATATACCTGATTTAAATTAAATGCATTAATGTTACCTAGCTTTTCTACATTAACTACCGTGCATTAAGTAGCAATGCAGTGGAGAAGAGTGGATTGTTTCTTTTTTCATTTTTATAGAAGTTCCTGAACTTCTGTATAGCTGTAATTAAAGCAGTCGCATTTTGAACCCCGATCTGCCTCTTTCAACAACAGTCTCTGTAGCACAGTGACAGCAGGAATCACATCCAAGGCTAATCCGAGGAGCTCACTTGTGGAGTTTTATGTCTGAAGTCTTTTGTTTGGCTCTTTGAGCTGTAGTTGAATATCCTCTGAAGCCAGATATTTCTTTGGTGACTCACACTGTAACTTTGAATAGTCTGCTGTGTACGAATAAACCCTAATATTTATATACTCACACTGTATGAAAATTCTAGGTCAATGCTAAGTGAATCGCAGCCCCTACAGACGGCTCTATCTATGAACAATTCGCTGTTTCATTCTAAATAACACACAGTGCACAGAGTACTGGGCAAACACAGAGAAACTGACGTATAGCAGTGCTGCTAACTTGTACCACACTGTACACTGAAACATACACAGTAGGACAACACGGTCTCCACACATCCTGTTTTGCAGCGAGAGTTTAAAAAATTAATGCTTATACCTCGCAGTTCTACTCAGTCAAAGAGAGTAGAGTCAGCATATATGGACTTTGATAGGACTATATATATGGCATAGAGCATGCATGGACTTTTTATCTCTGTTTTGTTAGCCTACACGCCTCCACCTGTGTAATTATGTTTGTGTGTGTTTAAAAATGGGCTAAAATCACACTATGTATTCCTGGTGGGAATATGCTAATGAAGAATGTTCAAAGTGACTGACAACTTTGTGTCTAACCTCCAAGGACTCAGTAACTCCTCTCTATGTGAGGGAGCTTGAGTCGTTTGTTCATTAGTGTGGAAGTGTACACTTGGCTTACATCACATGGTGTCAGCAGGTACCGTATGTTGGTATTGGTGATTGGAGTGGTTGGTATTTTTATAAGTACGAGTACATGAGCACAGTATCAGCCCAACAGCAGTATTGGTATGGATGCTTCCCTACAGTAATAAAAATATGTCCCACAAGCCTAAAATCAAGGATGGTTCTAAAATCTGATTGTGCTGCATTTAAAGCCATGGTAAAATACTTGACATATACAGTGTTAGGTGTGCACACATTGGCTGAATTCTGTATTAATATGTGTGGCCAGACATCAGCAAACCTTTTGTACAAACAAAGAGTTTACAAAATGACTGGAATAAACAGCTAGCTTTGGCTTATTGTACCACTTTCTCTTGGAGAACATGGATGAAATAGTTGTCTGTGTTATTGTTTGTGGATGTTTGTTTTTGGCCCAGTACAGCATTGTAGTTGTGCTGTCATGCGCTTGAAAAGTGGTCCTGAAAACCACTATTTTAAGCTGTGTGCTTGTTATTTTAGTAAGTATATCTAGCAGAATCAATTGCCTGTTGAGCCCTCATGCATACAATTCAAAAACGTTCTTCTACTCTTCTGCCTATTCAAATGGGAACTGTTCAAAATAATAATAAAATGTTACTTTTTTGGTCGTACCGTTGTAAACCTACCTGACAAAACCTGACAACCTAAAAAGACATGATTTTGCTGTTTTAATCATGACCAAAGTCATCTTCATTTTCATTGTTGTCGATGTGCATGTGTGAATGTAAGTATATGTGTGTATATTTATAGATCTCTGTTGTTTAGCAATCTAAGGACATTTGATATTAAAATCAAAAGGTATTAATCTAACCAAGTATGTCACTTATTTGCTGATAAGTTATTTAACCATTTCCAAGCCTCTCGTCAAGGCTGCCCAGTATTAATTGTAGTTATTATCCAATCCCTGGATGGCTTGGTTATGTTAAATCAGGTGTGCTGGTGGTGGAAATGAACAAATTTTAGCCTCCAAGATATCAACTAAGTTATTTTGAAACAAGAAATTATTGTCACATTTGAATGTATTTATGTTTATTTTCATCTATCAATGAGATATGGTCTTACTGCTGGCAAAATATACTTATTGCCAAGGTAAGTGGTTGTAAATAATGTGTGTAGGTGACTTTTACACAGTCCTGTATGTGTTTGTATATGTGCTATAGGTGAATGGTATATCTCTAAGAGGTGAGACTCATAAGGAGGTGGTGAGCATTCTGAAGGAGCTGCCCGTGTGTGTGTACATGGCTTGCTGTAGGCCTGCCCTCTTGCCCTCAAATGACAGCCAACCTGGCCAATCAGGACTGGAGGAGGTGCCTACAGAGTCCACAGAAAAGGTATGGCAAGCAATAATTGATCATGTTTATACAAATACCTGATCATGTTTGATGCTGGAAAATGGAGTTGGGGACCCCAATCTAAAACAGCCAAAATAGGACCAAAGATGTCTCAGGATTAGCACTGAATGTGCTAAAAGAACAAGGAGCCCTTAGTACATTTTTGTGTTTTGTATTATTCAAAGGCTTCTGAAAGCTGCTAAAAACTAGTCTGCATGTTGCAGCAATTCTTAATTGGTGCTTTAAATGAATTAATATTTCTTTTTTTAGTATTATTGCTTGCTTGTTTACTGTTGACTAAAAGCATGCTTGTCAAAGAGCTGTCAGATTTGCCCTCGTCTGGATTATGTCAGATTATGTTATGCAGGTGGACAGATATAATCCTAACCCCACTGCAGAGACGCTCAGACAGACAAAGGTGAACGGAGAAACGCTGTCACGCGACAGACTTTAGAGTTTTATTTCTGACACACAGGCTTTAAGGCCATGAAATCTGTTTCAGACTTTGTAGATATAAGAATAAATGTATTAGTTTGTTTTCACCTCTGGAGAATATATTAGTTCAGTGAAGACTTGACAGAGATTTTATGTTCTCTGCATCAAGGTCCTGGGTGATGTTGAGGACTTCCTTGCGTCAGACAAATCAGAGAAGAGGGTGAGAGATCATGTGACGGAGGAGGTGGCTGGAACCCCGTTGGCGATGTGGGAATCAGAGATTCAGGACATTGAGCTGGAGAAAGGAGAACGAGGGTTGGGCTTCAGTATCCTAGACTACCAGGTGAGAAGATGGACCGGTGGGCTAAGACTGCCAGATTTGAGGAGCAAATGTTTTCTGCCCAATGCATTCTTCCCAAAGAGCATGCATTTTATGTACAAAGCTGCCATGCTAACCTAAATGCACAGTTTACCCCCCATGTACACTCTTAAAAATATACGTTCAAAGGAAGTTTCTGGCTTAGATGGATGGTTCTTTACATTGTTTACAGGTTCCTTAAACTTTAAAAAGGTTCTTCACACATGCACATCTTATTTACGAAAATGTGTTTCCATAAACCATCTATTGAAATGTTCTTTAGGGGCCCATAAGTGTTTTTTCTGTGGAATTACTCCAAAGATTTCTTTTTGCCTTAATTTTTAAGAGTGTACATAGGAAAAGCAATGTTTCTCTCAGTCATACATATGCATTTGAGGGACAATTCTCTCCATTCTTAAAATCAGGTGCAAATTATCAATAATGTTTTAATGTTGATGGGAGATTTTTTTAACAATGGCAGCAGACATATCAACTAAATATACATCTGGCCCTCACTGTCCAGCTCAGGGTCAGGGATGGTCACAGACATGACTAACCTCAGCATACGTTATGTTATACCCACTAACCTCGTTGGAAATAAAACAAATCTGACCCTGTTAAAGTAACTAGGAATCTGAGAATAGAGGAGTGGATGTAGAAGTATTTTGGCATCTTGAAGGTTAAGGCTACCTTGGGGCGTAAAAGTATCAAGTGATGATAGGTAAGTGACATAAAGACCGGTGATAACAACTAGGGCTGAGTTCAGTACTTTTAATGTACTGACTGAATTACTAGTGCTACTAAATATTGAAAGACTGACATTTAGTACCAAATTTAAGTACCTAGAAAGTCAGTCTTAACAAACGGGTTCCAAATATCATGCTTGTTTTAATGTCTAAACTGCTGACTGGCTGTCTAAATTACACTCGGGATGCATGTAATTAACATCATCGCTTATTAATGCATTTTATAAGTTAGAAACAGTCAAAAAAGACAATAAAAAAACTGTCAGAAACTATGAATATGATAATTAAACATTCAATGTTTCAGACCTTGCATTGCACTAAAGGATTAAATAGGACTTATTATGCTGTGTTTGTAATGACACATGCATGTGTTAAGTGTTTTGTATGTACTCACAATATCCACAATATACTCAGAGATGCATATTGCGACATCAATTATCACATTAATGATAAAATATTGTCACATTGCCCACACCTACTCCAAGCCATCGAAATCAAACCTTATCAGACTCTCTCGACTCTTGAATCAGCAGCACAGACCCTTGCATGTTTACTGTTTGCTGCTCATCATACAGCAAAAAACTGAGTGTTGTTAGTTATTGCAGCCATGGACAGAGAAATAAATGTCTACGGCGGAAACTAAGGAGAGTAAGAACTCGTCTTGGTTTGTTAATGGGAGAGTTGAATACTGACGCAGGCTGATGATGAGAAAGTGTAAACAAAATCGTTCACCCCTAAATAACAGAACACTAATGAGGTAATAGAGAACCATTTTGGCCCCAGCCATAGAGCAATATTTGATTGATGCGCTGAATCGTTTCCAAAAGAATCGACTCGAATCATTATGAGCTCGGAGTTTTACACTTGTACTAATTTCCACGTCTCTTTGTTTGTATGCAGGACCCCATGGACCCAGATAAGACAGTAATAGTGATCCGGTCGTTGGTGCCGGAGGGTGTGGCAGAGCTGGATGGGCGATTGTTGCCAGGAGACCGGCTGATGTATGTAAACAACACCAACCTGGAGAGCGCCAGTCTGGAGGAGGCCGTGCAGGCGCTGAAGGGGGCCAACCTGGGCACAGTCCGCATTGGGGTGGCCAAGCCTCTTCCTGTAAGAAAACTGACATTTGTGACTAATAATAATAACAAAGTGCTTGTTTTTGTGTGTGCTTGTGAGTGTCTATTTCTGCATGTTTCTGTCTGCTAGTGAAGCCTGTGCTTCAGTAACCTGATTCCTCTACAGGTTCTTTAAATATTTCATGCTGTAGGCAAAGCCCTGCTTGTGTCTGAAGAAGTTTTTTAAAGCTGATAAAAATGTAACGTTTTTCAGTTGACTTTAGTTCTGTTTTATGAGGTTTTTATTCTGTATATTTTCTGTGGAAGATTTATATCTGGTATATTTGACAGCGGCTGGTTTATCTGTAGCTTTTCATCTCCTGAAGGCATGTATCGCTGCCGTATCGAATCATTCTGCATTGTGGGGAGTGCTGACACTTTTCTCTTTCTCTCTCTCTCTCTCTCTTTCTTTCTATCTGTCCTTCTCTCTCTTTCTCCCTCCCTTGATATTTCACTCTCTTTTTCTCTTTCTTTGCTTTCTCTCTCTTCCCCTCTCTTGCTATATCTCCCTCTCTTTCCCCCTATCATTCCCTCTCTGCCGTTTTTCTTTTCTCTTCCTCTCACGCCCCCCTTTCTGTCTCTTTCTCTCTCCCTCTTTCTCTCTCCCATGCACCGTTTTCTTGCTTTCTTGCTCTCTCACTCCTCTCCTCTCCTCCTCCCTTTTCTGATGTGTAGTTTATTGAAAGTCTTTCTATAACCACATTCACAGTAATGGAATTACATAACCGCTGAAGATGCAAATGATCATATGAGGTTTTGCAATAATCATTACCCAACAAATTATCTGCATGTAATGCATCCCAAAATTTCAAATCAAATTTAAAAAATCAGCTGTCAGTGATCATAATTAGAGTTAGCATCCTGCTAACACCCCTTGCACTACTAACTTGCTCAATCAAATTGTGGCTATTAATCGATTCACATCAAACCCAATCCAAAGCAGTTTAACCAGTTGGTTGCAACCGATTTTGTAACTGTCATCTTGAATGGTCTGTAGAGTTTCTCTGCACTGTCTTTACAGACTGAGGATGATGCTGCCTCTTCCTCCTCTATCTTCTCGGTTCTGGTGCAGAAGGAGAGAGATGAGGATGAGGAGGAGGAAGAAGTGATGTTCCGTGCTGAGCCAGCGCTGGTCAGTCAGTAATAAGACATGCTGCTACTCAAAAGAAAATACAAAACAAATGTTTTAATTTATGACTTATGGTCTCTGTAGCAAGTTACTAGTGCAAGGCACCAAATGCCAGGGAATGACAGCAAAAGACAAGTTTTGGATTTGTTTTAACCTTTAGTCTAGTCTAGAGTTATGACTGTCATGTTGCTGTACAAGATAATATGATCAATCACAATTAATTATTGTAATTGTTTGACGGCCCTAGTAGTTGCATAACTATACTTAAACAGTAGGGGTGGGAATCTTTAGGCACCTCGCGATTCGATTCGATTATGATTCAGAGGGCTGCGATGCGATTATAAAACAATTATCGATGCATCTTGATGCATCTTTTTTCTCTATACAGGATTTTTATCTTCCTACTGTCTGAGGACTTGGTAGTTTTAAAGCAAAGTATTTGTAATGATCTGTAATGTAAATGCATTATGGATCATTACAAATACCTTGCTTTAAATATCTAAAATATCTTTTATTAATAAATCAAATGGAAGTGATGTGGCAAGTGAACTAGAAGGCTCTCATTCAGAGACACTGCTGCCACTCATCTGCGATAAAATGCGCTGTTACCCTGAAATAAGATCCAGTGGTAATGGGGGTCCACGCTGCGCGTTACAGCCATCCTTCCCGTTTTCTTTAGTGATCTTATAACTTGGGTTTTGATCTCGTTGTAGAGAGTGGGGAGAGATTAAGACGAACATTTGGAGGACTTATTCGCATTTATAAGCAGCGCGGTTGGTTAAATCTGCAACGAGAGTTAAAAAAAAGTTGCGAAAATGAACTCGCTTCTCTTTCGAATTTTCCCGTTCCACCTTAAATGGTGCAGCAGTTACATTCGGCGCCTAAGGCAGAATTTAAGGTGAAACGGGAAAATTAGTGTGAGAAGCGAATGAGAAGCGACTTCAGCCTCATAAAACAGCCGGATGCTGAGACATTTTACAAGAAATTCTTCTAGTTTTGAAGAAAGGTTTTCTGGCGGAGTTGGAAGGAAAGCGGCTATAGCTAAAGCTTAAAGTAGAGCAAAGTAAATCTGCGCTCTCGTTTATATTTTTAGCCCATACTACGACATTAACACATACCGGACATTAAATGTTGCGGCTCCCAAGGTGGTTTGACTTTGTTGAAAAGCAAAATGTCTCTTCTTAACATTTGGGTTGTGACTCCTGATCTAACCTGGCTTTAATGCAGAGGGAGCCAGTCGGATTTCTCACTCATCCAGTTGTATTTTTGTTATGTGCCGTCACAGACTGTCCGGGCGCTGCACTTCCGCACTTCCAGTTCCGCCTTTTGCGTTCCGTCAACATTACGTTATAAATTAAACATTTAGAAAATCGATTTTTGACAATTGTGAATCGATTCAGAATCGTTCACGTCTGCATCGCGATGCATCTAAGAATCGAGTTTTTCCCGCACCCCTATTAAACAGTGTAGCAGAATGACAGCTGAAGGCAAGTTATAAATAGGTCTGCCATCTCTTCCATGAGCATCGTCTAGTGTTTTAGTCTGCTGTAGATGCCCTCTGATGATAATGTTATTGATATTACTGATATTGCAGGCTTGTGTTTTGCTCAAAAAAAGATACTTCAGATTCAATGTACAGTGATCACCATGGCAGCAGCTAGAAGTAACTTTAGTTTTTTCAAGAGAACCATCAATGAGACTTCATGGTGCTTAAAAGATGTATTAGAACAAAAAGACTACAGTCACAGAATCAGGCATTACAAATGAATGGTGTTAATAATTTATCATGTTTATGTATTAGCAACATAGAAACTTCGAGGCATAGTTGATACATAGTTAATCCATACATACATATATAGTGTGACATGACTTGTATTTAGTTTAAATTCCATATCACCCAGTTCGAGTCTAAAATTCTGCCTTTTTTATTTATTTTTCAATGTCAGTGTCAAAAACATAAAGGATGTTTTTGCTCTCTGCAAAACAACACTGAACACACAGCCATAGCTTTTCACCGGATTCAAATAAATAAATAAAACAATAAAATATCTCTTCCGATGCTTGTAAAAGGTGGTGTCAGCTGACAGTTTACTGATGACTGTGAATTCTGAGAATTAAAGTGAATAGAAACTTGAATGACAATAGAAAATCAGGCTTTAGACTAAAATTAAACCAAAATATAATTAATAATAGTAATTCAGCAGCAACCGTGCAAACTACTAATAATTTTTTGAAGTAACCGCAAAACTAGAACTGCTTGGCCTTCAGACCTTTTGAACTGTATGTTTATGGATGTATTGAACCTTGGAATAAATCCCACAGAATCAGATCTGATTAGCATGACTAACTGATTCCAGATCGACTCTAGTGATGTGGACTTGTCGGACGAGAAGGCATTCAATCGTCACTATGGCAACGAGGAAGACGACACATTTCAGGCGTCCATGATTGCCCTCCATGGTAGCACCTGCAGCGCTGATCTGACTTATCAGATGACCATGCAGGCCTCCACTCCTCAGGTATTCACAGCAAATCACACTGATTGGATGTACTATAACCACCAACTACATTTCACAGTGGTTCAATGTGAAGGCTAGAAGATACAGAAGGTCTCTGAATATTGTACTTATACCTCTAGCTTACTTTACAAACTTAGTTCACAAAAGTTCCTCTTACCATAAATGTAGCCAAGACATGTCGGGTGTCTGAAATGAAAGCTTGTACCACATCAATTAACACAGCATTAACTTTTGTGGTTGCTAACACTGAGTGACATACTGTTGTCTAGAAACATTGAGTACGTTACATAAATAAGCAGTAGTAGCAGCCATTGGCAAGCCAGTATTTTGTCTCTTATTTTGTCTGATTTTACAGATATAGAGTATAGTAGAAGTAGAGTAGAAGTACTAGACGATGTCGGAAACCACATAAATTAATCTGTTTTGAGATGACTTATTTCCACCCTTTGACTAGGAATAACCAAAGAAAATGCCCCCATAATTAGGAATTCCTACTTGAAAAGTTGGAAAGTATCAGTGTGAATGTGATGTCCTATCAACATGACTGTTCATACCATTAACAGTAATAAAGTACCATTTAACATACAGACCCACACTGTAAAACCTAATATGTTCGGTAAACTCGAGATGGTTTAAGGAAACCGATTGCAACTCTAGCCACTCAAGTTCAGATAACTCAGTTTCTTCCATTAAAAGCGAAACTATTTTTGACAAGAATGCCTGAAACAGTTTAACTTAATACTGTTTTGGACCATCTCGCCCAATACTGACAATACAGCCCAGAATGCAGAAGTGGTCTGAAGTGTTCAGAACCACACTCAGCAGATGGGGTCATGGCAGCTCAGCTTACTCAGCACTGATTTACAGTCAGCACTGACTGAAAGTAGACAAGCTCCCACAATTTAGAAAATAAATATGCACCCAAGGGAAGGTAGGCTGGGGAGAATGACTACACAGAGATGGTAGGTTAAACAAGGTGGAAAGACATGCCCACTATGCATGCTAACTAGAGCCAATAGGAATGATGCAAGTTTTACTCAAGGTTGCATTGACCAAGCTTTCATCAAGTAAAGCTGAGGAGTCTTAACAAACTAGACTAAACTGCAAGAGGTTGATTCAACTCAAAGATCCCATTTGAATGTCCAAAGTTCTCAAAAGTTACATGAAAAGCATGAGAAGTCCAAATCATTTGAATGTAAACGCAACCCTGTCTGTACCTACCTGTAAAGACAACTTAAATAAAAATAGTGAACATAAAACACTTGAATAAAGTTACATTAACTCAAAATATGCTAACAAATGATTTTTACTCAAAATGACTGAGTTACTATCTCAACAATTCGTTTTTGAATTGGTTTGAATGTGTCAGATTAAGTTACTCCAACTTTCTGTAGTATTTAAGTTGTGTTAACTTGGGCAGAATACTCTTTAGTCTGTAGGACTTCTGCAAATTAATTGATCTCAACTAACTTTACCTAAGTAACTAAGGATTATACAAGAAATAGTATGTGTTAACGGATTTGCATTAGTAAGTGTAACAGATGAGTAAAGTAAACCCAAAAAAATTAAGTGCAACTGTTACACTTTACAGTGCAGTAGTAGTTTGAGAAAGTCAGTACATCATGAACATTAATCACTCTAATGTAGCTTTAATGCTGCAACTGATGGAATTCTGAGCTCCTACTTCCCAGCATAAGCTTATATTACTTGTTAGCCACATAGTTACAATGCAGAACCAAAGAACCAAACTTCAGACACCAAACATACCTTGTCTGAAGGACTGTATTTGGTTAAAATTGTGTAGTTTTGGGCAGAAGGCAGGACACACCCTAGACAGGTCGCCAGTCCATCGCAGGGCAGACAGACAGACATACACAGTCACACACACACACACACACACCTAGGGGCAATTTTAGCATGCCCAATCAGCCTGACTGCATGTTTTTGGACTGTGGGAGGAAACCGGAGTACCCAGAGGAAACCCACGCAGACACCTAGGTGTGTGTGAGTGTGTATGTCTGTCTGTCTGCCCTGCGATGGACTGGCAACCTGTCCAGGGTGTGTCCTGCCTTCCGCCCAATGACAGCTGGGATAGGCTCCAGCACCCCACCGCGACCCAGAAGGATAAGCGGTTTAGATGATGTATGTATGTATGTATTTATGTGTAGTTTTGATCTTTTGCCCAACAGTTCCTTTTAAATCTGCCAATGTACCCACGTGCAAGATGTGTACGTGTATGTTTGTTGCATATTTAAATGCGTTTTATGAACTACCACTATGCACTTAATTTTTCTGTCGAACTTCAGAACAGAAATGAGAGAAACTGCTAATTTTGCTCATTTGGTTTTCAGTGTCTGCGATTTTGCAATAGTAGGCTGTCCATTCATCCTGTAGAGTCACAGCCTGATAATGCTGTGCCTTCCACTTGGTCCCCTGTAGTGCAGTTCAGCCTGTCTATCAGCAACCCCCCCCAAACCTTTCTATAAATTAGCTTTCTCCCACCCAAACAACTCTAATGCCCCACTGAGTGTCATTAGCTAAAGTAGCCCATTCCCACCGCCCATTCAGAGGAAACACTTCAACTTGCTGTTTCGTCTCCTGTATAATGGCTCTCTTTGCTGTCATTTGGGGCTGTATTGCAGCAAGGCCCATCAGCTCTGATTTTATTTGAGTTTTTATTGGTCCTAGCGGGTGCTGTTGCTGTTTGGATTCAGCGCAGGGCCTCTACTGAATCATTTAGAGAGATGGAGCCTTGTTATAGCAGTCTGAAGACCAACCACAGTCATGAATTGGGGAGTATGTGGTCTGTGTGATTATTATTGTCATTTATCCTCCATTGGTTTTGTGAACAAAGCTCACTAGATCATTGTTCTAAGAGCTGACCAGAATATTGTCTGGTCATATTTGTGGCCATAACATTTGTGATGTACTAGGGGTGGATAATGTGACAATGTTATCTTTATGATAAATTACAACACAATATGCTGCTCTAAAGATATCTTGGCTATCGTCAGTGGTTCTTGAACACTGAAGAGCTGCATCTATCATTGAAAAAGAGCAATTAGACTAACTAGTGCAAAAATATGTTTTATTTGTGTGTTGTGTCTGTTCCAGCGTGTTTGCAAGCCTCCGAAAAAAGAACCATTCTGATACATATTGTATTTCATGTAAATGCCACCTGTATGATGTAATATGAAGTAAATGTGGCAATGTTTGTCTTATCTAGAGAAACACTTGCCTGGACTCCTTCATGGAGTATCCCTTCCTGACGGCGTCCAGAATCGCAGATGATACCGAACCATTTTCTCCAGAGGAGGAAGTGGCCTCTCTGAGGCGTGAGGGAGGGTCATTAAGACTTGGCTCTGCCCACTCAGATCTGATCGTGGACCTCGGCTTAGAAGAAATGGAGACAGTGGATCCGTTGTTGTCCACGATTGGAATATCTAGAGCTAGCCCCACCTCCACTTCTAAAGAGGAGGAGCTTGTAAAGTTATTATATAAGGAGGCGGGGCCAGTCATGCCTGAGCTTCAAGTTCCTAAAAGCATTTACGTTGAGGATACTCAAGAGGAGGTAAAGAGTTCTATGTTATCTGGGAACATATGATCACTTGGATGTTTTCAGGAGGGAGAAGAAAAATTATAATGAAAGAATGAAATTTTTTATACGTTGGATATTGGTTGCTTAGTTATTTTGCACAGTATAGACTTGAAATACTGACCAAATATGGGGACAAAACAGGAGATCAACCCGCGTTTCAATAGTGTTTTTAACACGCTTTTGCTGACTTCACCTCACAATTTGGAATGTAGGACCTATATTGAACAAGTGGCCACTTACAAGACAAGGGAATGTGGGGATGGAGCTCTATAGGTTGCAAGCTTGTTAGCTAACTGTATAGACTTTGTAGTCCAGTCTGTTTGTTTAGAAGTTCCGTTGTAATGTACAGAGAAGGTAAATACATTGTGAACGTAAATGTATCACTTATATCTCTAACATTAATTGATCAGCATGTTGCTTGTAATAATTGCTTTCATGGACGTTTATGTGTTTCCTTCCCACTTTATAACTCAGATGATAAATTTGGCATAATGTGGCATTATAATTTGTATCCCTAAATAGCTAACTAGCAATGTAGTCAAGTTACATCAGCACACGTGGTGTTACACTATTAATTATTTCAAAGTATTTTATTTCTCCCACCAAATTTTTCCCATCATTTTCTGGGGGTTTGAGAAGGAATCCGGAGTGTCATCCAACAAACTCCTAATAAGCCAATACAGTATTGGAATGGCCTGTGGGGATTCCCCATGGAGAAATGACAGGGACATGTTAAAAGCAGTATTGGAACGGAGGGCAAATCTTCCCAGCGACCCAGGCATGCCTTTATTTTGAACCTCCGACCCTCTCTTATCCCGGCTCATCCCATTAGAAACTGTGGATAGGTACTGGTACTCTAGAGCCTTGCAGGTAGTTTTCACCTCTCTCCAGACTGTGTGCCCTTGCCTTGAGTGGTGACGCTTGTGTTTCTGGTGGTGTGATTTTATGTTTCTGTGCAAAACTGTGTCTCCTCGCAGGAAGGGGAATTCCCCGTGGTCAAAACTGCAGAAGAACTCGATCAAGCAGAAATGACTCCAGGGAGCAATTTCGAGAGGACCATCACTGTTGTCAAGGGCAACTCAAGTTTAGGTTTGTCATTTATCTGACAAAATATCACATATTGTACTACCTTGAGGTATAATTATTTAAAACTGTCGTATTTTATTATAAAATGGAAATATTTTTACTTGTATTTCCTTGTATGAAATTTGGTCTAATAGGTAGTTTAATATTATTTGCATATGATGAAGTAACACAGACAGTTATTTTGAAAGAAAAGAGAAAAAAGCATAGAACACATGATTCATAGCACACTAATATAAACCAGTATAATTAATTTTTACATGACCCTTTTCCAACCTTGCTTCATCTCAGAAATATACAGGCTGTTTTTGTTTCTGTGCCTTGAATGTAAGTGATTTATTATATCATAATAAATCATCAGGCTTATTATTCAGTAACTACAGGGACTTCAATGCAAACCGGTTGCGTTATAGAAGTCTGTAATAAAACTTGGCCTTGAAAGGGGTTGAGTACTGGGAAATTAGGACTACAGATGTGGTGATTTTCTAAAGTACTCCTTTAAAAAGTATACACCCATATTAAAAGTGTAAGTGTTGTATTTTTTTCAATTTATATTAATTGCGTTAGGGATACAACACAGATAATGCATGTTTTACATGCTGACACAGATTTATACTGATATGTTTCCTGTGTTACAGGTATGACCGTTAGTGCAGTGAAGGATGGTGTGGGTATGCTGATCCGAAGTATCATTCACGGAGGGTCTATCAGCAGAGACGGACGCTTAGGGGTTGGAGATCTAATATTGGCTATCAATGGAGAGCCAGCCGGGAACCTAACCAATGCACAGGCCCGGGCCATGCTGCGTAGACACTCACTCATTGGACCTGACATGGGGTAAGAGCGGGAGATGAACACACAACATGCAGATACATTTACATAAAAACACACACATGCTATGGATGATTTTAATGAAAGCTGAAGCAAACACAATCATGTCATTGCCTATTTGCACAGTATTTTGCTGTATTTTCTGCAATGTCATTATCATTTGCCCTAAGGATTTTGTGTTATTTTATGAGTAATAGAATATAATGTCCTTTGAGTGTGAGTATGACAGCAGTGACAGCAATTATAGGTTTTACAATTAGTACTGTACACATTTCTACTGTAAACAAAAATACTTGTATGAACTTAAAGTAATAATGTCACACAGGTCCATTATTTCAAATGAGTAAGGTCGGCATATAGAAACTTCAACATGAATTGCTACTGCAATTAATGTAAGTCAAACAACCGCCCTTGTTCTTGATTTTTGAGTGCAAGTTCTCTCTTGTTGTAACGGCAACATCTGTAAGGTAAGTCACCGTGGAATATTAGCCACATATACAAAAAAAACAGTCTGGCTTCATATCAAACCTTTTAAGCTTATCAGTGCCCAGTGGTGATACCACTAGATCCCACATGAACTTCAGATGGGAGAAACTTCCACTTGAACGGTTTCTGTGACTTTGCGAGAGGATTGGTTGAATTGGGGGCTAAGTGTAGTTGCTTGAGTGCTGCTAACTGAAATGCCTGTATCAGTAGCAGTGCGTAAACAAATCTCAACATTTCTAGATCTTCAGTTGCTCCAGAAGAGGAGCTCTGCCCCTTTTATATGTGAGTATCTCTAACTCGTACTCAGTGCGCCATCTTGATTCATTTGGGTTTGACTTGCACTGTCTGTTCCTTTCAGTTCATTCTTTCTGTGTGCACTTGCTCAAGTCTTGTTCATGCGGAGGATTATCCTTATATGTAGATCTATAGTTATACAAATCTTATTTTTATTATTTATAAGTATGTTATGCCAAATTCTAAGTGTTTGCCAAAAATGTTAATCGACAGTTTCAGGGAAGGTTAACAATTACTTTCCACTGGAAGTAGTAAATCTTTCAAAGCTACTGTACAGAAAAAAAACAACACTTAACACATAGCCAACCACTTTAAAACTATCTAATGAGAATCAACACATCAGTTACTTTACAGCAACCAATTGCCGGTGTTGTTCCAGATTTTTCTGCTTTTATAAAAGAAAAAAAAATGTTGCTGCCTGAAAAATCGATTTTTTATGGCTTTGCTCATGTCTTAACATGACCTTTACATTGATATTGAAAGGAAGATGACTGTTTAGAATAATTAGTCTCCTGAATTACTCATTATGGTCATGAACTATGTGCATTAAAAATTGTATTGTACCAAGACAGTGAATAAAGATGAGGCAAAGTTAAAGCAACCAAATTACCGCTTTATTTTAACTATCTAGGGCTGATAAAAGGCTACTGAATCAAAAATGCACTCAAATAGGTGTTTTCCCCATATTCAGAACAGTTCAGAGAGGGTCATGGTTATCAAATGTTGCTTAACGCGTGTGGCTGTAACATATGTCATTGAGTGATCAGATTTAAATCTGTTTTAAGTGCATGTGGATACTGGAACAACCTAATGTGAAAGACTGCTTTGGTTTTCGTGTGTGTGTTATAAAAAAAACTTTTTTTTTTTTTTTGCTGTACGCTTTGGCATCAAAACTTTGTCGCTCCCCGTGACACAAAAAGAAACTATCCTAGGTGTAGTGATGTGCAACTGTAACATAATGAAATAAAGGAAAAAATTGTATTTGACTATAATTTTCTCCTAATCTATCAATTCTACACAGTTGCTTATCATCCCAGCCCTAATGTAGCGCTGCTAGAGTGTGTGCCCAAGTTAGCATTTACATGATAAAGGACAGTTTACTGTATATTACTAATAAGGATGCACTGATATGGAAATAATGGGCTGATGCCGATATCTAATGTTTTCCATGTAGATGCTATCTGCCCATGCTAATACATAAACAGTTGAGACCTGCCTGGATTCACATTATAGACAAATATGAATTTTTTTTGTATTTGTATTTGTAGGATAACAAAGGCAGGGAAAAGTAAGTAAAATGTAGATATTTTAGTGTAGTAGCCTAGTAACACCTAAAAATTATATTTCCAGAATAAAATAAATACATTTTGAAATATTAGTTAAAGCTAACCATCTAACTAAAGCTGATATATGTTTTTTAAGCAATTATATGGCAAAACCAATACGATTCCAATATCATTGTGCATCCCTGCTTTCTGTATTTGGTTTTGTAAGTTGTATCATTTTTTATTTTTAAAGAACTTATTATTATTTCAGAAATTAGCAGTCATCCCCTTTAAACTCCTAATGTCCTAATGACATTAATTAACAATAAGTAAAAAAAAAACAATAAGCTTGTATAAAATGGGCATTACTATTGGATAAATAGAGGTACTTAGCAACTCTCCAGTGCTAATGGTGATCTGATCTTCAAAATAAAAGTTCCATTGTGTTAAATCTACTGCTCATATTTGGCTAATTCCTCCATGTGCCAAAAAAACACACTTGCCATACTCTAACCGGTGAAATCTCACTAACATTCTTACGTCACTAACATGCAGTGTCCTCATTACTGTCTTATTACTGTCATAATACTGTTTATCACTCAGTAACATCCCTGCTGACTCTCATAATCCGTGTAGTGTCTAGGTCAAGGCATAAGAATCTGAATCATTGCTGTTTAACTCACTGTTTGATCAGCTCTGATTCAGTCTGCTTGCCTTGACTACTGTGTTTGCATGCTGAACTGAACCGTTCGGATGAGATTTGATTCACTTCCATTAGATCTGTCATCTTCACTTATAATGAAAAGATTCAGAAACTTTTAATTTGAATGCTGAACCAAGTCCTCTTATCAAAGTGGCTCTCTCCACCAACAAATTCACAATCAAGATACTCAAACTTAGGCAATGTTTGCTGAAATTGGGCATGATATCAAATTTTGCTTGAGAAAAGCATTTCTAGCTATTTGGAACAGGCATTTGTTAAGATGGACAGAAAACATCTGATTTTTGCAGTGGTGTTGCAAGGTATTGCAAGACTTTATTAGCAATTTCACCTTGGGCTGTGATAGGCAGAAAACATTATATTGGAACTCATTAAATCTAGGCCTGCTCTCCAGAAAAACAACCAGGTCCCTGAATACTAATTAGTTTACAAGCTTAGAATTTCATCTCCGATACACTGTCTGTTCATATTCGCCCTGTGTCAGCGAGAGTTAATGGAATGCTATAACAAGCTGTTCACTTTGTCTTTTAAATAATGGCAATGCCATTTCTGGAGGTATTTGGAACTGTTTGGAGTGCTTTTTTAACTTGATGATGACACATCTAATAGGTGGAGGAAATATGAAATGTAGTACCTTTAGCTCATTAGAGGTGTGTGCGTGTGCATTTTTGTGTGCGTATGTGTGTTTTACAGTATCACCTATGTACCAGCGGAGTATTTAGAGGAATACAGAGCTAGTAAGCAAGCAAAGGAAGACATCTTTGCCATGGACGCGTCTAGTACCCAGAGGTAAAGGCATACACATTGTTAGAGCTTTGCTCAAGGACAGAGTACTAGTATAAGATGAAAATACATCAATTTTGGGAAAAAAATCAGTGGAATAGAATTTTCAGAAGAAGTGCAAAAGATATATATCTGGCAACTTTGTGAGAAAACCCTATCTTGTAGCTTCACCCTGCTGATGCAGTTGGAACACCTTCCCTCTGTTACAGACTGTAGCCCATTTATTCATGTACGGTTTGTGTTAGCCATCCTCTAGTCCTTCATCAGTGCTCAGTTTCTGACCACAGAACCACTCTTAGCTGGATGTTTTTGGGTGGATGACATAAATATCAGTCTAGAAGTCAGACTGACATATGTAAACACTGAGGGCCCTAATAAAAATAGCTGCTGTAGAAGCAGCAGCTAATGGGGTTCCCGATAAAGAAGGTTAAAAAAAGAATGGCCATTGACGAATGGTGTATAAAGAGGTTGACAGATACCTATAGGGTAGCTTGCGCTCATAAAGTGGCCAGTGACAGGGGTTTCATCTAAAGTGGACAGTGGACAACAAATTTAAACATGAAAGAGATGAATGTGTGTTATATATATTTGTGTGGGGCAGGTGTGTAGCAGAGCTTCCTGAGAGGGAGGATGGAGAAGGAGAAGAGAGTGAACTACAGACAGCAGCTTTCAGCAACTGGAACCAACCTAGAAAGTGAGTACACACAAACATATACACACTCACTTATACACTCACTGGCCATTGTATTACAGACACCTACCCTCTACTTCCACTCACTCACCACATTATTAGAAACACCTACCTTGTCAGTCCACTATATAGGTGCACAATTAAAGACTGCAGCCCATCTGTTTCTACACAGGTTGTCCGCTTCCCTCTAACCCATTCATCACTGATCAGTTTCTGGCCACAGGGCCACTGTTGACCAGATATTATTTGGGTGGTGAACCATTCTCAGCACAGCAGTTACATGGTAGTGGCCAGGTTGTGTGTCATGTCACATGACTGAGAGTCACTGATAGGTTGTGAGTGATCCGGCACCCAAAACAGTTCTTCCAAGAGCGGCTCAGTGGTCAGAAATGGGCCATTATTGGAGGACTTTTTATATGGCTATTGAATGTATATCAAAGTGGAATTCCACTGATTCTGTAAAAATTCTGCATAATTGACTCGTTAAGATGTAAACAAAGTCATCCATCTGAAGATCTCCTACAGAGTAGATTTGTTTACAGTGGTGGTCTTAGGAAGAGTCTTAAGACCTTAATGACTCTGAAACCCTCCTTTACAAAACATTATTACATGAAATGGTTATGAGTACATTATCCAATACCAGAGACATTGTTCTAACATAGTTTTCTACAATAAACCATTTTACATTAAACCACTCTGAATGACTTTGTTTACATTTCAAACAATGAGCTGTGCAGAAACTTCCCCTTAAGAGCACAGCAGAATCGAAAACGATACTTTCCAGGTAGTATATTATTCAAACTATGAGAAAACAATAAAAAACTGTAATATGTTTATATTTATATCTCTAGGGTGGAGCTCTACAGGGAAGCAGGAAAATCTTTAGGCATTAGCATTGTGGGTGGACGGGGCATGGGCAGCCGCCTCAGCAATGGCGAAGTAATGCGGGGAATCTTCATCAAACATATCCTGGAAGACAGTCCTGCAGGACGCAATGGAACTCTGAAAACTGGAGACAGAATCGTACAGGTACACACATGCACAGGGGTAGACACAATATTTTTGCACTGGCCACCAATACCAATTTTTGACCAGGTTTATAGAAACATGTTTATTGTATATACTGCATTTACAACAGTACCTAAACCAGACAGATTTTTTGCACTATGCTTGTGTTGAAAACTGCAGTTGTGCTTTTAAATTTTGTGTTTACTTAATGAGTTACGGTAAAGAATGAAACTGTCTGCCATGCTTGACAGAGCATCACATTGTTCTCAAAATCAAACTCCATCCACACAAATTCTTCTTCCACTCGATTTGATTTTTAATTAACCACACTGCCACTTGCAGTAAAGCCATGTTTTATTAACCCACCCAGTTCTAGAAACAAGTTGTCACTTGCTCTCACATTAACTGTTGCTGTTGTAACATAGAAGTTACTCTTGCCTAATTTTGCCAAATCCAAACAGGCTCTGGATCTCACACGTGTCAGGTGAAACAGTGGTTTTATTTTTATCATATGTGATGTGTGTGAAAATCTACAATGTTGTGGCCAAAGGCACCTGGTAATAGATAGTGTCGGCCACTGCACACGCATCACCTTCCTGAAAACAGACATCTTCTACGAATTTGAGACATAGAATAAAATAACTGTCATGTACGTGCTTGTGTGTTTATGTATGTTTCAGGTGGATGGTGTGGATCTAAGAGATGCCAGTCATGAGGAAGCTGTAGAGGCCATCCGTAAAGCTGGGAACCCTGTAGTGTTCCTGGTGCAGAGCATCATCAACAGGCCCAGGGTCAGTAAACAACACTGCTTAGTAGAGGCGGTGCATATGTGCCATTTACATACATTAATCCAAAATCAGTTCTTCCACTGAGCTCTCAGAATACACTCTTAGGTATACATATCTTAGGATACACTCTATGTATTCTGAGATATTGCTTAGTTTACTGTTTTCTCTGCTCTAATACGCTTAAAACCCAGTCGATCATCATCATAACACAGCTGTGTTAGAGTGGGAAAGAAAACAATGCAGAGCCAAGACACTTCAAAAGTTTCAAAACCCTACCTTAATTACACATAACCAGAGTACAAACATGTTCTGCCCTTGGACTAAGACTCTGAAACTGCTCACTTGCAGTCATGATGACTGGAGAGACCAACCAGTTATTTTTGGTTGGTTTACTATTTCAGACACTCTTGGCATTGAGGACATCCCTGCACAGTAACATCAATTATTGCAAATTTTAATTAATAAATAAGCAGAAAGTCTAAGATGTACATTAATCATACAAAATATACAGTAAGCAGTATATTCATATGCAGTAATGAAGTCATAGTCATTCTTCAGCTCACAGCTCAGCAGCTTCACACATACTGAATAAATAAATGTGATCAACGAGAGGTATTTGCCATATATACGAGTATGAACAATAAAAACAACTCATCATTAGGTTTAAAAATAGCCTGAGCCAAATAATGAGTCTTTGTTTAATATTATTATAATAGTTACAACTGACATTTCAAAATTGATGCAGCAGAATAGCCGCCTCCAGATCAATTCACTTTTACACCCTTGTGAAGTAAAAGTCTTTTGTCCAGAGGGAATGTCATGACCCCTAATTCGCTTATTCCACTAATGGACAAAGTTTGAGGGTCTTCCAAGCGTGGAGTGATCTAATGCCAGATAAACTAGGTGGTGTCGATGATTAAAATATGTTACACTGGAAGCACCTATCTCAGCCATCTCAGAAAGTCCTAAGAAATGTGTATTCAGCAAAATCTCAACCCATGATGATGTCATGGAGCAGCTTGAGATTCTGTGGCCATTTGGAACTTGTACTCTGGTTATGGAAAATGTATAGTAGTATATAAATAATGCAAGTTGATCATTCATGGTTAACATCTACACGAGATGCGCTTGGCATGGCAATGTCTCGCTTCTTTTGCCTCCTCTACAGTACTTTCTCCTGCCTGCTGCTGCATGTTGTAGGGATGGGCATTAGGGGCTTAACAACTATTTAATGCTAGTTACTCAAAATTAACTAGGAAGGAAAATAATTTGATGCCCATTCCTACTGTCACCTCTCTCTGAATCTCAGCTCATAACGCCATTACTCCATCTTCCCTGTAACATATTCTGCATGTTCGCCCTCTACCTCTCTCTCTCTTTCTCTCTCTCTCTCTTTTTTCGTGCATTCTCTCAGCCTTACTCTGTGCAAAGTCCTCCTTCATCTCCACGTGTAGAGAAACACGATGCTGCTCTTGAGCGCTTCCTGTGCCAGGTAATTTCAGTTCCGCTCTCTCAGCTCTCACCGCTTATCTCTCCTCGCAGACCCTTCCACCTCTCCACTCGTTCATCTGCATCTCTCATTCATCTCCGCTCCACTAAAGTGCTCTAAAAATGAGCCAACAAATTACTCCCGAGTGACTCCAGCAGCGAGAGAAGCAGAAAATCAAACCGTGGATTTAAACAAGTAGAACCCCTTAAAGAAGAGTGCTCCATCAGCTCTCTTAATGTCTCCCTTTTAAATTAAATGCTATATTACACTAGCATTTAAGACTTCAGAATCACGTCATATTAATAGTTGTTATTTCAAAGGGCCCAAACAAAGTTCCATGGTTTTACATAAACATTGTTAAAGTTTCACAGTGTTTTGTTTGTTCCCCATTCCATACAGTCGGTGTATGGAAACTAAACTGCAGAAACAGTCCATTTTGAAATCATTGTTTCTGTGATGTCATGAGAACCAACTCATCTACATATAGCCACCAATTCAGCCTACAGCAGTTTAGCCCCGCCCACACACGCTGATGTTATTATAAGGAGCGTTTCAGCTCTGAGTGCTTTTTGAATGAGGCCAAAGACTGGGCAGCCAGTAACCAAAGCTCATTTACATAGATCGGTCTTAAAGGCACAGTAATTCAAAAGGATACAGTGAAGTTGGAAAATGGTCATGTAAACACGAATTATGACCATTTTTTTACATAATAACACACCAGTGATATAAGTAGACCTCAATGAAAAAAAAAAAACACAAGAAAAGTATATGATATTGCCCTTTTAACAAGATAATAATAGCATTGTCAATAGTATCCTGTATGATGTAAATTGTAATATTATAAACTGAACACCAGAAAGTAATTTCAAATTTACGTTTTTTATACATTTTTAACCAAGAAGTTACAAATGGTCAGTAATCTACTGCAATGATCTATTTGTCTATTTATAGTTACAATTTCTTGTCAACTTTTCCACCCCCAAGATTTGGGCTATTCTGGATATCTATTCTGGAATTTAACAGTATTCTCAATGCTAAAGAACTTTCTCAGTCATTATGGAAGCATCTGCAGCTCTGTGCATCATTTTGGACATAATATTTCTCAACATTTTATACGTTTTGTAGTATTTAAAACATTGATTGAAAGAGAAGTGGTCCTGAGGTTTTGTTTTCATTTGTTTTCTGCTTCTGTGTTGAATGTGGGCACTTGTGGTGCAATTTGTTAATGCTGTAGGTCTGTATTAGTGTTGGAGATGCGTGTGTAGTAGTGCTTTAACACCTTGTGTTGTGCTTGTAGAAGCCTCCTGTTCCCTTTCTGCAGCTAAACAGCAGCAAGCCACCGCTCTTCTCTAACGCACCAGCCCGCTTTACACACACCTCACTGCAGGTTAGAGCAATCCTCAGTGTGTGTGTGATTGTGTGTATGTGTGTGTGTGTGTGTGTGTGTGTGTGTGTGTGTGTGTGAAATTCTGTTCTAGACTGATCTGTTGTGTACTTTCTTACGTGAATTCCGAAGTATATACAGTACCTTCCATTAAAAGCATTAGATTTCTTACAGCATTTTTAGCCTTAAGTGGTGAGTATTTTAAGCCCATTTTTAAGCAATTTGTTGGTTTTTCCTTAGTAGCTTCTTTAAATTTGTTAACAGTTATTCCTGGTTAACATTTAGTAGTTTGATAATATGTTTAATATACGATTAATTAATTTAGACTCATACACAATCAAAGCGTTAAGAAAAGTACAAAAAACAAACATCGTATCATGAAGTACAAAAAACAAGTATCGTAAAGAAAATTAGTTAGTGTTCACACAGTAGTAACACATTTGATCGCCGTGAAAACCATACCCCCTAGTGATTAAATTATAAAATGTATATTTTCAAATGAGATAAATTAGACCAATATACTTTTATATATAGTTACATTGTTATATTTAGATTTGTAGGCATTTATTTTATTTTATATGAACAATTATATTGTCTGTTGTGTTATTGAAATAAGACCTATTAGCAATTTTGAAAAATCTCCCAGCGCTATACATTTCTGAATGTTTATTATACGTTCATTTGGAAGGCCATTTCTGCCAGATATAGAAGTAAGTCACCTGTGTTTTTTCATTCTCTGTTTCTGGCACCACTGACTTATATCAAACATTTGACTTCTTATCTAAAAGCAATGACTTATTTTTACACATTAGTGAATTTTTATGTGAAAAGAGTGACTTATTTTCAAAAGTCAAAAAATGTGTGTAGTACTAGAAACAGAGATACTCTTCCAGTAGCTTCCATATATTTCTGTTCATAGAACGCAGTACTGTAAATCTCTATAGTATTACTATAGAAAATGCTGTGCAGTTTTAGCTACCCTTTGTGCTGTACCACCATGCTACGTCAACCCAACATTCTTGAACATATAGATGGAAATGATTGATTTTTAATGGTTGAATTTGGGTGTGAGAGTTGCATAAGAGCATTGAACATAATAAATACACATACTGCATACATATACACATATAGACAGTGCAGAGACATCAGTGCTCATTCACATTCTGGGGTGGGATGTGGGACATTGGGTTAATGAACCTGAACATTGTGAACTTGTTTGCAGGCCTTAGAACATTCTGGAAAGGAGCTTTTTTGTCTTTTCACGTAGAGTTAAGAGGAGAAGCTATTTCTCAACAACTCCAAACACTTGTATAGCGCATAGTTTCAGTGTGTATGGCAATATAAGGCCGGCGTAGCCTGGGTTTTATTTACATTATGTTTTGCAGTTTAATGCTCAGTGTAGGTCTCCCCGTCAGCTGCTTGTGAAGTCTCAGGCCAGATGTGCAGGCGGTGAGTCTTTCTTCGTCACGACACCCGCAGCTGTCTTAGTGCAGATGGCCACTAAAACTCCCTTTATTTGAACGCCTCTAAACAACAAGCATAAACCACCGGAGGCACTCAGTGCCAGCAGTCCACCATTAAAGAACGCTTTAATTATGGTGGTTTGGAGTATTATATACAGCTAGAGAGCTGCATTGATGGTGTTATTGCAGCAGTTATGAGTGAAGAATCTGTGTCTGTAGGTGCATTTCACCTCAAGTGTGTTTAATAAGTCATCTTGAAGCACTTTCAAAGTCTCTTTTTTAACATTTATGCTCATATGACAGACGTCGACGACAGACTCCACTGAGGACAGAACAGCACCCTCCACAAAGCCCAACAATGACAAGGTCAGTACTTTCAAATGTTAAGACAAAAGTGGTTTTCTAAGAGAGTAGGTTTAAAATGAGTAGTGTTGTACTGTGGCCGATTGACATGCACTGATTTCTTTTCATTTTTTTCTGTGCCAAAGATGCCAGTGGTTTCTTTTTGTACATAGTAATGCACTGTTTCAGTTAGACACGGGCCCTTGGAAAGGTCATATTTGCTTGAAGTCCTTGTGAAATGGATGTGAAATGGCATTTTGTTGTGTTTAAAGGGGCCATATCTTGGAAAAACAAATATCCCTCTATTTTCTGTAATGAAAGTGCTAGATGCACTATGTAAACACTAGGGGTGGGAATCTTTTGGCACCTCACGATTCGATTCGATTACGATTCAGAGGGCTGCGATGCGATTATAAAATGATTATCGATGCATCTCGATGCATCTTTTTTCTCTATACAGGATTTTTATCTTCCTACTGTCTGAGGACTTGGTAGTTTTAAAGCAAAGTATTTGTAATAATCTGTAATGTAAATGCATTATGGATCATTACAAATACCTTGCTTTAAATATCTAAAATATATTTTATTAATAAATCAAATGGAAGTGATCTGGCAAGTGAACTAGAAGGCTCTCATTCAGAGACACTGCTGCCACTCATCTGCGATAAAATGCGCTGTTACCCTGAAATAAGATCCAGTGGTAATGGGTGTCCACGTAGCACGTTACAGCCATCCTGCCCGTTTTCTTTAGTGATCTTATAACTTCGGTCTCCTTTTGGTCTCGTTGTAGAGAGTTGGGATTTTCGAGACTGGACGCTGAATCTCGGCTCCAAAGTGTGCAGCATGGCGCGAAAGCCCTGGTTCTCAACGACTGAGAACAGACAGCAGACAGCAGGTCACATAGCACTGAGGTCTGGCCTCGCCAGTAGCGAACGATAAAACAGAGATTAAGACGAACATTTGGAGGACTTATTCGCATTTATAAGCGGCGCGGTTGGTTAAATCTGCAACGAGAGTTAAAAAAAAGTTGCGAAAATGAACTCGCTTCTCTTTCGAATTTTCCTGTTCCACCTTAAATGGTGCAGCAGTTGCATTCGGCGCCTAAGGCAGAATTTAAGGTGAAACGGGAAAATTAGAACGAGAAGCTGGCGAATGAGAAGCGAGCTTCGTTTATATTTTTAGCCCATACTACGACATTAACACATACTGGACATTAAATGTTGCGGCTCCCAAGGTGGTTTGACTTTGTTGAAAGGACATAATGGCTCTTCTTAACATTTGGATTGTGACTCCTGATCTAACCTGGCTTTAATGCAGAGGGAGCCGGTCGCTCATCCATTGTGTTTTTGTTATGTGCCGCCACAGACTGTCCAGGCGCTGCACTTACCCACTTCCAAATTCCGCCTTTTGCGTTCCGTCAACATTACGTTATAAATTAAATATTTAGAAAATCGATTTTTGACATTTATGAATCGATTCAGAATCGTTCACGTCCGCATCGCGATGCATCTAAGAATCGAGTTTTTCCCGCACCCCTAGTAAACACTGTTAAATGTTCAAAGTGTTCACCGTACCATGGATACAGTCCATATATAGAAACTATGCTAAAAAAAAGCACATTTTGAATTTGCCGCGGTTATGATGTCACAGCCATGACACCATTTGTATATAAATGCCCTACACCAGTTTAGAATTTCAGTCAGAAAAAATAGTTTTGTCCGCTAACTTGTCCTGCAGTTTTGGAGATATTGACACCTAACCAGCTCCAAAAAGTCTGATTGTCAGAGATGTATAAAGTTTTTTTGACTGGATGTACAGTTTCTACAAAGCAACCATTCAAAAGTTTTTTCTGATTATTTCCTTTCTTATGTCACCATGCTCCAAGTCCATTAGTAGCACCCTAGCAACCACCTGGGATACCATAGCAACCACGCTATATCCAGTATCCTAGTGACCACATTAAAACACCATAGAGACCCCATTTGAAACACCTAGCAACCACCAGAGATAACAGCAACAGCCCCAGCAACCACCCCAGTGCCACAGCAAACAGTTAGCAGTAGTGATGTCTGAATACTAAATACACTGTCCTAATTGAACATATTCAGAATACATTTAAAGTACATTTACTGTACCTCTCGGTAAGGCAGATGGGAAAACATTTGCGCTATACATACTGTCCTCACTGTTACCGATTGGCGTTTTTCTTTATGTAACTATGCTGTTAATATGTTTAATGAAAAATTCCTTATCATTTAATTTTCTCTCTCTCATCACCTTTTCAGTCTACTGCTGCTCTCACAATCCCCTGAACAGACGTCCAGTACAATGTAGATGCTGAACTTATTACTTGCAAACATATCCACCACTGAGAATTAGTTTGATCATTCATTTAAAACAGCTCAGTAACAGTGAGTGTATGTTTCATCACATTGATTTACCAGTCTACTCAAGCTTTAGCAGGAACTTAAGTGTTTGTAAAGAGGCTCTTAACTGAGGTCCTCTTTAGAATTTGACTAGCAAGCATGTTTGCTACATGTTGTGATTCTAAAATAGTTCATAAGCAAACGTTGATTGTGTTTCTTTTGAATATTATATATTTTTATTATTTATTGTGTAAGCATTCTAAAAGTACTCTATTCAAAACATACAAAAGTAAGTGCATTCTGAATACTGCCTTTACAAACTGTAACTTGGACTGAATACAGATATTTAATTTTTGTATTCTGAATATGTATCCCAATACTTGTATTCCATTACATCCTAACCCTGGCAACACCCTAGTAGCCAACTAAAATACCAAAGCAACCACCTAACAAAAAAAAAAAGAAAATGCTTAAGCTGCACAATCACTTTGCATTTTCTTCAGGAAATGTGCTTTTGTTCTGGACATTTTGAATACAGGGACGCCAGTCAGAACAGAGGCAGTATAGATGTATCAGTCTTAAAAGCACAGTAACAAAAACAGGCTTTTTAATCAAGTAAGGAGAAGTTATAAAATGATCATGTTAAATTGTTTGTGATACCACAAATGCTGCCACAAATGCTATAACTGGCCTTCAGGGGAAGAATAAATTAAAAGAATATGGTCCCTTTAGAAACGTGTATAAAATATGAAATATTGGCCTAAATATCAGTATAAAATATAAGTGTGTTTGTTTAGTCGGACCTCTGTCTGTGGTCTGTGCTCTCTCTCTCTCTCTCTCTCTCTCTCTCTCTCTCTGTCTCTCTCTCTCTCTCTCTGTCTCTCTCTGGCCTTCTTTATCTCTCTCTCTTCTTTGTCTCTTTTCCTCACTGGTGCTGGTTGCTTTCTCTTTTTTTTCTCTGTAGGATGTTGAGAGTCACAGTAGACTTTTCCTCCGTCTCTCCCCAACTAACCCTTTCACCCCTACTCCGTTTAAGGTTTGTGCCTGTGTGTGCATGTTTAACATGTATGTGCTGTAATGAAAATAACTCATACAGTGTTTCATGTTGATTACACATACATGTGGTCCTAACAGCCCCCCTTTCCTATATGTGTGTGTATGTGTGTATGTGTGTGTATGTGTGTGTGTGTGTGTGTGTGTGTGTGTGTGTCAGTTTAATGCTCACAGCAAAATTATTTCAATAGATCTGGTTGCTTCTGTCACGTGCCAGATAAGGGGCAATTCCAGCCTTTCCAGAAACATTTGCCTTTTTACGGATACGCAGTGATTTTATAGCAATGATCTCCAACCCCATTTCCAAAAAGCTGGGACGCTGTGCAAAATGTAAATAAAAGCAAAATGCAATGATATGCAAATAATTTAAACACTAAATTTAATTGAAAATAGCACAAAGATAACATATCAAATGTTGAAACAGAGAAATTTTATTGTTTTTTGAAAAAGATATGCCCATTTAGAATATGATGCCAATAACACGCTCCAAAAAAGTTGGAGTGGGGGAACAAAGGGATGGTAAAGTTGTGTAATCTAAAAAAACACCTGGTGGTTGATTGGCAACAGGTCAGTAACATGATTGGGTATAAAAACAGTGTAACACTCTGTGTAAAGACTGTGAGCAAATAGAGCAACAATTCAAGAAAAATGTTTCTCAACATAAAGTAGCAAAGAACCTTTGCTTTTCATCATCTGTGGTACATCATAACATTAAAAGATTCAGAGTATCGGGAGAAATCTCTGCATGCAAGGGTCAAGGCAAAAAACAGTATTTGTTGGTCGTGATCTTTGGGCCCTCAGGCGGCACTGCATTAAAAACAGGCATGGTTCTGTAGTGGAAATCACTGCATGGGCTCAGGAACACTTCTGAAAACCACTGTCTGTGAAAACAGTTTGTCTCTGTATCCACAAATGCAAGTTAAAACCCAAAAATGCAAAGAAGAAACCAAATATAAACAGGATCCAGAAATGCTGCCACCTTCTCTGGGCCTGAGCTCATTTAAAATGGACTGAGGGGAAGTGGAAAAGTGTTCTGTTGTCCAACCAATCAACGTTTGAGATTCTTTTTGGAAATCATGGACACTTTGTCCATTAAAAGAGTCTGGGTGTTAATCTGGCCTGCCTGCAGTCCAGACCTGTCACCCACTGATAACATTTGGCGCATTATGACTTGAAAAATACGACAAAGGAGACCCTAATACTGCTGCAGCTGAAATCCTATATCAAACAAGAATGGAAAAACATTTCACTTTCAAAACTACAGCAGTGTCTCCTCAGTTCCCAGACGCTTACAGAGTGTTGTTAAAAGAAGAGGTGATGAAACACAGTGGTAAACATGCCCCCATCCCAACTTTTTTGGAACATGTTGTCAGCATCAAATTCAAAATGGGCGTAACTATAAAATTTCTCAGTTTCAACATTTGATAGGTTGTCTTTGTAGTGATTTGCATATCATTGCATCCTATTTATATTTACATTCTTCACAGCATCCTTTTTTGGAAATGGGGTTGTACATTTGTGTGCACATTTAACAGTGATGAGCAATAACTCACAGTGCTCCTTATCAAGATTTTAACCATTTTGTTTCCAACCAAATCTTAACAGTGGAATAAGAGTATTACTGCAATACTTGTGAAGTAACTGAGGGTTAATATAAAAACAATTCAGGTTATAATAGAACTCTAAAACATTCTGAAAATGAATGAGTCAACACAAATATGAATTATTTAAGTAAGTGAACACCCACTTTGTAAACTTATTGAATTTTAACTAGGCACAGGAAGAAGAAATAGTATGGTCAGTTAGTCAGGATTCATTACAGATCTAATTGGCGCCCAGCTGTGATCAGTTAGGAGGATTCTGATTAGCTCAGAATAAAGCAGCTGTTTCTGAAGGATTTCACTGCTTGAAGTGCATTTCAGAGCGAAACATCCATGATGAGCACAAAGACAATTTCAAAATAACTTTGAAATGCTTATCAACCTATTTTCTTGTTTTTGTTTCATTGGAATTTTGTGTTTTTTTACTTGAAATGCAAGGTTCAATTTGTAAATAAACCTTGAATTCTTGTCTTCTTGGTGAGCTTTGGGCCAACAAAAAGGGAAGATGTTTTTAAAATGAGTGGTGATGTACATATTAGGGATGCACATTTTAATACCTTTCATTAACAACCTTTCATCAGTAGTCATTTCTTTATGTATAATGTTAGTTCACCAATATAACTGAAAAGGTTGGATAATGCTGTATTTTTATGATTCCAGGCTCAGCAGGATTTCACTTGCATTCAAAACACATCAGACCAAATCACCCACCACCATATGAAAGCACGTAATAATATGTATTTAGAGGGCTGTTAAATCTGATTGAAAAAGAAGGACATTTAGAGAAGTCTCCTCCTTTTTGATAGCTACACTTAAAGTGTCTATTAAAAACAGTAGATGGAGCCCAAGGATGTAGACTTTTTATGTGTAGTAGTGCATGAAAGCTGTTTTGCCACAGAAGTAACAAAACTTTGTTGGCTTTTTTAATGTCCGCTTTTACATAAAATTTAATAATAAAATGTAACAATTAAAATAACTTTTTATCAGTCTGTTAATAGGCTGTTAATTGTAATTATTTCACTACATCTGATAGGAATCAGCCTTGTAAAATATTAAAAAACAGGAGTCCTTGAACTGAGATGATTAAAGACTAGCAAGTATTTTTGAGCAAAGAAAAAAAGGAAAAATAATACTCATCTAATGAAAATAAACAGATTTTAAACGGCAAGTATTGTGGTAATGATTAATAAACAGTGTACAGTGCAACCCTAGTCTGAAATAAAAAATGTGAAACTTTCAGCTGAATGCATACAGTGCCATTATTATGGAATTGCCCTTAATAGGCATGTCATAATGTTGCATCTAGATTTTGCTTTAAAAAGCTGGCTTGATTTGTTGGCTTTGACTAGTGAATCTTTCAAGCTGTTCAAATTAGCATTAATAATGATAACATTTCCTGCTTGATCTGTAGTTTTTAATTACAGCTCACATTAAAGGTAAGTTGAGCTTCAGTCTGCTGGCTTTAAACGTCTATGAATGATGTGGAGCTAAAGACTAAAGTTTTATGCTGAAAGTTAGATCAGTGCAATTTAGCAAGGGGAAATAAAGTATGACCATTTGATTGTGGTTCATATAACTTGGTGTGAATGATTTGGAAAGTGTTTACATGGAAGCATCAAGCAGGAGGACAGATTAAAGCACCACAGCTGTGCCAGAACTAGCTTAGCGTTTACTAACAGAGAGAATAATAGACGTGCAAATTGTATGATTCTGTTCTTTTTGTAGTACCAGAAATTGGCATGTGAGTTGCACAAATTTTCAATAGGGGCTTTAAACATGTATTTGATAAATGGGAGTAAAACTGATTATGTTTAAGACAGAAATATTAGTTTAAAGTGATACTCCAGTCTTTTGCAGCATGATGTCTGTCTGCCAAATCTATATCATATGATTTACCTCAGAAATAAATTTTGATATATTTTCCTGTGCTTAGTTAAAGAACAGAAAAACCTTTTAACTCAAAACGTACCTGTAGTAGAAACCAATGGGCGGATGCTATTTTAACCTAGTCAACATGAACAGGTAGTCTAGGTGAGTCTGTAGGACATTTATTATAGTTTTCCTCTTTCTAAATGTGTCCTCTGGTTGCCATGGCAGCTAAATCGGGAGCCAGGGAAAGTTTCCCCTACAACGTCATTCCTCTCGTTGCCGGTGGTCCCACATGTGGGTGAGACAGACACGGACACGCTGACGGAGATTCCTGACCGAATCGTTCTTCCTCATGACACTTCTGAGGAAGAGGAGGACGAGTTTGGCTACACCTGGAGTGAGTGATCTCATCTGCGTCTTTAAAGTTCATTTCACACATACCCATCAAGCCGAGACAGTAGTTTTAAAGAATATTACCACACGGTGCCAAAATATCTTCACTTAATTCAAATTCACAAGACTTGTTATTACCGTATTAAGCACAGTTTGAACTCCTCCGATGAGACTCCTTATAAAAAGGCAGATCAGTGTGAACCCTGTAGTTGTAGAAGACTGGATGCCAGAGTTTTCAAAAGTTTAATTTTTCGTTTTAGACCTTAAATCAACAAACAACCAATTTATTATTTTAACTTTGGCAGATTTATGTTGCAATTTTTTTAAGTAAATAATGTGAGCCAGGTAAGTTCACATGTGCTGTCTGTGAATGCTGTTGTTACACGTGTTAAAATGTCACAACATAATTTTGCAAGATGCATTGTCTTTTACTTTCAGTGTAGTACTTTATTTGATTCAGGTTATTTAAATAGGCACTGATTTAAAACTAGTAAATTTTAAATGCCAGTTTGGCCCAATAAAGAGGAAATAATGGTGCCTTTATTGCAAATTTTGCTGATAGTGAAAGAAATGTGCCACGTCACACGTCATTCATTCACCAAACATAGTGTGAGCTTTGGATGGAAAGAAGGATAACAAAAATCGTCAAACAAATCGGCCATCTGTCAATTTGGCTGCAAAGACATCGAAATCTGAATCGTCCATCAAAAATTCATAATCTGTGCGTACCTAGACAGTACATTTCATCAGTCCCTCATGGGCTAGCTTGCTCATTTGAACATTTTTCAAAACTTTTTGTGCTCTTTTGTGGACAAAGAGATTTTTGAAAATCGTTGCTGTACGAACAAAAACATGCCCCCAAAACAGTAACTTTACAGGAGAAAGCAAAAACTTTATAAACCTTTAATGTAAGTTAACATAAAGAGGTTCTAAGTGATTTTGTAGCATTTCTGTATGTCCATTTATCATGAAATTTTCACAAAATTTACAGCCACCTTGTTTCTAAAATAAAGCTTGACAAAAATGGAGATGCATGGTTTATGGATGTATGTTAAACTTTTTGAAACTCTGGTATCCAGTGTTACATAGAGAGTTCACACTAATCATACTGCTTGTCAATCAAACGTTCAGAAATCCCATGTCATCGAATGAGTGTAAACTGGACTTAATACTGTACTATCACATATCTCCACCGGAGGGCAGCATTATCTCATAATAATGAGGTTGTACCTCTGTCCTGCGTATTTTGGTGTATTTCCTGCTCCAGGACATCCCAGCTATACTCCAGAGCGTCATTACTCCAGAGTCAAGGCTGAAGAGCTGTTATAAGTGCAAATGACAGGGGTTCTTAATCCTGCTGCCCAGCAGTTTTTATGTTTAACAAACTTGATTCAGCTCCAGAAGGGCTTGGCAGTTAGCGGGTGAGCTGAATCAGCTATGTTAGAGCACTGGACTATACCCTGAACTGGGACTTAGAAGCACTGGGGCTTGATAATAAAGTACTTTTTTGCTGCATTGCTGTAGGGAAAGGTAGCAAGAAAGCACACTGTGGTACGTAAAAGAGTTCAAAGGTGCTAAAGGCACAGATATATGTAGTGTCAAGCTATTGTGCCTTAATTTATTTGTAAAATCTACTTTTAAAGGCAGTCCTTGTGTATTTGATATCTATTCCTGCAGTGATCATGTAATTCTTTTATGCGTTTGTGTTTGTGTGAGTAGAGAAGGTTGTGGACCGTTACGGGAGTTTGCCAGGTGTGCTGCATATGATCGAACTGGAGAAAGGCAGAAGCGGTCTGGGTCTCAGTCTAGCAGGGAATCGAGACCGATCCCGCATGAGCGTCTTCGTGGTGGGGATTGACCCCAGCGGCGCGGCTGGAAAGGATGGACGGATCGTCGTAGGAGATGAGCTGCTGGAGGTTAGCACACTGAACATGTTTCACTTGCCATCAGTGACATTTACTGGCAAAAGTCACCAAAGCAATTGTTTCAAGCCCTTTGTCTAAGCAGTGAGTGAGTTTTTGTTTGTAATTTTTAAAAATAAATACAAATAAGCATAAATTACAATTAATACCAGGCTGCCACAGAGATTTTGGAAATGGCTTAACAAAAACATTAACTAATAGAAAATCTCAACTAATTGTATTAATGTTATTTGTATTTATTCTAATATTTGTGTTTTGCTGAACAAAGTTTACTGCCCAGATAAATTATTTTTAAAACTAAATTTCTCAAAGTTTTGCACAATAATGTACATATGTAAAATGATTCTAATATGTTGGTCCTTGTACAACTTCATACGCTACATTGATAATTAGTAGGAAACTAGAAAGCTGTTTAAAAAAGAAATAGAGCTGTATCTGATTCTGTTGTCTGAGAAATGTATATAACATCAAGAATAACGTTATAATTAATGTTCACAGTGCCCCATGTTTCTAAAGTGGGGCAGTTCCACTCCATTTTGTTTAGGTCCTTAGTGGTTTTTCGTCCTCTTTGCAGATTAATGGTCAGATTCTGTACGGCCGCTCCCATCAAAACGCCTCCTCCATCATTAAGAGCGCCCCCTCCAAAGTCAAAATCATCTTCATAAGGTGAGGTCAAAATATTTAAATGAGTACTAAATCAGTAGTGAAGGAAATGCATTGTAAAGCCTGTTCAGTACTGAGTCAGGACCACCAGATGGCACCATTGGTCTTCAGTAGTCTGAAAGACTGAATTTAAATGAGGGCTTTGCCAAATGAAGCATGCTGGACTTCTGGAAAGCTTTCATTCTATTGAGCTGGGCGTATGTGTCTGTCAGGAACACGGATGCTCTGAGTCAGATGGCTGTTGGCCCAATGAAGGAGTTTGGAGACACCCTGGATACACAAATAGAGGTAAAAATGAGCATATATAATAATAATAATTAATAATATCTTTATTTATCGAGCACTTTTCATACTGGTGGCAGCTCAAAGTATTTGACAGACTGGTGATAATGTTTTACAGTAACAGACAAGACAATGACAGATCAAGTTAAAAAGAAAGAATTTCTCTCTAAGTTAAGCATAATAACTGAAGAAGAATCCTATTCACGGTTTCTGTATTTTCTGGAAGGTTTTTGCAGAAGACCCATGTCTGCAGATCTAAGATTATTTACTAGAACATAAACAGACAGACACTCTGTGATGTAAGCGGTGCTTTAAGGTCATTTAGAGCTTTAAAAACTAGGAGCAAACTTCAAAATCTATCCTCAAAGATATTGGTAGCCAGTGCAGTTTTTTTCAAAATAGGAGTGATAAGATTTCTCTCTTTTTGTTTTTGTTAGGGTCTGTGCTGCCACATTCTGTTTGAGTTGTAGAGGATGTATTGTTTTCTTAAGGAGCCCTGTAAGAAGACCATTACAGTAATCAATTCAGCTTGAAACAAATGCATGAACCAGTTTCTGTACCGTCGCTCAGAGATAGAAAAATCAGAACTTATTTTTCAAATGACAATATATAAATGAAAATATATAAAAAAAACAAGAGGTTGCTGAGATTTGGGCATCTGCAGTTTTCTTCAGTGTATATACAATTATTTTCACAAGTAATTAAAAAAAAAAAACTGATTCTGAAATTCTGTAAGATTCCTTTTGTTGTTAACATCTGTTTTTGCTTTACTTTAACTTTTCTATCAGCCTGAAACGTGCTCTTCTATCAGCCACTCGCTGTCAGATACGGACATGTCTAAAAGTGTTCAGCATATAATCCTACAAGTGGTAAGAAAAACTCTCTGTCTCTCCCTTTCTCTTTCTTTCTCTCTCTCATTCTCCCCCTCCCATTCCTTCCCTCCTTCTTCGGCACACAGACGTTTTTTTATTCACAGGAATGCATCCCACACTCATGCATTCACAGTTATGCATGCATGCATACTATCATCCATACACACACATTATGTATTTCTATACTAGTGGGGTTTGACATTGACTCCTCTGAAACTGTAACCTGGTGGAACTTTGTTTGGTAAAAAACATTTCTATTTAATAAATGCAATACGTTTATCTCTCAGCATAATCAAATTAATCTATTTTAGATTGTTTAAAGTGGTAAACATAAAATACAGGACAACCGTTACACCGTATGATGATCATTACAGAGTTTTAAGAATAAATAAGGTAAAAATTGAATGTCTAGTCCTGCTCAACCCTTGTTATTCGGGGGCCATATTACAAAATCTTCCTACTTTCATGACAAAATAAGATTTTTCACAAATTTGTATTGTAGAAGCAAAATTTATCTTCATTTAGGAATTCTATCTGATCTTACAGAATCTGAAGTTAAGAAATCCTACTCATAAATAATCGAGTTTTATGTCTGTTACCAAGCAATCGACAATACACACAGCTGAAAAATACTTAATCAAAATAGTGTTAAATTGTAAGTTACTTAGCTAGACGGCTACCAGTGTAAGGGGAATGTCAAAACTAAACTATAGTGTGATGAACCAGAAGTTTATAGGAAAACCTAGTAATACTGTGACACTACCCCTGCTGTTTAACAGGGCATTGCCGCTCCCTAGTTTCAGTTCCATGTCTCAAGACTTTAACCAGTGTGCGAGCTGCACTAACGTTTCTCCCCCTAGTAAACATCCACACGTTTAACTTAGCCTGCTCACTATTCTCCACCATCACTGTAATATTTTATTTGGTGAGTTTTGGAGTTAGGATGATAACAGAACTGTTATTCTGTAATAGCAGTTTTACTTAATTCAGTCCTCACTGAAAGTGTCATAGTAGCCAAAGAGATATGATTTCAGGATGTTTCTGTAATATGGCCCCTGCTTCAGTCCTGTAGTAGACTCCCAACAGCAGATTTTCTTTAGACAGACTAGTCTTTCAAGGGGATTGATATTGTGTATCACTTTGTGCCACTGGGTTAGGCTAAGGGGCACACACATAGTCCAAGTAACTATGATGCATAGTCTTGCAGCAGCAAAAAAGCCTCATATCAGTGAATCTTGTTCTCTTTCTTCTTTAATCGGAAAACAGGAGGAGAGTGGTGTGGGACTGGTCTTGATGGAGGAGGACAGCAGGAACGGCATGATCGTGCAGAGTATTATGGACGATGGAGCGGCCAGAAAGGTACAGGCCTCAAATTTGTTTAATATAATACAAGTTTATTGCTGTAATCTGTGTAGGGCCTGTGGTGCAATATATAGTCTGCATAGTGGTAAACATGTAGTAAAATAAGTCACAACTGAGCATTATATAAGAAATAAAAAAGGGACATTTACAAAGTTGTAAAAAAGTCAGACTTGTAAATGGTGTGTGTGTTCAGGAGGGCAGTATACAGGCAGGAGACAGACTGCTGGCAGTGGACGAAGAGATGGTGCTGGGCTTCTCTGAGGAAAAGGTAACAAACTCACACAGCACCTGACATTTATGTTATTCCAAACCTGCCCATGTATTGCTCAATGTCTTTTAAACAAATAAGAAACCGTTTTGATTTCCCTGTTGTTGTTTTTTTACTGGCATTTATTTTCTCATCCTTTTCCTTTTCCATTTTTTCCTTTTCATCCTTTTCCTTTTTTTCCACATAGATACAATATTGTGCAAAAGTATGTTATTTATTTGCTTTTACCATCTAATAGCTAGTTAATCTAATTAATTCTCTGTTAGATTAAATTATCTGTGCAGCAGATGCAATGCAATGGCTGGAGTGCACTGAGATGTTCCTGAATCTATTCTTCTAACTAAGCAATGTCCGATCTTATCCATAAAGCCCCAGTGTGGCTGCAGGTTTTCTTTCCAACAAAGCAGGACTGCACAGGATTAGTTGTTTGAAGGCTGAGCAATTGAGCTGCTCACTTGCAGCTACACCAGCCCTTTGTGGATAAGATTGGACACCCCAGCTCTAACTGTATTCCTCTAACCAAAATATTAATAATGTTTGTTTGTTTGTTTGTTTATTTATTTAAATGAAAATGTAAGGAGTCAGATGCTCGCAGATTAAAAACAGTTTTGAGCTTTTAATTAAAAAATGGAGATCCAAACTCATAGTGATTAAACAGGCGTAGGTCTAAACTGAGAAAGAGCAAACAAAAGCCAAAAGGGACATCCAGCAAAAGGTCAAAAACGTAAGACAAAGAATTATTATCCATGACATTGATTGTGTTTTTTGCAGGTGATGTCACTACTGAACAAACCAAAGAGCTCAGTGAAGCTCACCATCTGTAGGGATGACCCCGCTCCAATCTCAAACGTATCCAATCAGATGACCAGAGACTCAGACCCAGGGGCAGACACTTTAGCCAGCATGCCCCTGACTGTAGCAACGCCACCAGAAACAGAACCAGTCAGGAGTGAGTACACAGAGAGAAGATCAAACCATTGAGAATATTTTAGTAGTGATGTACCGACGTGTCATTTCTAGGCTGATAATGATAACAGATAACTAACATGTTGAAACGGATACTGAAACCAAGAACATTGAAAGTATAATCTGTACATGAAGTAAAAAATGTGACCAATACAGATACTGATTTTAAGGGGCTAAAATTTATATAAGCAATAACATCAGCTAATTAATTTAAAAAAGTTATTATTTTATGTTTATATTTTAGGTTTTAATGTTATACTTCAGTAGTTTTAGTTATAAAACAATATATGAATATGAAAATGATTGTTTAAACTGATATGTCATCTTCTGTTTGTGAAATTTCACTGTCAGTTTTCATTAATCAATAATTCATCAGAAACTCACAGTCTTAAATAAAATACTTTTTCTGGGGATATGTTACCCATAATTCATGGTATTTTTCATTATTCAGTTTTCTTCATACAATTATGTTTTTGTGTTATTCTTATGTTATTTTCATGCTAAAGATTAGCTTTTTGTTATTTAAACCATGCATGCATATTTCAAACATTACATTATTTCATTCAAAAATATATTCCTAATACTAAATTGCATTAAGCAAAAAAAGGCCATTTTAATACATTTTTCAATTTTACATATATTTCTTTACATATATTACTCGTAATTATCAGTTCAGTAATTGTGATTCCAGTATGAGGCTGATAATTACATTTTCCATTACTCTTGAATAATATCTCAGCCACTGCACCCTCATTCCTCACCATGCACCTCTCCTTTTAGTGTTGTCAACCTTGTTGTGTAGTTTATAGTTATTGATTATTTGACTGCAGTTTCCATGGTGTTTCAGGTTCCAGCAGGTCATCAACCCCTGCAACCTTGGTGTCTGACCCTGTGACCTGTCCCATCATCCCTGGCTGTGAGACCACCATCGAGATCTCTAAAGGGAGAACAGGACTCGGCCTCAGCATTGTGGGCGGCTGTGACACACTACTGGTAAATGGACTACAAATGTTAGTGTTTGTGTTTAAGAGAGAGAGAGAGAGAGAGAGAGAGAGAGAATCTTTACAAAAGATTTACACAAATTGTGAGTCGTCTTCTGTAGTACGTGACACACAAATACTCTAGCATTCACATACCTCCATCTACACAGTACTAATGTCAGTGTGTTTTACAGGGTGCTATAATAATCCATGAGGTGTATGAGGAGGGGGCTGCTTCTAAAGATGGCAGGCTGTGGGCTGGAGACCAGATTCTTGAGGTAAAATTCATCTACAATGTCTTTAACATTAAAACATCACCATTACATATCTATAGCTGTCAAACATCAGCATTATAGAAGTATAATAAAGCTGTCAAACATTTAAAATAATTAATTGTGGTTAGTTGCGTTCTTATATGTTTATATAACATATATCTCATATAGACTGTCCCGCACTTCTTCTCACTCTCATACTTCTGTTTTGAGGGGAGTTATAGTCTTCCACATTACTGTTGATTTTGTTAGTTTGCTGCTCTTTGATTTATCCATAGTTCTCCTATGATAACCGTTTAGTGTAGTCTGCTAAATTACTGATATTGCTGCATCAGTGATGTTTTTTGCTTGTTAATACTTGTAGTACAAGTTCTTCAGACTTCAAGAAACAAATTCATGACATTGCAGTAGTTGGAAGTAACTTTGGTTTAATCAAGAGAGCCATCATTTGATTATGCCTTTTAAAAAGTGTTTGAATGAGGGGGGCTGCAGTCATGAAACTAACAACTAACAGTTGTTACAATCACTAGCATATTTTGATTATTTAATGTGAACCTCTCTTTCTCTGTCTCTCTCTCTCTCCAGGTGAACGGTATAGACTTGCGTATGGCAACCCATGATGAGGCCATAAATGTGCTGAGGCAGACTCCTCAGAGAGTACGTCTTACCGTGTTCCGTGATGAAGGTCAGTATAAGGAGGAGGAGCTATGGGATGTTCTCACTGTGGAGCTGCAGAAGAAACCAGGCCAAAGCCTTGGACTCAGTATTGTTGGGAGAAGGTACCAGAATAAACCCAAATACTTGCATAATCATCTATATAGTCAACATATATAGTTCAGAGGTGTCCAATTTCAGTCTTGGAGGGCCGGAGTTCAGCATAGTTTGGTCATTTCTCTGCTTAAACACACATACTAAACTACACTACTGATAACTAACTGCTGAGATGAATCTGGACTCCGACCTACTAGGACTGGAACGGGAGACACTGATATAGCTATGAAACATTCTTTTGTCTGTTTTTATAGATAACATTGGTAGGAAGTCTAAATCTTAATTGTGAAAAGAGCTGTACAAATTAAACTGAATTAAAAGTGAATTGACAAGTAATGGAAGCTTAGAGACATCTATGGACAAAAGCAGACAAAATTCAGGGTAAAGGACGGCTGCCACTGCTAGCTTTTGCAGTTCAATGTGTTTTTGTCCATTTTTGTAGATAACAGAATGTCAACGTGTGAGAAACTACATAAGCAAGTCTGTTTGAGATTACTTAACAACTTGACATGGTTTGCCACAAAAGTGTGTTGATTTAAACATTCGTATTGCACAGTGGTAACCTGGTGGCTGTAAGCTTCCATCACTTATAAGCTATGTGGCTCATCAGCTACATTTAAGGTAGGAGGAAGAAATGTGTAAATTAAATTTTTGATCAAACCTCAACCCTAGGCTGCTACAGGGGAACCCCTTTCTCTACTTGACTGACGTACGCTTCTTTGGACAGACGTAGACAATAATGACACTTCAAAGAAATGACACTATTGTTTAATTAATAATGATGTATTAATGGTATGATTGATCATGTTCCCTCTTACCCGCAGGAACGATACAGGTGTGTTTGTGTCGGACATTGTTAAAGGTGGAGTTGTGGAGAGTGACGGGCGGCTCATGCAGGGAGATCAGATTCTGTCTGTTAACGATGAGGACGTCCGATCTGCGACACAGGAGTCCGTCGCCGCCCTGCTGAAAGTAAGCATACAAATAAGCTACGAAAACCACAAACGTGTGTATAAAACATTACACAGAATTTAAAAGTATCTTGAATCTGCTGTATAAATCAACAATTAATGAATGAATAAAAAAAGAGATATATGATGAGAAACATTTTCTTACCAAACACTTATTCATCCTGCATTACTTACTTCAACTTTAACTAGAATTTTTCTCTCCATGCAAATATTATCTTGCGGTATGAGCCAGTAATGTGTATACTATAGGTTTAATTTGATGCCAGATTATTTCAGTGAACTTTAGACAATCCTTATGCAATCTCTATCTTATTAGTGTTGCGTCGGTCCAGTCAAAGTGGAGGTGGGTCGTTTTAAGGCGGGGCCGTTCCACTCCGAGAGACGCATGTCTCAGGGTAGTCAGGTGGGCAGTGATTTTGGAAGAGTCTATTACACTTGGATCAATTTTGGCTAGTTTTACAGTGGTTTGGCCTCCAAACTGATGTACATATGTTTTTATGTGTAGATGAGTGAAGGTGGAAGCTGTAAGATCACCCAGCAGACTTTCACTGGTTCCGGTAGCCTGCAGGGAGACTTGGAAATCCGAAGGAGTCACGAATGTAAGCTTAGTATGCTGTTGCTTCGTAGTTCAAGTTGACTTATAAGGTGCAGAATTTTTATTTATTTAACATTCATTCTCTCTTCTCTCTCAGCACTGGACCAAGATTTCAGAACTGTTGAGCTGTCCAAGGTAAGATATGCTAAAGACTCATTCTTCAAATGTTACTGTTATTTAGAGTACTGTTGATCTACATGTTACGCTGTGTTTCATATGGCTCTGTCACACATACAGGTGTATGTACACTTATGGGCCACTTTATTAGACATTCGTACCTTGTTGGTACACCTTGTACTTAAATCTTTTTAGATGCGAAGCGCCTCATGTAGCTGGCACTCATGCACATTTGCGCCAGTAACAATCATATAGTGTTTGATGCTTCAGAAGAGCTGTGCTTCTCATTAATGACATTGTGTCCTTATTTCATGCACAATTTGTGTTATCGAAGGCATTATAAATGCCGTCTTTTTATGAGGAAAGTCAAAAAAAAGTTGTCAAAAAAAGAGCCAATCGGGTTGCTAGTAAAGCCGCAGCAAAGCGGGAAAAGCCCTCTGTCACTGTGAGGTTTTGTGCACGTGCAGCAACAACAACCTGAAAATTCTATTTTATTGTTTTTAGCAAACGCCACAAAATATTTATGCTATTTTGTCAGATTTTATCACTGACCTCAAATATGCATTTAAAGCATTAACACAACTTTCAGTTTCAGGTTTATAAGTCTCTTCCCATTTAAAATAGTAGGAGTCGGGTCTTGTATAAGTGGAAATAACTGTCCAGCATTGTCAAGATGGCCACTGAGTGAACAGACTTTCCTGTAAGAACTTTGGTGTTAGTCATCAACTAGCTCTTCATCAGTGACCAGTTTCTGACCACAGGACCAACTAGATATTTTGGTTGGTGGATTATTCTGAACTCTGCAGTGACACTGAGATGTTTAAAAACTCCAGCAACACTGCTGTGTCTGTTACACTCATACTGGCACAACACACACTACCATGTCAGTGTCACTGTTGCTCTAAGAATGATCCAACACCCAAATAATATCTGGTCAGTGGTGGTCCTATGGTGGCCTCCTTCCATAGATAAATTCTTTTGCAACAGATGAACTAAAATCTGTAATTGTGCACTTACAAAATGCGCCTATATGGTTGGTATTCCTGATAAAATGTACAGTGAGTGTAGTACAAGGTAGGTGGACTGAAAAAACTGACAACTCAGTGTGTGTATGTATGTTTGTGTCTGTGTGTTTCAGGAGCCGTCTGACTCCCTGGGCATCAGTATAGCAGGCGGTGTGGGCAGCCCTTTGGGAGATGTGCCTATATTCATCGCTATGATGAACCCTGCTGGTTTAGCTGCACAGACACAGAAACTCAGAGTGAGTTTGTCTTTGTGTGTATCATATTAATGTTAGTTCTCAGTAGGGCTGAACAATGAATTATTTGTATTTCTAAATAGCAATTGAAACAGGGCAATTTCCAAATTGCAAGAGAATTTTAATTGTATCCTACTACATTATTCAACATTATATGTTTTAAGTAAGAAAAATTTAGCCTCATAGTGCAGAGCTTATTAACTAAAAGTTTTCAGCATCAGTGTTCAAGCTACAATCCTCAAATTCAGAAAAACAGATGTGCTGCACTTCTTGGCAAACAAATGCCCTGAGCGGAATTTAAATCACTCTCTCTCTCTCTCTACTAACATTGCAGTCTAGTGGGTTAATAAGTGAGTTAATGTGCCTTTAAATCAAATGAAGTTTAACAGTACATCAGCCTCATTCACATTATGGGTTGGTGCAAGGTCACAGTGAATCAGTTCGCCTGAAATATATTACATATTTCTGCAGTAGCGAGAGGAACTTAAGCACAGCGGGATGAACAGTTGATCAGAGGAGGGTGAATGATGTTCATCTCAGCACAACATTTGGTTTATCAAGATCTGTCCATCAACTCAAGCACTTAGTAAACAAAGTGTCTGCAATACGCATTTCGTGCAAGCTGCTTGGAGTCAGGTTCTGGTTTCAAATTTAGCCGTGCCTGTTGGGCTGGGATGGGTCGGGTCTCATAGTTCTGGGCATGCTTCTGGCTTCAACTTCATGCTTGTGCAGACCACTAGTTAAAACTGTATTCTAATCTGCTGTAATCATTATTCTTGTTATCTCTCTCTCTCAGGTTGGTGATAGGATTATATCTATCTGTGGCACATCTACAGAAGGCATGGCTCATAGTCAAGCTGTATCACTGCTGAAAAACACCACAGGAACCATACAACTGCAGGTACACATAAACACAACAACACACAAACTCATTCAGTATCACTCTGTGATGTGCAGCATTCATTTTTTGGTTGATCTTTGTGTGTAGGTTGTAGCTGGTGATACTACAGTAACTGGTCCCCCACCAGATCAAACACCTGGACTGACCACAAGCAGTATCTTCCACGATGACCTGGGGTGTGTATCAGCTTACACACACATGGATACAGAGCTTTTTTGTCCAAATGTGCTAAAAATACGCCAATTTATTTTTTTTTGGTAAATTTGGCCCATTTCAGTGGACTATGGTCAATTTTATTCTAATATTCACACAAAACAGCAGGTTCAAATGATGTTAAAAAAATAGAAGGTTTTGATATGGCAGCAATGACATGGTACTTAAATATTGTTACTTGAGTTATATCAGAAAATCTAATTGTGTGTGTGTGTGTGTGTATACATTTGTGTCTCCACAGTCCTCCTCAGTGTAAGACGATTAGTTTGGAGAGAGGGCCGGACGGTCTGGGCTTCAGTATAGTGGGTGGCTTTGGCAGCCCCCATGGAGACCTGCCCATCTACGTCAAAACTGTGTTTGGAAAGGTAAAACGCTTTATTCTGAATTAATAATAATATTAATAACAATAATAATAATAATAATAATCTTTGTTTATATAGTACTTTTCATGCTGGTGGCGGCTCAAAGGGCTTTACAGACAGGTGATAAAGCTTAATAGTAATACAAAAAATATTGAGTACTAATTTAAAATCATTAGAAAATAACAGAGATCAAATAAAAAGATAAATGCCAACAGCCATACAGTTAATTATATGCTAAGTTAAAGAGATATGTTTTTAAATGTTTCCTAAAAGTGAGCACTGAGCTTGAATGTTTAATAGAAGGAGGAATTAAGTTCTACAGTTTAAAAGCCTAAATTCAAAGAGTCTCTCCATGTTGTCTGTATTTTTTAGAGGATATTTGCAGAAGGCCAGTATCTGCAGATCTAAGATCACATGCTAGAACATAAACAGACATTTTGTGATCTAAGTGGGTTCTTTGTCATTTAAAGCCTTAAAAACTAGTAGCAGAACTTTAAAATCTGTCCTGAAAGATACAGGCAGTCAGTGCAGTTCTTTCAAAATGGGATTGATATAATCTGTTTTGTTTTTGTTAGGAATTTAAACTCTCAGTGTATTTAATTCTGGATCATTCAGTTAATGTGTGAGAAAAAATAATACAACTTTGAAATAGAGTACTATTCAAAAATTTGGAGTTTTAACTCACATATAAAGCCAATTTTGTAACAGATACGTGTATAATACGATTCTTACATGATAATAGTACCGTATAACTTCATGTATATCAAATCATTTTAAGAAACTGAAAAAACAAAGAAATGTTAGAGATATTTAGAATGATAAACAGAGCTGTAGAAAACTCCATGAATCAGAAAGCTGTGTAGCATTGAGAAGTTATAATAAAATTGACACCCACTTGACAAAAATGACTGTAAATAGATAATTTTAGTATTACTGATCATCAATTTTAAAATGTGAAATATTGAACTAAGCCTCTAAAATGCCTTCTGGTGCCTTTTAATGTCTAATCTTCTTCGTTATTGAATAAAACAACTGTTTATTTCAGTTGATTCCAGATGTTTGAATATATATTCTATGTATCCTAATACATATTCGTTGTGTGCAGGGTGCAGCAGCGGAGGACGGGCGTCTGAAGCGCGGTGATCAGATCGTTGCTGTTAACGGTCAGAGTTTAGAGGGAGTTACGCACGAGGAAGCAGTTGGCATTCTGAAGAAAACCAAAGGCACCATCACTCTCACTGTGCTTTCATAGAGAGAGATTACACAGATGAAACACAGATGTAATTTCATGCCCACAACACAGTCATATACAACATTCTCACGAGACACTTCGACTTTTGCTCATACAAACCACATCCACATTGTCACTGTTGCACTCTGATTAAAATGGCCTGTGTGCTTTTATACAGACATGTATTAGCTCTTGTGATCTACAGAGACTCAAGCAGAGTCATTGGTAACACTGGCTCGAGCTGCCTACACACTGTGATCTTTATCATTGATGCTGTGGAAATGTTAAATGTACCCCAGACATTGTTTTCACTCTTATTAGTATGCTGTTTTAAATGTAAAACCCCTTCTAAAACTGTTGCTTTTGTCCTAAACTGTGCTAATAGCAGTACTGGGTAGTTGAGTAACCAAGTTACTGTTTACCCGCCACCTTTATCAGAAGCCTTTTTCCATTGATTAGTGAAACATCTTCATGAATACTTCTTACAGTCTGTGCAGTTTAAATTAGTTATGCCATTCTGCATGAATATCACTACTATGCTCATCTTCAGAGAGCAAATTTCCAGTTCAAATTTAGTGCTGCATCAGTTGAATGAGGAGACGTGACTTATTATTGATTAGGATATTATTCAGTGCTTAATGTTTTCTACAAGCTTGAAGGTAGTTAAGTACTTGCTTAACGTAGTTTTAATATAAAACTTTACCTACGTAACACCTTGTATTAATTTAGGTTGTTGTTTTGGATTATTTTCTTTTTTATTCTGTAAACATTTTAAGAAGTAAGTACTTTAGGCAATACTCTTAGTCCCAGACTGCAAAAAAAGGCTAGCCATGACTTTTGACTAGACTACGTGCTCTGAAAGACAATCTAACTGCTGGTTTTAGCGATCGTAATTATGTGAATGCTTTGAAGAGATACTCTATTGTACTAAGAAGTATGAAGTGGGAGAATTATTTAGCCATCCAAACTGTGTTATTTATGAACCAGAGAAACCGTTGAAGACATCTAAGTCTTAAGTATTAATGAGAAACAAATGGATTAACTCTGTTAAATATTTGTTAGATCTAGCTGCTGATTCACACCATGTCTTTATGAAATGCTATTTACAGTATTCATGCCAGTGTTCATCATGTGTCTGTCAGTGTGGATTATGTTACAGAGTTAGAGAAATGAATCTTTACACACAAGCAATTCTGAAACCCAGTATTGAGTTTTTTTCTGCAGCTAAATGAATAAAAGTGACCTTCAGTGGATTATGTCCGTCACCACAAATTTCTTTTACTTTGCTTGTATTTTTTTTTACAAAAAAAGAGCAATACATTCTTTTTAAAAAATGACACTTTATTTAAGTAGTTTCAATGCTGACAATGTTGATGAAAAAGAAAATCTTACAAATACACATGTACAAAGCCATGAATCACTCCCTTGTAACAGTGCAGTGCAGTATCATCAGCTGTACAGTCCTGAAGCCTTGGCATTCATTTAAAAATCATCGAAAAATAGACTAAATGGCACTGTAGGACATTCTTCACTACTGTAAAAGCTACGGCACTTCTGTTACAACTTTACTTACTTTTGTCACCAGGGGGCGAAATAGACTGGACATATATGATACTCTACCCTGAATCTTGTTTTTCTTGTTTCTCTGATCGAGAGAGATTAGGGTGGACGAAGCTGTTCCAATTCTAACAGTTTAAGGGAGTGTGTCAACATTTTTAACATAATCTCCTAATCTACCTGCAGCACCGACCGACCACTTCATTAAACACATTTCCTTCGTTCTACACTCACTGTCCATTTTATCAGCTCTGCTTACCATATAGATGCACTTTGTAGTTCTACAATTACAGACTGTACTTTATCTGTTTCTCTGCAGAATTTGTTAGCCCCCCTCTACCTCGCTCATCTATAGTCAGGAGCCCCACAGGACCATCACAGTGCAGGTATTATTTGGGTGGTGGATCTTCCTCAGCACTGCGGTGACACTGACGTGGTAGCATGTTAGTGTGTGTTGCGCACTCTGTCTAACAGAGTGGACAGTGGGTGGACACAGTGTTTGAAAATTGCAACAGCACTGCTGTGTCTGATCTACTCATACCAGTGCCACACACTTACACGCCACCACCACGTCAGTGTCACTGCATGAAGTGGCTGGTCGGTGTATACCAGACAATTATTTTACATAGTAAGCACATGTCGTTGGGCAGAGCCTGTGAAAACCCCGCCCACACTACTATGTTGCTTACAGATCCTCTCGTCATAACTGTGAAAAATGCACTGGAAAATAATACATGTTCACCGAAATGCACGTTTGGCATAAATGTTTATTAATAGAACTGCCCAATGGCTTCTATTATAAGTGTGTTCTGAGTCACCAGATTTTCTGTTTTTCTTTTTGTCTGTGCAGGAATCTCTTCAAAATTGTGGTCATCAACTGTACACAACAGGTACAGCAGAGATAGACATTAGGTTGAAAATGCTGGAGTACCTGTTTAAAAAGGCAGATCTCTCTCTTTAGTCTGGGTTCTACAATGGGAAAATATTGCAACTAAACAGAAAAAAAGATTCCCTGGAAAATTGTGTGCGAAAAATACACATTTACTGGCCAGAAGGGATTGCAGGCTGTGCACGCTTGCCTTTTTTTAGTCATTTTCTCTCCCCCTCTCTCTCTTTCTCTCTCTCTCTTTATACACATTTAACCTCGTTTAGAATCAGCAATCTTGCTGAACAGACATGGGACTTTTTCAAAAAGTAAAAAACAAATAATAATTACCAAAAGTATCATTAAAAAACAAAACATCTACATTCGTATCACTGCAAAAATAGAACTCCACAAGTTCCACCTTCAGGCTTAACAAAGAAAAAGCAGAGACAGAGCGGTGAATGAGTGGAGTGTATATTTTGTCATTTAGTCCACAGAAACTGTATCTACTGACTACATCAGAGAGAAAACAGAAAAAAAACTGAATTCTTTATTGACAAAAATACTAAATCTATCTACTAAACCAGAGTAGCATGGTAAACTATAAATAAAATAAAATGCTAAATAAGAACAATCCACAGCAAAATGTACAAGTACAGCTCAGCTAATAAACAAACTCCTGATGTTTTACAAATGGGGTTTTTCAGTTTTATTTCATGTAATACCTTAAGCAGAGGAAGAGGACAGAAGGCCATGGATTAGCAGTGCTGTTTTGTTTATATTGTTTGTTAAAGCAGAGAATTCCCCAGATTCAAACAGTCATTCAAAGTGGGTCAAGGTGAAATGCTCCATTCTTGAGATTCCAGATTCCTGCAGTTTGGAGATTTTTCCCTTCAAACACACCTGATCCAACTTACCAATGAATTGCCAGATTTATTTGGAATGTTAGAGCAGGGAATCAGCAAACAGTGCTGGACTCTAGCCCTCAGTTCCTCGGTTCTGGTTTAACCCATTAAAATCCCAGGGTTTTTACATACTAAGGTGTATTATTCAGTAACTACAGGGACCCAAACTGGTTCTGAGGTTATATAAGTGTGAAATAAAAGTTGTGCCCGCTCGTGGGCCATGGCCATGTAAGGGGTTAATGCGTCTAAAAGCTCTTTCATAGAAAGTTATCAGATGAAATGGCTATGAACATGACACTTGGTCAGACAAATATGCTGAAGACACATGCAGATTCACTAGTCGTTTGGATAGTAAATAAAATTGATGTACTGTTAACATTGCAACACTTGGTTCCAATCACGACCACTGTAAAGAAAGCCAAGTGGATCAATTTCTCTACAGTGAAGCATTTCACATCAAAGCACTCTGAATGACTTTATATCTCAACGACAGAATTATGTAGAGAATCTGTAAAATCTTGTGTCGTAATATTTGCTTGTGAAATACTGATATAATAGAATGCTATACATTGGAGAAACATTAATAATCGCCCAACTGCCTGAAGCAAGTAAAACTCCAAATTGGGACAGCAACTGAAAATCGTTTTCAATTCAGTGAACAGTGTACTTGATGTTGCTGTCTTTTGTTTTCATATGCAAACCCCCCCTCATTATGGAAAAAATGGTGTAATCCAATTGTTCAAAAAAGTTGGCCAAACGGGAGTGGGCAACAAAATGAGTAAGAAACTTTATTTCCGACCACATCAGACATTTCAGAAAAACGTCTGTGGGTGTTTCGATGAATTAAAGCATTAACATTGGTTGAAAAAATGTTGACTCTCATTAATCATGTCACATAAGGGGTTTACCAGTATGCTCTTTTATGCATTGCAGTATATCGCAATCATAATATCTCCCAATACAAATGCAATATGGTCAAGCCAAGCAGGTATTATGGCATATGAAAACAGGACCAGCAGTTGAGAGCATTACCAGCATCACCTAGCACGATTTTGCATGTTAACCAAAGCATTTGTGTAGTCAAGCTCTCTTTACTCTAGATACTTTGCATACACTAGAAGCTCTCTACAGCACAGAATCAAGGACAAGAAAAGTACTCTTTATCTGCTGTCGTCCTTTTAAATCCACTCCAGCTGCCTTCTCTTATGGTAAAGTACAGAGTAGGTCAGAGGACAGAACTGTTGTTACTCTAGTTGCTGACCTTGCAGAGTGCCTAAGCTAATTTATGATGCTGTAAATTACAGCGTCCAAAAGAAAATGGCCTGTAACTCAACAACAGGTCATTTCAACAAATGAAAAGTCGCTTTTCATTTAATGACATCAATCCCAACATGCACTGCTACACATCGAGTTCCTAAATGTATCAAAATAATTCGTCAGTTGAACAAGTCAGTTTAGATGAAATGAGAAATTTCATATGCATGCATATACATGTATACCGTCATTGCTGAAACAAAACACAATGGTAGCATTTACAAAGGCATAAGCTTTTAATGACAACTGACATAAAGTTGTATAAACATTTATAAAAGCTTTTTCTAACAAGTCTCAGTTGTCATAACATTGGCTGAGAGCAAGATCACATCACAATGGACAAAAGCAGCCTTTATGAGAGCTGACACTTGTAGGAATAAACATCTAAATAGCTTTACGTCAGTTGTCATTAAAGGGTTACGTAGGTGTCATGTAGCCTTATGAATCCTACCCTTTAGTTAAGTGTTACCGTACATGAGTTAATGTAATAACATTTTATTCCAGATAATTTTGGATCATTTCTACTAGTCCATTTGACATGTTCACACAATGTAAGAGGGCAGCTGCCTTTTTATAAATTATAGTAATAAAAATGGAGTTATGAGGTTTTGTTTCAACAGCAATTATATGAAACTGCCTGTTTTACATGACAGAGCTCTAATACTACAGTTCTTCAAAGAATAATGCTAGAAATACATACATCTTTTTCATTAATGATTTAAAGTCAAAACAGCCTCAGGATTAAATCAATCCATCACCCCCAATTATCATGATTTTTAGCATCACTGTTAATGCTCAGAAATGTTTTTCAGTTCAGTTATTGTTTCAAACTGACAAAAATAAATAAAATGTAACTAAATAAATATTTACAATGAGGTTTAAGTGACCCGATGAAAAGTGGCGTACTTGGCTATAGGCCTTTCAGCTTGGAACACTGTCCTAAATGTATCGTGTGGTCAGTAATGTTGTTCCCTTTTAGTTGTCAGAAGGTCACTGACATTGTGAGTGTTCATACCAGTATGAAATAAACAGCTTGGAGAAATTCATTCAGTTATAGTTAAAAAAACAAAAAGAAACTCAACAGGAGTTTCTGTTCCCTCCTCTTTCTCTCTTCCTCTTTCAGATGTGACACTGAAAACCAAAGTTTTGTCTTACTTTTCCTTCTTACATTGTAATTTCACAGATTGCAAATGTTCCTGAGCAGTTTGTGAAGTCACTGGTAACTCGTATTAGTGTTTCCCTTTCATTCTTCTTTTTTTTCTCATGACATACCTTCAAATTTTACCTTGGTTGCCATAGTGATGGCTACTGTGGCTATCCCTTTAAAGGCAACAGTATTGATCCATCCTGTCTGCTTTTAGCCCTCTGAGTAATGCTTTAGGCAAAAATGTCCTTCAGAAAATTCAAAATAATGGAAAAAAAAGAAACATCTACTGACCTTATAGACCAGCTTTAGGATTAGTCAGTTTTTTTTTTTTTACCTCTGAGATATTTTAATCAACTACATATGAGCTACACTCTTAAAAATAAAATTGTCTAAATAGTTCTTGGCTTGGACATAAGGTTCTGGGGAAAACCAGACAGTATGTGGAGGTTCTTAAAAAGCTAAAAAGGTCCTTCACACACACATCTAATTTTCAAAAAATAGTCCTTTAAACCTTCAACCATTTATTAAGAGGTTCATGAAGGAACTAAGTGGTTCTTCTATGGCATTGATCCATAGCTATTCTGACACCTTTATTTCTAGGAGTATTCTCAGAGGTGGCAGTGTTTTTGTTATCGTTCAAATTCATTTAAAGATGGTTTTAATGATGATGAGGTCTACATCCATCCCTTTAATTTAGTCTTCCTCACCATCTCCCTTTTCAAAGATTTTAATCTAGTACATGCTACTTAAAATTCTTTTTAAGCCACAGCACCCAAAAGAACATTAACGGCCCTTTCCTGCTCAGCCTTTCTTTTTTTCACCATGTAGATTCCTCCAGAATTCGATGACGAACGTTAAGGCCTTTTTTGTCCCAGAGCAGGCTGATTGACGATGGGGCATCTCACCTTTCAGATGGTGTTGGATGGAGGTTACAGCAGAAGACTTTTTGGACAGGGTTTTGGGTTAGATGAAGAAGTGCCTGGCTACACAAGTAAGCGCAGTGGGAAAGAGAAAGCAGCTCCCAGTGACAGACCCAATGCCAAGAAAAACGTCATCAAAGCTCCCGCTGTTTCTGCATCTTTTGGAACCACCAGCCTGGGAGAGAAATGGGGGATTTTCAGATTCTATAAATGTCAGCAGCTACAAAAGGCCTAAATCTTGTAAAGCTGCTTCTGTAGCTTCTGTAACCAGCTTGTGGCTTGCTACCTATTCACCATGGTGGAGGTACAACAAGCTCCTACAGCAATCAAGTCAAATGAGTAGACACATGAATAGATATCATCCAACTGAAATATTGGGATGCATCGTGTACAAAATAGTCATGTGTAAATTGCTGGGTGTATATTTCAGTCATTAAGAGAATAGAGAAGGATAAGGCTGAAACAGTGGGCAAAAAGTAAGACTGATAAAATAGTTATGGTGTGTAAACTCACTGGGGTGCATAAGACATGGAGAGGCAGACGCAGTATCCACTGGAGATGGAGAAGAGCATCATGATAATGACGAACAACACGTCATTAGAGAAGAACACAGGGAGGAAGCGGCGCTCCTGAACGTTACACAGCATCAGCAGAGGCACGAAGATCACCCGAAAAATCACCAACATCGGAAATAATCGACTTTCTTTAGGAGGCTAAGAGAAAAAGTGTGAGAGAGAGAGAGAGAGAGAGAGAGAGGTTTGTTAGCCTTGTAAATCCAACTTCTGGCTGTCGCCAGGGAGTCTAGTGGGTTTCGTCGCTCAACTGGCCAAGAACCTCGTACACAAAAACAAACCCACCAGAGAATGTTGTTCTTTGCATGATGTGCAAAATGAGAGACACTGTCAAAACGGTGCTACAGCAGAAGCACATAGAATGTGTCTCAGTGGAAACCAGGAGATGCAGTAAACTCTTGAATAACTTTTAAATACAGGATGTTATGAACTTCACAAATGCTTTGCAATCTAGGGACTATATCTTTCTCTGGAAAAGAAGAATCTGCAACTATTTTCTACTAAGGATTAGATAAGTAACTGCTGGGGGAGCCACTCAGTCTGAGACTAGAGATTAGCAAACAGCTTCTGGATACGTTGAAACGATTTAGCCCTGCTCTCTGAGAAAAAAAAACAGGAAAGATGAAAAGGTACGGAGAAGAAAAAGAAAATGGTTAATAATTTTCACTCACCCACTGCACAAGAGAAGTGACCGTTCTCCCAGTCCAGTCCATTACATTAAAGACCAGGAAGCAACATACAGGGATAAAATAGAGTTCTGAGAGAGAGAGAGAAACAGAGAGATATCTTTTTTAAGACCTCAGCGTAACATAATAAGCACTCGTTTATTTTAGCTAATACCTGATCGATTAAAATATGCCGGGGTCTGACATCCCTAAATTATAAGACTTACAACCCCTTTCCAAAAAAGTAGGGACTCACATTTTAAGGAAAAAATAAAATGCAATGATGTGCAAATCAATCATCAACTGAAAACAGTACAAAACCTATCAAATATTGAAACTGAGAATTTTATTGCTTTTTGAAAAATACATGCACATTTTAAATTTGATGCCAACAACACGTTCCAAAAAAGTTAGGAAAGGGGCCTGTTTACCACTGTGTTTCATCATCTCTTCTTTTAACAACACTCTCTAAGTGTTTGGGAACTGAGGAGACACTGCTTTTGTTCTGAAAGTGAAATGTTTTCTCATTCTTGCTTGGTGTAGGATTTCACCTCCACAACCAGTTCAGGGTCTCCTTTGTCATATTTTTGTTTCATAATGCGTGAAATGTTCTCAATACGTGACAGGTCTGGACTGCAGACAGGCCAGTTTAGCATGCTAACTCTATTTACGGAGCCATGCTGTTTTAATATATGGAGAATGTGGTTTGGATGAAGATATATATATATATAGTTCAGCATTAATGTTGCCTTCACAGGTGTGCAGGTCACCCATGACGTGCACTAATGCACCCCTATACCATCATGGACGTTGACTTTGGAACTGTGCACTGAAAACAAGCTGGGTGGTCTTTAGCCTGGAGGACACAGTGTCCATGATTTCCAAAAAGAATTTTAAATTTTGATTTGTCAGACCACAGGACACTTTTCCACTTCGCCTCAGTCCATCTTAAATGAGCTCAGGCCCAGAGAAGGTGGCAGTGTTTCTAGATCCAGTTTATATACATAGAGTTTTAACTTGCCTTTGTTTCTTTTAGCATTTAGCATATCAGCCTTTTGTTGCCTTGTCCTAACTTTTTTAAAATGTGTTCAAAATGGCCATATATTTTTCAAAAAACAATAACATTTCTCAGTTTCAACATCTGATATGCTGCCTTTGTACTTTCAACTTGTTTAAATATAGGGTTTAAATGATTTGCACATCATTGCATTCTGTGTTTTTTACATTTTGCACAGCCCAACCCCAAAAAGGGCTTGTATTTAAGGATCCGCAGAAAAACTTTGGTTTCGTGGGAGCTATTGAAAAATAGGCTTTATATATCTTTTTATATCTTTAACTGGTATTGATTAAGAATAACTTTTATTGTTGTTGAGGATTGTGAAAACTTTACTATTTACCATTAACATTTACCATTGTGTTCCCTAAATTTAATGGCTAGATTGTGACATACTGTCTAAGTGACATACTGTCTAATGAACAAGCAGGGGAGACATTTTTGTTGTGTAGGTTTCTAAAAAGTGTTTGGGATGTTGACTTATTTGGTTTGCTGAATAGTTCTTTATGCAGAGAAGCGTGTTGATGTACTCAGTGAACGTACCCCATTTCCCTGAGTAAACGGTCTTCACATCCACTGTGACGGCGGGGAAGACTGAGAGTGTGACCGTGAACACGAACGTTACACAAAACGCCATTACCCAGATCTATACAGAGAGAAAGAGAGAAAGAGAGAGAGAGAGAGATAAAATACAGTAATGTACAATAGTACAGCATGTTATACCATAGCTGAGCACCTTTCATTCTAATTCAAATCAAAGTGCACATATATGATGGGTGTTTCTGAGAAAGTGGCCAATGAAAATAAGTACAACGTAGGTGTTTCCAATAAACTAGCAACTCTTTGTACATCAAGCTGACACATACCTTTTTGAACACCTCCAGGACAGAGCTTTTTTTCTCTTTAGAATTAGCAGTCTCCAGACTGACAAAGGCTTGCCTGCCACCATCACCTTCCTCACTGGCCAAACCACTGGGGTTTTCTTTGGGCACTGAGCCATTAGCGTGACCGTTCAGCTCAAAGCTTTCCTGTGGGGTCTCTATCAGAGAAAGAGAGACTCAATCACACACTGAGAAAACAATCTAAATGTGGTGATTTATGATCTAAACTGACAGCAGTGAGACAACAGAGCCACACTGTTTCCCAGCTTGTGCAGAAACAAAGGTCGTCTTTTTTTTGCTTCTCCAGACGGCTGCTGGCTGGGCCGCTGCAAGCAGTCCCGCAGCTTGACTGGGACTGAGATAATGACATAATGAAAAGTAAACAAGCCCAAAGTGAATGAGTGCATTATGCCATGGTGCTTCTGCACTAGGAAGAAGCAGACTTTGCTTCCAGCTTTAAAATCTAGAAAAGTGCCAAAATGCTGGCAGTGTAGCTTCTATCTTCTTCTTTGCGCCTGCGTTCTAATTGATTTAAGAGGGGAACGCTCCCTTATACTCTGATAAATAAACAAACCTTGAAGTTGTGGTTGTTGTGCACTATGTTCATTCACAACAAACCCGACAGATACCTGGATTATTCATGGTTGTACTTTGCTGTAAAGAAAGGGTACCAAAATGGTTGTCCTGGGGGGGGCAAAGTGCAGTGTTTGTGGTGGGCCGAACACCCAAAAGACAAAATCATAAACATATAAGGAAGGCAGATTTCAACTCTTTTTTAAAAAAAAAAGTTTCTTTGGGCATTATGATGTAATGATTAAATTTGCACAATTTCCGCTTATGTGGTTGCTACAGTATTCCAGCTGGTTGCTAGGGCATAGCTAGGCAGTGGTTGCTTGGTGGTGTTAGGTGTAGTTCTTAGGTGGTTGCATGATGTCAGCATGATGTTAGTTATAATAACTAATTATAACAGTATAAGCTTCTGTAAATTCTGTACGATTATCCTCAAAGCAAACTCCAGATACCAAACATGTCTTAGCTGGCTGCCTTTGGGGTAAGGAGAGAATTTATAAGTTTAACTTTACACTAAACTATCCTTTTAAGTACACGTGCAGCAGTGGGTTCACACTGACAGTAGTAAGTTGGACTAAAGAGTAGATGCTCTTGTGCATTGTGAAGAAGTTTGCAATTCATTTTCAAAATAAAAAAGCCTTGATAAGACAGAGCATAGTTCAGCCATCTGAAACAAGCTCCCATAACCTTCCTGATAATCCATAATCTAATCTACATCAGTAATGACATGTTTCTCTGTTATCAATTATCAGGAGCTTACAACTGTTATAAACAAATGAAGTTCATCCACATGTAATCTTCACCCTGTTCCTTCTTCATTCCTTAGCATGGCTTTTGACTGCGTTCAAAGTGATGTTTTAACTATTGTAGATTGTTCTCTGTCAACAGGTGTTTTTCCAGACCCTTTTTTAGACTGCCTTTGTGAAGCCTCTGTTAAAAAAGAGTGGCATTGATCCTTCCATATTAAATCATATTAGATCAGTTTCAAACCTTCTTTTTTAAGTAAAGTCTTAGTAAAAGTTGTATTCAAACAATTTAATGCATATCTAATAAAAAACAAGTTATATGAGAAGTTTCAATCAAGATTTCGTTCTAACCATAGTACTTAGACAGCATTGGTTCGTGTTGTCAATGACCTTATGCTTAGCACGGATGCACAATATCCTGCTATTCTGGTCTTTCTAGATCTTTTGATGCCGGATTTTAATCCTCTGTCTTCGGGTACAGTTTTAGAATGTTTTAAATCACATTTAGTTAACAGATCATAGTTTCACTGGGAAATCATTAATGAAAAATTTCTTGTGGAGTCCCACAAGGTTCAGTTTTAGGGCCTTTGCTTTTCGCTTTGTACATGCTACATACATCTCTAAGTGATGCCATTGGGAAACATGAACTTTTATAGCTATGCTAATGAGACACAATAATACATTTACATTCTTTCTGATAATCAAAAAACACAGAAAAACTGAAATACTTATACTTGGTACTAAAATACTGATCCTTGGTACTAAAACTCAGAGAAGCTGCTCTATGAGAAGCTCAACTCTTCAGGTTTGGTATATGAAGCTAAAGTATGAAACCTGGGTGTGATCTTAGACTCCGAGTTCTGTTTTATCCCGCATGTAAACACAGACACTAAAGTAGAGCTCTATCATTTGAGAAATATCGCTAAAGTTTGGGCTTTTCTACGTCAGAGCAATGCAGAGAAACTTGTTAACTCATTTGTTACAAGCTGAGTTGATTGCTGTAATGCTTCCTTACTGGACTTCCTAAGAAAACAATACTTCCTCGACAATGTGTACAAAACGCAGCAGCGCACTTCCTAACAAAATTATAACGGAGAGATCACTCCCGTTTTAAAAGAACTGCACTGGCTACCTGTATCTTTCAGGACAGATTTTAAAGTTCAGATCCTTGTTTTTAAAGCTCTAACTGACCTTAAAGCACCACTTACATCACAGCGTGTCTGTCAGTCTATGTTCCAGCACATAATCTTAGATCTGCAGATACTGACCTCCTGCAAATACCTTTAGTACAATACAGAAAATGTGGAGCGACTCTTTCAGTTATTCTGCTTCTAAACTGTGGAATTCAATTCCACCATTTATTAGACAGTCAAGCTTAGTGCTCACTTTTAAAAACATTTAAAAAACGTCTCTCTTTAACGTACTGTTTAATTAAAACTATGTCTTGCAGTATTTATCTCTTTAATTTGATGTGTCATTGTCTTATATGATTTTAAATTAACACTCATGATTCTTCTATTACTGTTAAGCTTTGTCACCTGTCTGTAAAGCACTTTGAGCTGCATGAAAAGTGCTATTTATTTATTTATTTATTACTTATTATTATTATTATTATTATTACTGAATTTTACCTTTAGGCAGCAGTTGGTGGGAAGTTTCCAATTCATAGGTCTGACTTGTACTCTTATCCAGATAAAACCTAGCAAATTCCTGTGGAACAACAGAGAAAGAACTGTTTACTATACAAAACCATGACTTGCACCAATTGTAGAACTACAAAGTGAACATATATGGTAAGTGTTTCTGATTAAATGGCCAATAAGTGTGCATCCAGGGTAAACTGGCAATTCAGTGCATTTACAATTAATAAACATTTAGATTACTGATTCCATGAGATACATATTTTTATTCAGCATACAGTCTACAATATGCAAATGTTTGGGCCCCCCTGGTCAAAGTACATGTTTTGTTAATTTTAAGTGAAAATAAGTTCCTCTACAGAGAACTCACTTCTGCACATTTTAATGCACAAGCATGGTTTATTTGCTGAATTTAACACATTGGGGAAAAAACATGAAACGTGCCCTGTGGAAACTTTACGCCACATAAATTTTATGTTGTGTTATAGCAAATAAATAGAGATTGGGCACTACAACTTGCACACAAAATGCCATATTTAAGTGCGTTCTCTGTAGAGGACTTGTTAACCTGTCTTTACTTAGAAAGTCAACAAAATATGTAATTTGACCAGGCATATGATTGCAGCTGCCGCTAAAATAGCAACATATACACACCAGTTTGGGCAGCAGTAAGTAGCTGATGAGCGTTACTACAGTCCCCACACATGGAGCGATGAAATATCCCAGCGCTGCAGTCTTATCATCTGTTTCACCTGGTACAAGTACACAAACACAAGAACTGATGTAATATATAGCACTGTGCCTCAACAGCAGAGACAGTAATGAGCCTTTACTGTATCGATATTAACAATGACAACAGTGATGGCCATCTGACTGTCTGTGTGTGCATGCGTGAGTGAGAGTGTGTATATACACTCGCTCTCCACGCGCCTACATTGTGTCTGTACTCTCTGTCTCTGTCTTATTTTTTCAGGTCCACTTACAATATAGATGTACCTTGTATATCTACAATTATAGACTGTAGTCGTTCTGTTTTTCTGTATAATGTGTTAGGATGCTTTCACTATGCTCATCAATGGTCAGGACCCCCACTGGGCCACACTGCAGAGACACTGACATAGTAGTGACAGTGTGATATTGTGTGCTGCACACAGTATCACTTCTACATTGAGAACAGTCCACCACCCAGTGTTTTGTGGACAAAAGAACTTTATTATTAAGTACTGTCAAGTCATTTCCAACTCCTGGTGTTTCCCCAGAATATCCTGTCTTCTGTTTGAGTCTTCAGGCTTTTCAATGGCTTGTTTATAATTCCTTTGATTGTATCCGTCCACCTTGTAGCTGGTCATGTTCTTCCTCTGTAAACTTCAGCTCTTCCAAGCATAATAGTCTTTTCCAAAGAATTGGTTCTTAGAAAATATCGAAAGTAAGATGCTTCAGTTTGGTTATCTGGGCTTTGAGTGAAAGGTAAGGCTTGATTTGTACAAAGATCCTTTCGATTGTTCTCCTTGCTGTCCAGGGTGCTCTCAGAAGTCTTCACCAACACCAAAGTTCAAAGGCATCTATCTTTTTCTGTATTTTTAGTGTCCATAAAGAACCATACAGAAGACCAAGGCCTGGACAATTCTGATCTTCGTTTGCAGAGAATGTTCAATGCATTTCAAGATCTTTTCAAGCTTCTTCATCCTTGTTGTGCTGGATTTCAGCTTTTTTTATAGTGCTGCATCCTCTGTTGTTAATAGCTGATCCAAGCAGGCAAAAGCTGTCCACAATTTCCACATCTTCTCCATCAATGGTGGCATCTACAAGGTGGAGCAACAAGGTAGGAGTGTCTAATAGAGTGGACAGTGAGTGGACACAGTGTTTAAAAACTCCAGCAGCACTGCTGTGTCTGATCCACTCGTACCAGCTCGTACCACTCGTACAACACTTACTAACACACCACCACCACGCCAGTATATCGGCAGTGCTGAGAATCCAAATAAAACCTGCTTAGTGGTGGTCTGACGAATTAATCCCTTAACGAACAGGGCAAAAGTGGGCTACCAAATTATTTTAGAGAAACAGATGGACTACAGTCTGTAATTGCAGAACTACAAAGCGCACCTATGATTAGTGGAGCTGATAAAACGGACCCAATAAAGTGGCCAGTCAGCGTACGTCTGTGAGTGAGTGTTTGTAGGAATGCGTATGTCTGTCTGTCTGTACATGTGACTCACTTGCGATGGCTAAGAGCATGGCGATAGCAGCGAAGGTTCCACCCAGGCCCTGTCCACTCATAAACACTGCACTGTACTTCTGAGGCAGCAGTCCAACCAAACCAAAGAGACTGCCCTGCAGCACGGCCCCGAAAGCTACACAAACACAAGCACAAAACAGCCATTTTATTCAGACTGAAGTGCTGAAATTGGTAAGTTCATCCATAGACTATTTTCCTATTTTTTTGGCTTGGCTGTCAGAGTCTCTCGAAAGAAACTACTGCAAACTGTGGCAAACTGTTACAGCCTAGAAAGATTTAGTCACTGTTGCAACCAAACCTTGTATTTCTGAAATGGTAACAAGTTGAAGGAAAAACATTACTTTAACATATTTAATATAACATTAGATTATTCCAAGTAATTTTGGAATGTTTCTGTTGGTCCATTCATCATGAAATGTTCACACAATGTAAAGGACAGATGGCATTTTTAAATGGTGTAAAAAAAAAAAACTGCAGCAATATCTATATTTAGTGCAAGGTCATCCTGGTAAATTCATCCACAAACTGTTTTACTTTTGTCTTTTTTTTGTCTTGGCTATCACTGTCTCTCACATTAAACTAAGAAAAAAAACAATTGTTTCCAAGTAGGAATAAAAAGATTCTTAACTTTAAACGAACAACATGTAATATATTTATGTACTAAATCACAAAATCTAGTGTTTGCGTTTTGGCCTGTCACCCCACCCACTGCCCACTTCCCACTACCCATTTTGACACCCTGGGTTGCCAGATATGAAACAAATTGGCAGGCAAACACAGCATGCTTCAGCCATGGAAGCAAGCAAACAAACTGGATCTCAGCCTAAAAAAGCCTCTGCAGCCTTCTAAAGAGCTCCATGGCCAGAGACATACTAAAACCTGAGTAAATACCGGTGATGCATTTGGAAAAAATGGAGACAGCTTAGAGCCCTGAAGGTTTTTAAGATGGATGCTGAATTTGCTCATTTTTTCCTGAACAGGTAAACACTGAGCTTCAGCTAAGGTTAACTAATTTATTGCAGCTACTTGTAGGGATGGACATGTTCATGCTCTGTGCTGTGTGTGCAGCTGGGTTATCAAGGCAGACAGTGCTGGAGTTGGCTTTCTATCTACCAGCTTTATGCTCATTCTCCCATTCCACCTTATATGTTGCAGCAGTTATAAGAACAGGAAGATTTAAACAAAAATCTGGCGAATAGGCTGAAGCGCCAGAATGTAGCTCCTGTGTTGTGTGTTGTGAATTGTTACATGCTTTACACCTTAATGTTGATTTGCCATCATTTACAAACTCAGATAAAGGAATCCATTCTCATAGTAAATATATAATAAATAATATTAATAAATCAGGCCAGATTTGAAATAAAAGTGAATTTTGAAGAGAATTTTGTTGTCATCTTAACTCACAGTTGATGAACCAGATGGTCGCCATAGTGATGGAGAAGAAGCGGTCGTTTTCCATGGGAACCTTCACCAGGATGGCGGTGAGGATGAAGAGGATGAGGATGAAGACCAGGCTGCCTGCTATCCGCATCTTCTCCGAAACCCTGACAGAGACAGACCCGGGTCAAGGTACTAAGAAAGTAAGCTGATACTGAAGACTTTAATACTTTTGATACAAATCAAGAAAGTTCAGTGGCTGTTCAGAGGCTTAGGCACAACGGTTTCTATAAAATGGAGACAAAATATAAAGTATATAAAATACACCAATATATTCAATTAATAATTTAGTATTAACCCTTCGAACCCAAGGATTGTTATTCAGTTATCAATGAATTATCAGTCTAAATTTAATCTTCACAAACTACTAGAAATCATTCAATGACTACTAGTTGGTAACAATATTTTTCCACTGCTTTTACTTGGTAATACCAATTATTCAGTAACATCATTTAGTAACATTACTTACTCAGTAACTACTATGAATTATTCAGTAACTACTATTGTTTGGTAACAATGATTATTCAGTAACTACAACAAATTATTCAATAATCACTACAACTTCTATTGTTCGGTAATACTAATTAATCAGTATCTACTAATTAATCATTATCTTCTATTATTTGCTAGCAGTAACTGTTCAGTAACTACTATTATTTGGTAATTTACCAATTAATAAGTAACTACTATTGGTAATACTAATTATTCAGTAAATACCATAAATTATTCAATATCTAATATTATTTTGTAGTACTAATTAATGAGTAAATACTACAAATTATTCAATAACCACTACAAATTATTCTGTAACTTCTACTGTTTGGGGATTCTAATTAATCAATATCTACTAATTAATCATTAATCTCTATTATTTGTTAGCACTAATTATTTAGTTACTACTACTATTTATTTAACTACAATATATTATTCAGTAACTACTCTTGGTAGTTATTTACTAACATGGAGTATTTAATCACTACTGTTATTTATTCAGTAACTACTTACTGTAATACAAATTGTTTAGCTACTGCGATCTATAAATTATTCAGTAACTACTATGAATTACCTGCACAATAGTTAGTTATGTTATGGAGGTGAGAAGTAAAATGTGTACCCACGAACAGGGTTTAATGAGTATTTTACCATGGCTTGAACAAGCTTGATGATGACTAAAGAAAGAACAGAGCAGCAGTCTACAGCTGGCAGAGTGTATGTGAGCAAAAGGCTGCTAGGGACACAAGGTACTGTTGTTGAGTCAGCAGGAAGGAAGGAAGCACAAAGGAAGAACACACTGAAGTATTCTAGTGACTGCAATGATTTCTGCCAACTTAGTCCTCCCATAACTACATCACTGACATTTATTTCCATAGAAGTCACTAAATATTTTATAGCAGTTACTGAATAAAAAGTCTCAATAACAGGAACTGAATCATAACCTCTTAGGATGAACCTGCTGAGAGGTTTTATAAGTGAAAACGGTTTGCAGAAGAAACAACAGTAATAGTTGTGGCTGCTATGACTTCATTAGAGCCTCTCACCGCTGGTAGAGGATGGAGTTGAGCAGGGTGAAGAGCAGCAGTGGAAGCTGGGATAGCAAAGTCATCCAGTTGTTGAAATAGTACTCTTTCTTAGCAGTGACTGTTCCATTACTGTTCTCAGGCGTGTTCAGTCTGTTGTTGAAATACTACCAAAAAACAGACATAATTAGGTTTATTAATTCCAGCAACAACGTTGATACACTTATACCAAGCAACGTCCGTGTCAGTGTCAGTGCTGCGCTGAGAATGGTCCTGTGGTGGTCCTGTAGTGGTCCTATGGTGGTCCCTTTCCACTAGATAAACTGTGGAGCAACCGAAGGGCTGAAGTCTATAATCTAAAAACAGAGGCACCTCTATGGTAGGCGTTTCTGATGAAATGGCCACTGAGTGTAAGTACTGGTTAAATATTAATAATCACCAGTAATTATTATAAGAGAGAAAGATGAGCAGTTTGAATGGGATTATAATGTGATAAAATGACAGGAAGTAACCACAAAATTCAACTTGTGCATCTTTACACTGAACTATAAAAAAACTGAATATCATTGATGCTAGTCTTTTCTTGTTAAAGTTTAGTCTTGCAAGCCAGACTTCGTCAGAGACTCTAGTGCATGTTGTTGCTTAAGGTGGCCAAGAACCGCCTACTTTAACAGAAAAAGGCTGTTTGGCTGACATGCAGACTAACCAACCACAGACCACTGTTTTAGCATGACATAGGAGTGAGCAATATTTCAAAACGGGGCTGCAACCAAAACAAACCCTCAGGAAACAAAGGTGTCTGAGAAACACTGGTAAAAATTATATTGCCCCACCTCCTCACGTGAAACTAATCCCCTCCGAACAGAGCTTAGGTCACAGGACAAACTAAAATGACCAAAGCTGCTGCTTTAAAAACGTACAAAACACACGTTTGACATACTTAGGCCCATTGTACAACAGTAAAATCCCACAACCGCTGCAGATAAGCCCTTGACTAAGGTGCAATCCGTTAAAATACATCACACGGTCAACTTTTGGGGCTGAAACACGGAGGGACTTGGCAGGGATTAAGTAAAATCCCCTAGTCAGAAAAATGCTTGACCTTAGGAGGCAACAATCTCACTAATCCATAAAAACTGCAGGTGTCAGTCGATAAGCAGATGACCTCCTCTGACCACATTCATACAGAAAAAAGCAGGAAGCGTTTCTCAAAAAACAAGCCATGATTTTCTGCATCATTTGTCATGCAAAACAGGGTTTCTAAGTGCAAGAGTACAAGCATTTCTTAATACATCTGGCAAACCATGAAAGCCTACATTGTGGGGTTGGACTTTGACGTTGTTGTTGTTGTTAGATTGAAAAAACGTTTTTTACCATGGAGGCAGTCATGAAGAAATTCCACGGCAGCAGTGTTCCCAGGCCAAGGATAAAGAAAATGATTCCCACCAAATAGCCACTATTGAAGGAGACAAAAGGGTTAAAAGCATTACAGGAGTTAACGTAGCACTCCTACCATTCCCCAACAATACAAAATGGTCAGGTTGGCGATTTACAGTCATATGCAAAAGTCTAAGCAAAATAATAATGAAAACATTCTGTACAGAGAACACACTTCTGCACATTCAGGTTATTTGATAATTTTAAAATACTGGAATCAAAAAAGTTCCAATATGTTATGGGTGCAAAAGTTATGGTACATTATATATTAAATGTTTTATTTTTTCCAATATGTTAAACTCAGCAATTCTCATTCTGCACTACATTCTGGAGAAAAATGCCATGTTTAAGTGTGTTCCCTGTAAAGGATGTGTTCATTTAATTTCACTCAGAAAGTCAACAAAACACAAATACTCAAACTTGTGCATATAACTGTATGAGGATTTTGCTTAACCTTTAAAAGTCAGCGATAACAAAAGCATGATGTTACTTTTTTATTTTTCATAGCTCACCGAAACAAATAGAGAAATTCTGTGGAAAGTGCAGGTTGCAAACTTTCAATCCATCCCACATTTGTGTTTTTAAGTAGGAGATATTTAATGATGATCTGAATCTGTTGACATTTTTATTGTTGTGTGGAAAGAAAAAACATAATTTAAACCTCAAACCTGTCGGAATATGAATGGAGCAGAATTCATAATAAAACTACATAATTCGTTATGAAATAATGTAAATACAGTAGCAAAATGACAACAGTACTCTAGACTTCAAAGGGAAAAATGCTAAAACGTCACATCCTACAGTACAAAATAAATGAACTAATTTGCACTGCAGCCCTGTGAACACAGACTGTCAACTGGGTTCAGCAGAAAAAACAAAATGAAACTCACCGGTCCGTTGGTGCTTCTTCTTTAGTCCTCATAATTTATGTGAATGTGGTCAGCTGCAGGCAGAAACAAAAAGACGATTAATGCTTAACGTCATATAAAGCAAAGACAAAAGGTTCTCAAACAGCTGTAAAGATTCCAATGTGCAGGAGTTAAAAGCTCAGGTAGCAAACAGGGTTTTCTCTTCTACTGTAAAACAATATCGTAAGCAAGTCTTGATACGTTACCTTGTAAAAAACAGTGCTGACAGAAACGTCAGCACTCTACTGCGCTATCCTGACTGCAAACACACATAGATTACACATGCTACACTCGAGAAGCCTAAACCCAGCCTCTTTATCCATGGATACCAAACACACACACATACCTTTGGTTTCAAGTGGAGAACTTGGCCTTGTACATAACTTACTATGCAAAAGTCTTAGGTAGCTGGGAGATCGCCTTTTTATCTGGGCGGCAAGTGTTTATTTACTAATAAATTGATAGATTAATATTTGATCATAATAAATACAAATGGCATTACCACAATAAGTAATGGTTTTAAATATCAGATGAAAAACACACATGTTGCTGAGCTAAATGGCTGCTTTCAGTGGAAAATCTGCATTCAAAATCCTCTGTAGCTCAGGACTAGACTTAATACCTGTAGAACTTTCTCAAGTTAACTTTAAATCTAACCCTAACCTTAACTTCAGTAACCAAAAATAAAGGACTTTGCTCTGTAAGTTTTCAAAAGAATGTCATTTCCTCTCTGATGCAGGTGTTTGTGCTGTTATACTGGCGTCAACAGCAGACGAAGACAGGATCTGTAGGCCACCATTCCTTCATAATAAGAGAGAAGAAAACATTCAGCCAGGTGTCTCAGTTGCTTCCACCATTCTGCTGCTCCTTTAATCACTACAAGAAGTCAAGTGTAGTAATGAAGCAATGTTTTTAGCAAAAGTTTCCCAATGCACTTCTGCAAAAAACACCCAATCTCAATATAGCCTGCCCACAAAAGGCACTAAAGCACTGCCAGCTAATGCCACAGTCGACACATGGCCATTAAAATGAGAAGTGTAACCACATGGCCTTGTTTTCTGTACTACTCTTTGGTCTTCATCTGCTTTTTGGTCAAGAAGAGTTTATAAGCAACCTCAATTTACAACCACTTTTATTGGTTTTAGCAAACTAAACAAGAACTGTTTGACATACAACTAGGGATGCACTGATATGGACAGTCTGGGTCATTGCCAATATCCCCTTTTTTTTTGGAGACTAAATCCTACTGGATTAGCACTATACTTATTCAAGGAGGGTTCCAAATGCAGTAAAATGAATAAAATGGAGACAGTTTAGCAAAGTTCTGCTCGTTCAGAATACAAGAAAGAAGGATTCACTGATATTGGAATTCGAGCTGATGCTAATATTTTTCATATAAACATCTTCCAATGTCGAGACATAAACCTTTAGACTAGATCACAAGAAAAAGGTTTGATTTTTGTTAATATTTTGAATGAAAAAAATCAAAAGGATCAGCAAAAAGCATAAAGAATGTTTTTACTGTTTTGCTCATGTTTACCAGGGGTGCCAATATTTGTGCAGGGCACCGTGGTAATAATAAATGCGCTCATCCAAAATCATAGTAGACTGTATTTAAAATATGTTTACATTTGTTGTTTTGATTGCTGTGGTTCCCATGATGCTTTGTGCATGCTTAGCCAGACTTTATTTGGTTAAAAAAAGGGTAATTAAAGGTTTGTTCAGTAGGCCTGTTAATGTTTACAGCTTATGCAAACTGTTAAGCAGGTTGGGTAGGTACTGGGTTTGGGGAGTGTACGTTACTGTCACCCAGCTTTGTTTCCTTAATAATAATGCCAGGCAAGATTCCGTGGCTGACCACAGGCATGCCAGAGGTTTAAAGAGCATATTTCCTTCTCTGAAACGAGAGCGATTTTTCTCTCTTATATTCTGGCTGCCAAGTCAAAATAAAGCTGTGTTTGGGGCACGAATTTTGAGTTGTCTAGGCTTCCTCTGTGTACCCCCACGCTATGATATAAAATAATCCACTTGCACAAAGAAGGGGAGTGTCAAATGAAAATAAGTAAAACAAACAAGACAGAAGTTTGAAAAATTATTAAAAGAGGCAGAGAAAGGGGGGGTCCCAAGTGGTGCAACCGTCTAAGTGTTGGCCCTGTCATCAGGAAATCACCAGTCCCTAGTGATGCTATAGCCATCCATAACCAGGAGTCCAAGAGAGCACAATTGGTCTCGCTCTCTCTGGGTGGGTAGGATGGCCCCTCCTCTCCCCCAGTCACTCAGCGCAATGCTAGCCAGCACAGGTGTCTGTTAGCTGATGTAACAAGACTGGCAGTTGGTGCTTTCGGCTGTCCTGTGATGTTGTCTAATGTCCAGCTGTTGCGTTACCGGCAGTTTGAAAATATTCACAGGTCTTGGAGGAAGCCTGTGCTAGCTTTTGCCCTTAGTGCTGGTGCTGGTGGTATCACGTGATCCGGTGAGTCCTAACTGGGTGGGGGGGGTTGGGGGCGGTGGAATTGGATACATCCAAACTAAAAGGAGAAAATTACAAAAAGAAAGAAAAAAAGATGCAAAGAAAATGGGACTCCTACCAACCATGCAAGACGTGGTAAACCACCAAAAGGATGTGTAGCTGTCCCTTAGTAAGAAAAGGAAACAGATAAAACAGCAACATTTGAAAGCTGCTTGTGGTGAGAGCTGTGGTGACTGACCACAGAGTCCAGACCTCAACTTCACTGAATGTGTGTAGGGTTACTTGGATCATGAGAAGCAAAAAAAGCAAGTCTCTTGAAAAGAATGGAAGCTGTAATAAAGGCAAAGCGTGGACACACTAAATACTGAAAAAAATGAGTATCATATTTAGCTGTTGAGGCTTTTGTGCGACTTTCTGTTAAATCTGTTTTCTCCTTGTACTTAATGGCAGTTTTGACTGAAATGAAATAAAGAGCAGTCAGCAGCACTGTGTATGTGCGCTGTGTCCTGATCAGTCCATCTGTACTGGTCCTTGACATAAATCAGGTCCTGAGAACATATCTAGGGTCAGCACTGCTGCTCCGAGGTTGTTTATAAATACTAGCGCTGTTTTGTTTTGATGCTAGTTTCTAGCTTGCTAAGTTGAATGAGACCCCTGAGACAGCAAATAAACAAACCGTATCCTCTGTCAGTGACGTGAAATGCCTGGCAATTATGATAAGGTTTAGTCATGTAATGACTAACATACGACTCCCGCAGACAAAGAATACGCCGTGGCCTGGGGCAAATTACTCACTATGCTTACAGCATAACTGCAGCTCCTAGCACTTCACCTGACAGCGACAACTGTGTAAATGTACACACGTATGGCATTCACACGCTTACCTCCAGCGATTGTTTGACATCTCAATGGAAGAGACACATTAGTGATTACAGTGATTATTCTTCTTAGAAACACCCACTTGTTCTATAGGCAGCAGCCTAACGAGACTGAGCAAACGGGGCTTTCGTGAGGAGCTTTGTTCTGGGAGGGCTCCCTTAACCATGACGTCAGAGTGAAGTCGCACGATCAGGTAACAGTGAAGTGTCGCGTACAGGACGCTCTCTCTTTGTGCCACTGTTACTCAACAGGTTTGAGTCATCACTGCATGCATACACGAGGAAATTCATATCAGGTGGTGTCAGAACAAAAGGGCATGGTTTGAGAAACAGTTTGTGGCTTTCGAAGCGTAACAACTTTAATTAAAACAGAAGTCTTAAGTCAGCCAGGTAAAACTGCTTATTTGAGCAGTATTTGTGCAGTAGTATACATTGAGAAAAAATGTACGTTAAAAAGACTATCATCTGTATTTATTAATAAAAAAATTAACAGTTGTCGTATTAAATGGTGATACTGCATAATAAACACCCAGCATACCAGCTAATAGTGGGAAGAGCCCTAATACAATTCTGTTGTGTAATACACTAAATGAGATATGATATATTGTACTATATTGTCCCTTATTAAAAACCCTTGAGCCAGATATTTACTGCAAATAATTATTCTATTATTATAATGTTCAAGTTGCTTTAGTGTTTAACAGGTCTTTTAACTTGTTTTCGTATATTGCATATGCCAAGTTCCTCGAACAAACAATTAGGCCAGAGTAGAGCCAGAGGCCCAGTCACACATGAAAGATGCCTAGAAACACAAAACACAACTCCAGGGCGACATACCTTAGCCAAAGTCAACCAAAGTCAACAGTATTTCCAAAAGCGTTTTTCACAGCTGAGTAAAAAGCTGCTTCAATACACCCACTGTACTGAAGACTGACGCTGGTTTAGGTTTGATTTGTCACACTCATGAAGAATGTCTTTGAACACTGAAGAGAAAAAAATAACATGTTTAAACAGAAACTCAATTCAGTGTTTAGGACTAATACTGATTATGCACAGAGCATCAATCAAAGCCAATTACCAACCTACTTTGTTAAGAAGATCAGTCAAAACTGGTATAAAACACATAAGGTTAATGATGTCAACTATGCCTTACATAAGTAATTCAGAGCAATTCAACTGAAAACCTTCACCTACGTCACAAGTCAGTGCGTACCCTTTATAGGCCTACTTGTCTGGTGGCTCTCGAGCCAAAATACTAAGAAAGTTCATATAGATTAGGCTTGTATAAGTTGGTTGACTGGCCACCTGTGATAGAGGGCCTTTTGTACAGCTCAAAGCATGGTAACGAAAGAGGAGGCGTCGCCTAACAACTTAATCCTTTATACAAGCTGCGAGTTTTCAGACAGGCCAAACACTGGCTTCCTAATTCCACATCTTTACAGAAAACCCACGGTATTCCCTAGAATTCTTCTACTTAGTAGGCCTGAACTGTTTTTCTTCCACCAAAATCCACAAAAGCTCTGCAGTCACTACCTCATTCATCCTGCTGCTCTGATTGTCCACCTCCTCCTTTTCTACAGGCTGAATCTATTGCTTTCACCATGAGCTTTCTATATTGTTATGCACAGAATGCTGGAATGCTTGTAAGCAAAGTGCTTCTTGGTTCAGAACAGGCGTTTCCACATCATATGCAAATAAGGGGCATGGGAAACTCTACATGGTCAAACAGCTTAGAATCAACAACTCCATTCTGAGAGTAATAAAAATAAACTGCCCAGGTTTTTATAACTTGTAAGGGCTGAGTAATATATATCATCCCTGTCATATCAAATCCTTATTTTAACATCACTTGTTACATTTATCTTGTTACATTAATGTTCAGTATGGTGACAAAGTCAGAGACCAGCTTTAGTTTATTTAATTTCCAGTTATATTACAATTATTATTCATTCTTCAGGAGATATTTCTGAGGAGATAAGATATAAAATAATCCACTTGCATAAGGAAGATGAAAGTCAAAAATAAATAAGTGAAAAAACAGATTTTCCAAAAGAGGCAAGACCCTGGTAGACCACCAAAATTTTCCCCATCAGATAAACAGTACTTAAAGCTTTCATCTCTGAGAGAGAGGAGAAAATCAAACTCCACTTTTGATTCAGATCTGAAAAACATCCACAGGTGTTTCTGTCCAGAACATTTACAAATCAAACAAATCTGCTGGTGTTTTCAGAACGACAGACTGACCACCCCAGAATCCAGACCTCAGCATCACTTAATTTGTTAGGGATTACTTGGATTGTGAGAAACAGAAAATGCAACCAACTTCTACAACTGAACTTTGGAAATGTGGAAAAATATCCATGCAGATTTTTTTTTTAACTGAAAGCAAGTCACCCAAAATGAATGAAAGTTGTAATAAAGGCAAAGTGTGGATACACAAAATTAAAAGAAAAATATATTTAGTTCTTGAGGCTTAATTTTCTGTTAAATATGTGAAAAAAGGCTATTTTGAATGGAAATTAAATACATGAAGAGTGGTGTATGGCTTTTGCACAGCACTGTACATTATACATTTTTTCTCTCTTATAGAGATGCCACATTTTGTTACAACAGCAACAATGTGTGTGTGTGTGTGTGTATTTTCCCTTAATACAAATCAACTACAGCATCTTTTACCAGAGTCTAGAGATATGCTACATAAGTCAAGATAAAAAATAAAAAATACTTTGTAGAACTACTGCAGCACTGTAATCATATGTAGATCCTAATCCAACTGCAGTAAACATTCACTCTCTCTCACTCTCTCTCACACGCATGCACGCACACACACGCGCATGCGCACACACACATACACACACTAGCACATTTTTATCCACCCCCTCTCCTACAAATCTCCCACATAAAATCTTCCACTGCATTCGTGGAACGTGTCCTGAACACCTCTTTGGAGATGTATGGTAATGTGCAAGACAGTGACTGTGGCCAGAAATGTGTTGGTCTATGTAAAGACCAACAGTACTGACCTTGCTAAAACAGGACCACACATTACACCAGTGTGTCTGTATGTGTGGGGGTGGGAGAGGCTGCAATTTCAAATAAGTGTGTGAAAAGTAGAGCAAACATCACACCCCATAGCGAAACTGCGGCATGTACAAATGTGGACGTCCAGTGTTATAATTTGGCCTTACAGGAAACTATGAACGCCTTTAGTATAAACCAGTAAACATTATACACTGCCAGTTTATTATGTATACCTACAACACTGTGCAAAAGTCAGAGACTGCATTTCATTTATTTCAACTCAAAACAGCCATGAAGTTCAAGCTATTCCATCCATCAAGGGAAAGAAACCACCACAGGGCCCCGCTGACCAGCTAGTGGACCATTCTCAGCAGAGCAATGTTATCAACATGATAGTATAACATAGCATGTGTGGCGCTGGCATGAGTGTATCAGGCATGGTGACACTGCTGCATAACAACAGTCAGTAACTATAAACCTATGAAGTGCATCTAATATGGGATGTGTTTCCAATAAATGGCCAACGACTGTAGGAACAAAGTAAGTGAACCTAATAAACTTGCAACATGCCTGACTCATCTCATGGAGCTTAATTATTAGCTAGCTTTTTAATTAATCTTGTGTATTGGAGTGGAAAACACAATGTGTAAGATCTCTAGGACTAGAAGGGCTGGTCTAAGGCCGCTCTAGTACATATCGCACATTCTGACGGGTGCATTATGTCCAAAAGTGTCGAGACACTTCCTCATAATGAGTGACTTCAGCTATTTTAAGTTGCACCCATTGCGGACATACACATCTTATATAATCTCAATAGAAAAGCATTGACCTTAACCATTGATGGGATGCTGTGGAGCAGCCACACGTGAGCATACGCTCATCATACCCTGCCGAGAGATAAAGCTCCAGCCAAAACCTTTGGGATGAGTTGGAGTGACCCAGAACTAATCAATCATCCAACATCAGTGCCTGACCTCACTAATGCTCTTGTGCCTGCGGGGGGAACATTTGGATGTATAGTGTAGCACCAGCTACTCATTTGGTTATACATTTCATTTTGTCTCTCTAATGTATTAACAAGGTGTTAAAGACCTTTATATCACACAGCTCTGACAACTTAAGGTAATATCCCACAATATATGATTAGCACCAAATCGGCAGCTGGTTGGTTGCTAGTCACCTCAACGACTGACCCATTTGCCACTATGGGCCTCATTCCAAAATCGCCCTGACAGCAATGGCTAATCTACAGCCATTATCCTGTACTACACACAGCAATGGGTAATCATCCATTATCAGTAGCTTCAGGCCACCAGCGGGCTAATTTTATCCTCTATTAGGCTGGAACCACACACAGTAGCAGAAAGACAGACAGACAGACAGGCAGGTGTTCTCTCAGTCTAATCATTATTCTAGGTCATTCAGCGTATCCTCAATATCCAGATTTGGACGGCATCTGGTCTTCCAGATTAGTTCACAGATTACTGCCTGACAAAAAACAGCAACAAAGGCTGTATTCAAAATATTTAAGATCATTCCTAAAAGAATTCTTCCATTTTTTTTAATTTTGATAGTAAGCACACAAACAACATTATCTGCATATCAATACCACAGAAGGATTGGGGGGGGTCTTACATACATACATACATGCACACACATACATATACATCATACATTTATACACATTCAACAAAAGCAAGATGTCTTTGATTACAGATTCTTTATTAATTAATGGCCTCAGTCAAAAAGCGAATCGTTGCTGCCTTGGCATTGTGGAATCCGGCAGTTGCCCATTCTAGAATAAGAATATCCAGAAAATATCCACTGAGATAACTGAGATAAAGAAAGGTTAGGTTCAAACCAGGAATTCTAACATTTCATACCCCAGTATAGGATACAGTAAACTGTTAGACTGTACTAATATACTGTAGGCCTCACAGTACATACAGAAACAGTATTCATGATCTATATATTTTTCTTACTAATTCATGCCTCAGTGTCACTTTTTTGCACTACAGGTAATCAAATATTCCAAAAGAAGAGGAATGATGAAGTCCAGTCTGTCCCTCCTCATCCTGCCATCTGGTTAGTGACCTACTACCAAAACCTACTGCAGATATCCTGTCATCTGGCTAAAAATAATGACTATGGAAGAAAGTTCCTTTTAGCTACGTGCTGTAAAAGTTAAGGCCAACTTTCTTCCCTCCCCAAAAAGTAGTACACAAAGTTATACTTTAATTATCTCAATTTTTACAAACACCTTAGTCCAAAAACCCATGACTGAAGCAACTACTGGTCTAAAAGACTTTTATACAAAACCCTAACTAATTTGCTCCAGCATCTAAAGTAGAGTTGAAGGCCTCTAAGCTCTTTCATTAGCTTCATATTATGGATTATATGTTAAGCCACTTTGAGGGCAGTCTCATAGAGTAACGAGTAGAAATGAAATCAATCAATCAATCAATCAATCAATAAAGCCTTCTTTGTCTGGTTAAAAACAAAAAAAAACTTTTCTGTATATATATATATATATATATATATATATATATATATATATATATATATATATATATATATATTCATGTATACACACACACACGTATATATATATATATATATATATATATATATATATATATATATATATATACGTCGTTTCATTTACAAACCAAAACGTCAGTAAGATAGTTTTAGGAAGAAAAAGGCGGGGTGGCAGTTGGGCTAACGTTAACTAGCTGTGCCCATGTGTTCCCCCTGTGTTCAGATCTAAAGTAATCTCTCCCCAGGCCTGAATAAGAAATCCCAGCGAATAATAATAAATCAATGGCTGATTGTGAATCATCTCTATGAAGTGTCCTAAGTATCCTGACAGCTTGTAGGCCAGTTTAGTGTGTCCTCTATCTTCCCTCCCTGCCTCCCTCCCTCCCTGCCTCTCTTAGGGACAATGAAGGACACGAGGACAAAGATCACCACGGTAGACCTCAATTAGCAATACAACTGTCAAAATCACGATCACTAATAATGGAAACTGTAATTCAGCGGCTGTGTCAGTGATAATGAAAGAGCTGAGAGCGGAAGAGGCTCAAACAGTCCGCTCACATACAGTTAGATCAGGTTACATCCAGCAACACTACGACCATTACAGCCTCGGCTCGGCCCGCAGTGTGGATGAAAGCAGCTCTGTGCTCACCTCTCAAGGTCACTTCTTCATTCCTGCGTTCAGCTTTTCACGATCAGCCACCGAATCGCCGATCCGCTCACACCACGATGAGAGCAGCGCGGAGCCAAAGGGGGCTTTGCCACCCCTTTTTCCGGTAGCCCGGCCCTCGGCACCGTGATTGGCTGAAAAAAAGAGGCGTGGAGGATGGGAAAAGAAGGCATGGGAGCGAAAAGGGGATATAAATATGTAATAAATATTAATATAACATATTTAAAAAGAGGACGAATAGAAAAACACAAAATATTACGCACAGAGAAGCTGTACCAAAAATAAATAAATTAAAAATGTGTACATTTACAGCACCTCAGAAAATGCGCCAGAGACAGTCTTCTTCTTCAGGTGTGAGGTGAAGCGGCGCGTGACCGCGCACCGCGCCACCTACAGGGGAAAAACAACGACTACGACGATGCTGATGTTGATTTTGACTCATACAAACGTTTATCAGCTGCTCTTAGTGACGACTGGAGAACCTGAGAACTGAACAGAACAACACCGGAGACTGTTTTCAGTTTTTGCCTAAAAATGCTGAAAGAACAGTTTTAGAGGGGATTTAGACGAATTCACAATGTTTGCACGTTTGCAGTTAGCCCACTCTGGGCTGTAATTTGAGGGGGGGGGGCACACTGGACAATAATGCTGAGTGATGCAGTCCAAAAAAGAGTCCAGTGTTGTCGTGATAACAGTTTGTCGCACACCAGCACTTTGTGAAGCAAACTTTGTTGTTTCTTTGTTTGCGGACTGTGAAAACGACTGAGGTTTATATTTACAGCTGTGAGGCTGCAGGAAAGACCAGTGAGTCTGGAGGATTAACTTCTTCTTGTCAATAGTCCAGAAACATAAGATTTTTGGAGGAACATCTTTTTAGCTTCTTCTCACGTTTTGGGTTTTCCAGATGTAAAGCATTTAGAAAGTGAAATAAAAGGGAAAGAGCTTTAGGTAGGCAGGTATTGTCTTCCATGTCAGTGTTTCCTTCAAGGCTGATCACAGTGCTGGATGGTTTAATCTGCAGGTTACTGGGGTCTGGATTTTGGGCCGATCTCGCTGATCACAGAGAAAGTCTCATATGAATCCTGCATTCAGAAACACAAACACACAATAGCATAAAAAATCATGATCTTACAAAGCCAAACTATCAGTTTTTATAAAAGGCTATTTACTCACGCAAAAGAATAATGAACTTCACACTGACATCTATTATGGTTATTCTGATCAAAATAATATCAAAAGTAGCCTGAGCCCCTAACTCTGTTCTGAACGTAAGTAATGAGCATATATACAATCACTGGTCCTACTGCCCAACACCTGTTTGCTCTAGAGAAATAAATAGATATTACTAAGTTTTCATTGTTTTATGTGATACTTAATTCTACTTTTCTTTGAAATGTTCCTGTTTCTTAAAAGGGAGTTTTACTGATTTTTAATCATTTCTACAAAATTCAACTGATAAAATGTAAACAACATCATTCAAAGTGATTTAGTGTGAAATGCGCTGCACTAGAGAAATTTACCCAGTCAGAATAGTTCACAGTGGTGGTGATAGGAACCAGACGTCTGAAGACTTTAATGCCTCTGAAAGCCCCAACACAGAAAGTTATTACAGAAAATGGTTGAGTTTGCTACTCAATATCTTAGACATTGTTTAACATAGTTTTTAGCTAGGATTTTGGCATAAAACATAATTTTTAAAGCACAAGCATGGTAGAGGGATACAGAAGAGCAATGTGTAGCAGGAGCCTACAGCGCTCTGCGCTGCACTGATGTCCATCTAAAAGTAAATATTACAATGAGCTTGTGGCAAATAGTGATAGACTCTAAGGTAAAGAGTGAAATGGTAAATCAAAAGCCATCAAACAAACTATTTACACCGGAAACAAACAGCATGTGAACTGATAAGTGTTTAAGCTACACATATCCAACAGTTTGACTTGATGTTTTCCCACAGTTTATTTTAGTCAAAGTGAGATATTTATTTAGAGTATAAGTGCAGCTCTGTGCTCACCTCTGAAGATCACTTCTTCATTCCTGCTTTATCTTTTTCAGCATCAGCTCCAAAAACCCTGATCTACTCAAACCTCGATGTGAAAAAGGATTCATTTCAGAGCTCTTGTGCTGGTCACACCCTCCTGCGATGGGACTGGCTGCAACAGAAAAAGCGTGGGGCGAAACAGAGACGACAGAAAGTAGTGGGGCAAACTTCAGAAACTAGGAGGAACTGGAAATGAATAAAATAAATAAAACGTGAACGATAGAGAGAGAAAACACAAGAATCGATGAATCGTTTTGTGAGTGTGAGCCATATGATGTAAAGAATTATCCAGTCAAAGCGCGGATGGGCTCTTGCCATGAGCAGAGGAGATCAAGTGGACAGTCCTCACTTTAAGCTTAAGTTAAAGAAAAGAAAAATCTGACAGCTGCACACAGAGAAAACCCCATTTTTCATTAATAAGAACCACATTTTTACATCACCTACAAACCTTGTGTTTAGTCAGCTGAAAAAAGGAAACAGTATTACACGTTCACCCAGAAAGTAGAAGCATTACTGCTACAGAGAAGCTCATTGGCTGTTCGCGCTCACTGACGTCATGGACATACATGAGGCACTGTTTTAAATTGCTATCTCGAGTTTAAAAGCTCTTAAAAATATAACAGCAGTGTTAAAATGTTTTATGCTGTTATGTTCAGGAAATGATTGTATTCTTTCACATTAAAAATGTTGAAGCGTTTATAAACTGTGATTTTGCTCAAATGCTCCATATCAACCCATTCATTTTAGACTCACTTGGGAGCGCCCTCTAGCGTCTCAGAAAACCGGAACACATTGCAGAGTGGTTATAGTGGTCATGGAGCATATATACAATCATTGGTCCTACTGCCCAAAACCTATTTGGTGTAGAGAAAAGAGGAGACTACATTCCCAAAATGAAGGGATGCTCCTTTTCCTGTTTCTTAAAGTTATATTTCACTGATTTTTAATAATTTCTACACAGTTAAATTGTTAAAATGTAAACAATTCCTTAAATAAATTAATTCAAAGTGATTTAGTGTGAGATACGCTGTACTAGAAAAACTTACCCAGTCAGAATAGTTCACAGTGGTGAACACAGAAAGTTATTACAGAAAATGGTCATAGATATGCTACTCAATATGTAGGACACTGTTTTACGATAGTTTTGAGATAGCACAAGCATTGTGGAGGGCACAGTAGGGCAGAATAGTTTCTATAGAAAGCAAATATAACTATGTAATAATAAGAGAATGTGTCGCAGTACAGCATGTTGCATTGATGTCCATCTAAACATGAATGTAACTGACCTGCTACTCCCGCTAGTCCAGCAAACACTGAAAGGGACAAAACAAAACAGATACAGATGTTCAACTGTTCAATCAGTTATCAATGTGAGAGGCTGGCAATAAACACACAGAAATTACCCAAAGGTAACGAGAAAAATGGTAAATCAAATGACATCAGACAGGCCATTTACCTCAAAAACAAGACAGCATTTGAACTGATAAGCGTTTAAGGTATGTATGAGCATAAATGCAGCTCTGTGCTCACCTCTGACGTTCATTCCTGCTTTATCCTTTTCAGTATCAGCCCCAAAAATAATCTTATCTACTCACACCTCGATGTGAAAAAAGGGAAATGCAGAGCCTCAGGCGCCCTCCTTCTTATCCCGGCGTCCTGCGCTGATCCCACCCTGCTGCGATAAAGATTTTCATTTACTAGAAGTAGCTTCACATGAAATTACCATTTAATACGTGCAATACAGCCCTGATCCACAGACACTTAAACTCAATTTCAGATTTCAGTTGTCAGTCTATTGAATTAAACTGAGCACAGGCCTCTGTAAGGTAAATATATAAACATGTGGCAACTGCACAAAAAACAAAATCCCAGTCATTAATCAGTCAAAACCATTTGTTTTTACCTCACCTCCCAACCTTGTGTTTAGTCAGCTAAAAATGAATATAGCATAAAATAAAGTTTTCAGTAGCGCATGGTCCATGTTCACCAAAATATGCAATGATTCTTTCTTTTGACAGCAAAAAGAGTTCAACTACATTTTTTAATAATTTGTTGAAGCCCATGTGCAACCTAAGTATCCTAAAATAAACACAATCGACTACTCTAGTAGTCCAACTGAGAACTGGCAGGTTTGTATTTGTCCAGTAGTAAGTAAAGGGCGATTCACTTTCATATGTATCTGCCGCCCTCTGGTGGACAAAGCGGGGAAACGCACCGCGCTCACTTGTATACTCGTCCCTCTCGAGATTAATAAGATCTGTTAGAGCAGGAAAACAAACTACAGGAGGTATGCAGGCTAATACTGAAATTTAAAGGGAAACTCCACCAATTTTTCAAAATGTCTGCATAATTGAGCAGTTAAGATGTAAAGTAATTCAAAATGATTCAATGTGAAATGCTTCGTTCTAAACCTAGGGAGTCAGAACTGTTTACAGTGGTGGTGATAGGAACCAGACGTCTGAAGAGTTTAATGGCTCTAAAAGCTCCCTCACTTAAAGTTATTACACGAAAACAGTTATGAATCCATTGTGCCTCAAACATTGCTTTACAATACTTTTGAGATAGGACTTTGGCTTAAAACATATTTTTAAAGACATTTATGGAGGACAGGAACATGCAGGATGTTACAAGGCAAAATAGTCCACCCCAAAAACTTTTTTTTCCAGATTTTCCACTATTTTACCATCACCAGAAGGTGGTGGCTTAGAATAGTAAACAAAACGGTCATATTTGTATTGTAAGCTGTAAGAAATTTGAGTCTGTAATTTCTTCTACAAAGAACCTTTTCACACCAAACCACTCTGAATGATCTGTTTACATCTCAGAGATTAAATTATGTGATTTTTTTTAAAACTCACTGACCTCTTCACATCCAACAACTAAATTTATAATGATAAGGAAGAATGCTACGGAACTCCTTCTCTTTGGTCTAAAGTGGTAAAGTGTTGTGTAACTGTGCCTACCTTGGATGAACATCTAAAATCGAGACTTTTTTACTTCATTAAATCAGAGATTTCACCAGATATGAATTTAATATGATAAATAAATTTAATATGATAAATCACTTTTTGGCCTTTTTTTTAAGTTTGTGCTTTGACAAGCTCAGAGAACACATAGACCAAAGAAAATGTAAAGATTTACGTTTGATTTTATGAGGGTGGGGGTAATAACACAAAAATAAACAAGGCTGTGCTTAACCCATTCATGTCCAACAGATAAATGCAATATTATTAGGAAGCAATGCCACAAAGCCTGTTCTGACAGGTGTACAATGATAAACTTTTCTATACTTATACCTTGGAAGCACATCTAACAGTGCTGAATACACGTAATTGTTACATGTTTCTTCACAATAAAATTTGAATCTCTGTGACCAAAAGACTGAATTTAATACGACAAAAAAACACTTTTTATCTAAAAATGTAACGGTTCTTTAGGCAAGCTCAGAGAACATACGGACCAAATGACCTTTAAAAATTCACATATGGACATTAATGGGTTAATAAAGGACTCACGCTGCTTCGTGGGGAAAAATAAGCCCTCAAGCAACATGAATCTTGCATTGTTATGGCTGCCAGTTTCAGCAGGTATCAGCAGTGCTGAGATACTTTACATGTTGAAACAGAGCTCAGGAGTTTCTGTGCTGATATTTACTGAGCTCCTTCAAAGAGATCACTGTGAAGCAGGCTGTGATAAAAACCTACACTCTTAAAAAGATGGTTCTTCAAGGGTTCTTTATTGAAGAAAATAGTTCTATATAGAACCATTAACACTGAAAGAACCCTTTGCATGATTAAAGGGTTCTTGGCATCGTGAATAGGTTTTTCAGATTGATGGAGAAGCTGCTGTGGATGGTTCTATACAGTTACATTGTTCTAGTGACATCATAACAATAGCATAACCCTTTTTGATGCTATAGAACTCTCTTAAAAAAGATTTATATAGAACAATCTACAGCACATTCTCCATCAGTCTGAAGAACCCTTTCTCAAAGCAAGGAACCCTTTGATCATGCAAAGGGTTCTTTGAGTGTTCATGGTTCTATACAGAAATATGTTTTTTACTAAAGAACCCTTGAAGTACCATCTTTTTTAAATGCAGTGTTACTTTTTTTAAGTATAGTGGTTTTGCCTGCATCGCACAAGTTACTTTATTTTATTTATGTTTTTTTTTTTGTATATCTAATCTGCCATATTGTTTTTCATAACATACAAGTGGTCACTTGCTTATGTCATTCACTTTTTTTTGTTTTGTGTCTACTTGTAAATTTGTGCTTCTTTGTAAATTCAGTCTTCATTCTTTAAATGTTTTATTCATTTTTTTTATTTTTTCCTTGGCAGTTAAAACAGTGTTTTACAAAAGTCCAATTTGAATGCAGTAAATTAAATTATTTCATTTTTTGATAATTTACATTTTATGAATATCAACAGCTTTGGTGTTTTGAAAAAGAAAACAGATGGCGATTCTTTTTTACATTTATTTTTATTAAGCATCTTATTAAATTCACATTGTAAGGGGTTTCAGTACTTTCATTTTTAGCATCTGACATCATCATCAACATGGATGCTTAAAAAAGAAAATAGTGTGTTTTAAAACACAGGAAAGGCAAACATGCCACAAACCAAAACCTCCCCATGAGCACTACCTTATCACAGACAAAGCATGTTAATGGACTGTTACTGGACTGTTAAATGTGACCACAATCTCTTTGGAGATAAGAAACCAAAAGGTTTCAGATCTTTTTAGATTGACTAAGTTTGTCCCTCGGCATATGCCTGATTCTCTCCAGGTGAAGTGTATTTGTTAGCTTTGCAAGCCACTGTCTCATTGAAGGCCTTTCCAGAATTTGAGAATAAGTTTCTTAGCAATAAATAAGCCAAAGGAAATGAGTTGCTGCTGAGCTGACCTACGTCTTAACAGAGTTTCAGATACTTCTACTAAAGTAGAGACTTGAGTTTGGCCAGCAAAGGGTAGAATTTAGCTTGGAACATGGGAGAATACTTTGTTAGCTCAATTTCCTGGTAGGGGTTTGAAATAAACATCAGCATACAAAGAAGTTTTGTCAATTGTGTCCTTAGTATTGTATTCAAAATCCTTGGGGGAGCTCAGACAGATTCAGCAAGACGCTCAATGGCCAATGCGAATAATAGAGGGAACAAACAGAACAGCCTTGTTTTGTACCTCTGTACCACCACCACGTCAGTGTTACTGCAGTGCTGAGAATGATACCCCATTCAAATAGTACCTGCTCTGTGAGGGTCCATGGGGGTCCTGACCACTGAAGAACAGGGTAAAAGGGGGCAAACAAAGTATGTAGAGAAACAGATGGACTACAGTCTGTGATTGTAGAACTACAAAGTAAGTGGAGCTGATAAAATGGACAATGAGTGTAGAAACAAGGAGGTGGTCATAATGTTATGCCTGATCAGTGTAAGGTATAAATTTAGCATCAATTAGAAAGTCATCAATTCTTGTGTAGACATTATGGACTTTTGAATGGAAGGAATATTCTCTGCCAGTAGGATTAAGGCTTTACATTAAACATGCACGAATTATTCATAAATGTCCCCAAAAATTCACTGGAGTTAGAAAAGGCAGTTTTTATAATTGAGGATTTATCCAGGTATTAGTCTAGGGCACAACTGAAGTCACCCCATTTATCAGATTAGAATTTGAAATATCAGGTATTGTATTTGAAACCTTTTAGTCAAGACTGTCATAACTTGGCCCAGACATTCAGTAATGTCATGGGTAAAGAGAGGTCTGCTTTGCCTGTCCACAACTGATGAGTGATATTTAAATGGAACTCCTTTGTGAATGAGAACGGCAGTAGGCTACCTCCAGCTTTGGCAGAGAAAGTGGAATAATATGTCTGTCCCAACCAATTATACACTGTAATCTAACATAAAATTCTTTCTTAAGATGTGTTTCTTGTAGAAAAATTATATCTGATGATAAAGATTTAATTGAGCAAGAATCCCCCCTCCTAACTGGCCCCCCTCTCACATTCTAACAATCACCCCCTTCCTACTGGATCATCAGATGCCATTTCTATTTTCCATTCTAATTTTATCTGCTCATCTCCGTTCAACTCATTAACGTTTACTTATCATTTTTTTTTGTTTGATTTCTTTCTGATATGTTGATTAAAGCAGTAAGGTTGCTTCTTTTCACTTTGGAACTTCTTTTTTATTTTAGATGAAGAGTGCATCAAAAAGATCAGCAGAGCCTAACAAAATTCAGCTCTTTGGTGGCGTATACCGGGGGTGTCAAACCCAACCACTAAAAGGGCCAGTTTAGGAAATCTCAGCAGATCCGTGGGCCAGCTGTACAACAAAAGACGTGTTTTTATTTCATTTTTACTTAAACTTTTGCCATGACCCAAACTAGGCCATTGCTCATTCAAAATATGCCAGCGCAAAATTGGTATTGAATAGTTAAAATAATAGTAAAAATAATTCTAAATAAAAATATTTTTTTTAAAAACTGCCTAGACATTACGATGCAGTTCTGGTGCTCTTGTACTTCGATTTATCCAAGTTATTATTGGTAAGGTGCTTTTATTTCTTATTGAGCCATTATTTCATTGAAGTATCAATACTTTTACTGGTATATAGTATATATAGGCTATGTGGTTGTTTATGATAATGGGTATCAGATTAACCCTGTCATACTAAGATGCATTTATTCACTTAACAAAGTCTTTTTACTTATTTCTTTGTGGTTTCATGTGGTTCAATTAGCTCTTTAACAGGACAGCGGTAGATACGCACTCAGCTGCAGCCCACGCGCACAATCTCAATTCAAATTCAAATTCCAACGGAAATTTAACGGTCGAGTCCGACCCACTGCCGTTTATTCTGCTAAAGCCGGGGCGAATGATGTTCAATTTTTCTTGCTGAGTTTTTCTTAGAATTATTATCTTGAGGCTTATCAACAGACTTGTAATAATGTGTCCTTAATCAGGTCATTTTGACAGTCAACTTTAGCGCATGTTCATGTATTGACCTACTTTACGTCTTCCTTATCAGTTTAAGTAGCTGAACCCGCTGGCCAGCTAGCCCAGCACAGTTCCTAACGAGATAATGTACGTAAAGTATGGTTACTTTTCTGTTACGTGTTGTCGGTGAGGTCCAATAGCAAACTCTGCGAGTGGTTAGTTTGCTGTTAAACTCTGTTGGCATTGTTACAGCTAGCTAATTAGCTAACATAGCATGTTAGCTTCAACCTGTGTTGAGTGATGCGAGTTAACGGTAACGGTAGCTAGCTCGCTAGGTAAGTCAGTATGTCGCTTAGCTGGCATGTAGCCTGCATGTTATGCTATACTCCCCTATATCAGTTTTCAGTTATGTCTCTGCTGAAGAAGAAACATTGGGATTAAAACCTAATGGTTTTGCTTTCTAATTGGAAATTGCTTAATGGTTTCCAACTCAGACCGCTGTTTTTTTTTTAATGTAGAATACCTGCTGATCCTACTGGGGAACCAAATACCTTTAGACTCAGCCATAGGTCACCTGTTAAATCATCTGGATCCTTTACAAAAGCCAAAACGGATTACAAAACCAAACAAAACAATTATTTTTATGGCGTTTTTCAGCAGGGCTTTTGACGCTTTGCCAGTGCCAGTGTTTCCCCAAAACGGCAGCACAGAGCCATGGGTATTGTAGTTAGCTAGTTCAGCTGTATTTTAAATTTCAGTAGGCCTCAGCAAAATATTCTGCTGTGTTCGTAGCTGTTGTGATTGTATGACTGCTTCACAAAAGTTTCACCTTTGGGAGATTTAGATCTATTATCAAAGATTTCCTTATAGGAAAATGAGTGGCGATTCAAAATGTTTCAAACGCGACCAGCAGATGGCGCCCTCCGCACTTTCTTTTTCCATGTCTAATGCTCTCTTACAGGGGGTGCTCCGAGATGCTTTGGGCGTGTATAGCGGTTATATGGAGCTGGTCTGTATTTTTTGCAAGTGAGTCACATTAGGCTGAGAGCCACGAACCCAACAAACTGTACCACAATAATGAGTTGATACTCTGTCTGTAAATCGCATATAGTAATTAAGTGCAAACCTCTTCAGCATGTATGCAGATCACTGACCTCGACTGCTTTTCTGTTTGTCTGTTGACATAAAGGAGAAGTGGAGAGGCCAGGCGGGCGAGGGAATGTTAAAAACATCAGTAAAACTGCCCCAGATGTTTAGGGCAGAAAAGGACCTCCAGCGGCACGTCGTGGTTGGAAAGGGTACTGCAGCCAGCAGAAGACCTTAAATGAGTTGACTGGAAGACACATGCAGCAGTGAGAGACCACAGCAGCGCAGCAACAGGCAGTCAGCAGTGAGTTAGCGAATACAGAGCAGCGCGAGTGAGTGAGTGAAAACGACGGAAACGCGTCGATTGGGTGTGAAATTTGAAGTTTTTTCTTCCACATTCAACAGGCGCTGTGCAGATGTCACTTGTGGCTTAGGGTGTCCGTTTTGGCGTGGTAGAGCAGAGCCAAGACCAGCCTGCACTGCCAAACAGACTCAAAGAGGCTTGAATTTCTGCTTTGCTGCTGTTTTCACTCGTCAGCCCCTGATATCCGACTTTGGTGTGCTCGTGTATTCACTGGACGAGATCCCTGCATTGCGCCTGACTGAGCTAGCCAAACTTTCAAGGTAAGGCACAGAGGCTTGTGAGTAAGTATTCGCTGAGGAGATGTCATGCGTTTGCTATGTGTATGTGTGGTTGCTGTGTAATGCTGCCTCGTCAAAAAGACGCAGTGTAAGGTTGGGTGGCAAACGCAGGCTTATGGCACAGCATTCCTTTACGCGTTGTTGTTTGTTTATTTGCTTCCTTTACGACGTAGCCTTTGAACGATGTGGATAGTGCGCGCACAGTACAAAGCTAAACGCACACACATCGTGTCTGTGCCAAGTACTAATATACGCGCAAAAGAGAGAGAGTGAGTGTGTCTCTCTCACACGTGCACACTCAGATATATGCATTTTCACACTGATGAGTCTTCACGCCCATCACGCTTAAGTTTGGTTAGTGAGATTTATAGCTCATCACCATGCTGTGCGTGTGCTGGTTTGCGTCATTGAACCCAGTGCAAAGCCTTAAGTGTAGCCAGACGCAGCGCAGATACTGGCTGAGCATCTGCCACAGCTTGTGCATGAGCTTACAGTCCATAAAAATCCAGAGGTGAGGCTGAACCATCTGTTGCACCAAACCTGCAGCAGATGATCTCCATCCTTTACCTCTTCAGCACTGGACAGTTTAGTCATTTATGATTCTGAAAGGCAGTATAGTACATAATAGCCCAAAGCACCTGCGTGTGTTCTGGGCTCAGTCCGAGGGGAGATGCCAAAAGATGCCCCCTCAATCCCCCGTTCAGTGCCTTCTGCATTAATGTCATTGGTTAACATGTCTGTTGTCAGTACTTCGTAGTATATCCTGAAGTGCTACAATTTCTCATTATGTTGAGTGGTATTTTTGCCAGCCTTCACTAAATTTTGTTAATAATGGTAACAGTTTAAATGAAAGAACACAGTTGTAGCTGGAGCATGGGTAGGTCAAGATTCAAGAGCTTTATTGTCTTATGCACAGTAATACAGACTGTAACACTGTGCAGTGAAATTCTTTCCTTGCTAATCCTTGTTTCACAAAAAAGAAAGGTAAGACATGATGAGTAAGTAAAGTTAGTAATAAAAGTTACTTGTGCAGTACTGTGCAAAGAGTCTGAAAGTTGCATGTGCAGTATTATGCAAAGAGCAGAGAACAGCAGTCGTAAAGTGACAGAGGGCAGCAGACATAAAATGCATTTTATGTGCATTATTTTAAATAACAGTGTAATGACAGCAGCCAATTCCATCCATATCTAAAATTTACACACAATTTTGTTCTGGATATGTGAAAAGTACCAGAGCCCACAAAAACAACACAAAAGCAGTGTATGTTTTTTAGAGGTTTTTTAGAGTTTATGTTCATAGTCGAAAATCCAGTAACACTTTATTAAAATAAAACACTCTAAGATGAGAATTGCAAAGTTTTCTTGCAGTAAGGGTAGCTACTATTTATAACTGGCTCTGTTGAACCCGTTTCACACAACTTGACCATTGCATATGTTCCTCTTTACTTGCTTTCTGTGCAGTGCACATTATGAACAGTCTAGACTGCAAGATATGGATCAAAACAGTGTAGAGTTTCAGTGCTAAGGTGCTGGCCGACTGTGTCTCGTTGGAGACAGGCGGGGGGGTCAGGGAAGGCTCATTCAGTTTTGTATTGATTGGCCCCCACTTCATTAGGGCCTCTGAAGTCACCTAAAATAAGGAACGTGGAGGAGGTGCATTCCTTACGATGCATGTGTAGCCTCTGGGGGAGATCAGAAAAGGCTCTGCGGGATCAGTTCTGCTTCATGATTTTGAATAGGATGGCATGCAATCCTGTAGAGCTAAATGTAACTACATGTACATCTGTAGGTGGTCATTTAACATGGCACCATCTCTTTTTTCTTTTCAAATTACGTTTTAAAGCTACACTGTTTTTTAAAATGCATTTAGTCTGTAATTACTCTTCTATTTTTTTATTACATTGTGAGCAAGGTAAGGAAAAGGAAAAACATTTTGATTGCATTGTTTACAAACATGGATAAGGTAAACTGAGCAGCAAGAATACCAACGTATCTTTCTTCACATCATTACAGGCTGGTGTCCCAGACATGGATAAAGTGTAGTCTGGAGTAAATTGCAGTGCCAGTGGTGAATCACCATTGAAACTTTGTTGTAGTCTAGGCCTAGGTTTATTTTAGGTCATGGAAACTGTCCTTATTTGTTGTTTCTAAAGCACTTGTTTACAAGAAAAAAATAATGTTGGAAACAGCGTGTGGAAATTTAAAACTCTGTATTTTCTGGAGGTCTTTAATTTACTGTCTTCCATGGAAATCACTGTCAGTGATCAAAACTAAGCATTTGGGTTCATCCTATTGGAGTAAAGTGGATGAGGAAGAAGGGCTTATGCAATGTATACACCCACACTCAAACGACTGGGCTTTGTTCCGAAGTTACAGTGTTCCCCACAGGATTTTTTGGGACTATGATGGGCGGGTTACATGGGTATCAATGGTGATGACACAGCGAAAAGCGTTCTAAAGAAGTTTAACAGTTCACAAATGGTCAAAACAAAGAATGACTAGAGCTTACATAGCACAAAGTTTAAAACAGTAGCGTTAACTTTAACTCGATTAATTAACATTACAAATAGCATAACATTACATGAAGAGCCACCTTGCTCCTTAGAGCATGTGCATGATATAATGTTGTATGTTTGCAGCCGCTTTGGCTGCGGCAAAAACCTTAACACCGAATAACATTTCAGAACTCGCTCAAATATTACAACAGCTCTGTTTGAAGAATGCTGTTGTATTTTGAAAGATGAAAAAACACTACCAGATGTGTTAGCACCATTGATGTCAACTTTTCTAGCTCAAAAACAAGCTAAAACGCTGCAAATTCAAACTGTTTTAAGGTGAGGAGACAAGAGTCACTTGTCATGAACATTTCCTAACTAAGCTACAGTTATGTTAACGTTATCAGTGAGCATTGACTTTACCTGTTAGCTGTCTTACATTGATAATAAGATTATGTTCGGACTAGTGGATAACTGCAGTGGATACCGTAAAGGTAACTGTACTTACCTCAAATCAAATGATGTTGTGTCCTCGAAATGCCTCATGTCTCACATGTAGCCAGGTGACAAGATGCAATTTTTGATGCAAGTTTATGAGAATAGAATAGTTTGTAGTAATACTCTGTATTTGAGAACTGATATTTCTCTTAGCTGAAACAGTCTGTAGTACATAAATAAAGCTCTATAGTATGAAGATGCTTGAACACATAAACTATCGTAATATAGAATCCATTGAATCTTGACCTCAGGAGCGGTGGTCATATCGAACCTAAAAATTTGTGTTACACCCCTAATGAGTACCTCTTTGCCTTTGCATCAGGAAAATTGATCAGTTTTTAGTTTAGCAATTACAGATGGTAAGTTTAGGAATGCACATGTGATATGTAGTGTGAATGTGGCTCTGGATGGCGGTCATACTCTTAAAGCCTTTCCCCTTTCTGTTGTCTCTTCTTTGACTATGAGTGTATTGTTGGTGTTTGTCGTCTGTTTGTGAATTAGAAATGGTGGCTTTTAGCTTTGATCATCTTTGAGCCTCCATGTCTCAGCATTTGATGAGGTGAGCAGGGATCAGGCCTAAATCTGAACCTGCTCTTATCTAAGGCTCTTGATGTACTGCACAGGCTCACAGGAATCTGCTTCTAATGTCAACCTCGGCCTTCAACCAAATCTCCTCTATTTTCTGCGGATGAGCTCAAACGTGTTTTAGCTTTGTGTTCTTAGAACTGTAGTAAATCCTCTGAAAGCCTTGGAGAGAAAAAGTCTGGGGGGAAATCCCTCTTTAATGGGGTTTGTGACCCCTGACCTATGGCTAGGACTGGTCATAATGATTTATATAGGTATTGTTTTGTGTAAACAGCCCTTTCAGCCCCCTTTCTTACTAGTTGGTGAGTGCATCATAAGAATATGCTTTTGAAAAGATTGAGATATTGAGATGTAGAAGATATAGTAGTTTTGCCATATCGAGAGACCCTAACCCCTAAGCATGGTCCTAAATCAGCTAGGACACCAATAGGGCACATAGCGGTCTTAATGAAATTGAGTTCCAGCTCAGGAATCAGTTTGTGTTTAATCTGCAGATTTACTAAGAGACAGTGTTTTTTTATTATCAGAAAGTTTTATTATAAGAAAGTGTAGTTTTCATTCACTATGTTCAGATTGTACTTTTTCAGATATTTGCAGAAAGTAATTTGTATCAGTTTTCATTATGCAGTCTTTGGTTTAGTGGCAATCATATTCTGGGGCAGAGATGGTCATGATATTACATAAACCAATCAATATATTGATCGCTGCTCTGTTACTGACACAAACTTTTACAAGCACAGAGGCTGTATAGGACGGTGTTAAGCATACATACATACATTTCATGTCTCACACATTAGCAAAACTGAGCTTTCACCTGCAGCCCCCTGTAATAGGCACCACAGCGGCATGCGAATGCATTGTAGAGTCTCTTTTTTAATTGGAGCTTTTTTTAGTGACTCATTCATGCTGAACAAACAAATCTGGTTCAGGAGGGAGCACTGTGGCTTGGCCAGTGCAGAAAGGAAAAATCAATCCTACCGGCACGCAAGAGAAAGAGGCAGAGACAGACAGACAGACAGACAGACAGAAAGAAAGAGGTGTCTGCTAACAAAGGAAAGTAATTACTGCGAGCTTCATTGTACAGACAGGGGAAGTGATTGGTGGAGAACGTGTGATTTAGTGAGTCCCGATAATGCTGGAGAGGTAGTGAAGTGTGTATAAGTGCAGTCAGTCAGCTGCTTTCTAATTGCCTTACACTTACCACAACATTGAGAGACTTCAGCTGTGAGAGTGAGGGACACATAGTAATGCACAGATACAATATGCTTTGATACTGTTCCTCTTAGTTGTGGTCATTGTGAAACCTTGACACATCCTAAAAAGAGTGGTGCATTATATTACACTATCTACTGCCATCTTCTGTATATTTTTTGTGTTATTGCTACAATGCAGTGCAACCTAATGC